AAAGACTACACTATCTCGGAGGTAGGTCAGTGCACGAAAATCGTTTTCATGGATGTGAACGATGGACGCACGCGTGTCGCAGAAGGCGTCAACGTTAGTGCAGCGGGCCAAGAATGCGAGGAAGTGCAGCAGACGGAGACCTCTATTAGAAAGCGGCCAGGTGCAGTCGATATCGCAGCTAAGTGGTGCCGGAAAGTTGTCATTGACACACTCTACAAATATGTCGCAGGTGGGGGTGGCATGTTTCAGGCCTTTGGATGTCAGCAGTCAGCCATTGTGAGGTGTCCCCGACAACGACCGAAGATCCTTTCGACCGGTCCAGGCAAAATTTTCATCGGACTAGCGCCGCCGATGCCAAAGATGCTCGCACGTCCGGAGGTAAGAGACCTGTCTCATCTTTTTTACAGACTCGTAAAATACGGTAGTAGACTCAGGTGTATATTACAAAGCGGCAAGAAATAAATCTTCTAGATGATCATGAGGTTGTGCAGGACGATATTGGAACAAATACCACCCGCCTCCTCGATACTTGTTGATACCACATAGATAATTACATCCGCCTGAACTTTATACGAGGTTCCAGAGACGCTGTGGGAGCCTGATAACCCCAATGTTTGGGAGGAAGTTCCTGCCACACTCGAGCCGATGGGAGACAAGCCTGCGCCCGAAACAGAGACTCCGGCCGTACTTCCAATAGAAGCTTATAAAAGACGATACTTGACAATGACAGTGAAGTACGTCCCGCCCCCAAAGCCTAAGCCGCTTCCGATGCAAGAGACACCACTTACGGTTCCACCTCTGAAATACCCGTCGGAAGTGTATCAGGCGCCGGGATCGCCGGCAGTCGTTATACCATCACCAACGCCTAATGGCTCAAATGCTTCAACTTTGAATTACACGTTACCGCCGTTCGTTCCTCCCTTGAGTGTGTCCACTACGCTCCCTCCAACTACGTCGTCTTCTACTATGCCAACGACAACCCCTCTGTCCCCGACGACAACGCCGACCAGCACTGCGGCTGCAACGACGTCGAGCAGCACCGCGGCCTCAACGACGCATGGGACAACGAGCACATCATCTACAGCGCCGGAAACAACGACAAGCACGACGGTCAAAGCATCAACGACAACAACCGCCGGGGCGACGACCACAACAACTGGCGCAGCAGCGACTGCATCAACAACTGGCCTAGAGTCTACAACCTCGACCACTGAAAGCTCAGGGGCACCTACCAAAACGACAGGCGGCGTGTCTACCACAACGACGGGCGCTGCTTCTACCACAACGACCGGCGCGGCGTCGACCACAACGACTGGTGCTGCGTCATCTACAACGACTGGTGCTGCGTCAACCACAACGACTGGTGCTGCGTCAACCACAACGACAGGCGGTGCGTCTACCACAACGACAGGCGGTGCGTCTACCACAACGACAGGCGGTATGCCTACCACAACAACGGACGACGCATCAACTACAATGACGGGCCTTGCTTCTACTACCAGCACTGGCGCTGCGTCCACTACAACGACCGGCGCTGCATCGACAACACAGACTGGCGCTGTGTCGACTGCAACGACTGGCGCTGGGCCGACCACAACGACTGGCGCTACGTCGACTTCTACTGCGGGTGCCACATCGTCTACACCAACGACTGGCGCCGTCTCGACAACCTCGGAGGAATCGACGACGGTGGGCTCCACATCATCCACTCCGGTCCCACTCGATATGATCATTCTAGTGCGTTCGTTTTTCGTAGCTGTTTCTTTGGGAATAACCCAGAGTGTGATGGACTTTTGTAACGACCCCGACGTGGAGCAAGCGATTAAAACCGCCGTGGCGCAGACGTACACTCAAATGCTTGCAGCTTCCAACATGACGAACGTGACTGTGCCTGTGAACAATGTGACGCAATGTGATTTGAAGCCAGATGATGGAACCTTCTTGCTGCTTGCGGAAAAAATGGCGACTCTCTTGGAAGTTGAGTATGCAGCATTACAGCATTCTGCATCAAGCGCAGGCAAAGCGCGCACGATGGCGCCAGATGTTAAGGTCACGGTTGGAGTCAGACTGTCACAAGCAGCTGCGAATGCACTGGCATCGAGCGGAAACGCTTGGAACCGCGGGACGGTCCCGAGCATGCTTGGGACCCTGCTACAGAATGCAACTGCAACAATGACACAGTTCGTGGTATCTTCATCAATTTTGGGTCCGGCAGGCAGCACGACATCCACAACAAGCATGGAAAGCAGTACGACAACCGCCGCAAGTTCCTCGTCTTCTACTTCGACCACTGAGGCTCTTACGACTGCGGCGAATACGACCTCTACCACAGTTACACAAACCGAGGGCAACACGACGACGGCCGAACCGCCGACGACAACAGAGCCCCATGTTACTTCGAAACCACCTCCTGCCGCGACCTTGGTTCCAGGAGCGGCCGTCGCGGTTCCATCGGGGTCCAGTGGTGCGTTTGTGGGCGCTCCAAAAGGCAGCGGAGGGACTGCGTCTATCATTTCTTGTCCATCGCAAGACAATGATCCTGCTGGAGGTATCGCCCCATACGGTTTTTTTTTGCCGTAGCTATCAGAAAAATTCGGAAATAGAGTCATTTGAGCTTCCCCTCTTTTCAACAAGTAATCCTAGATTTCCGTGTTTTGAATAGAAGCCAACTACTAAGTTGAAGACATGCAAGTATCAACAACCTTGTCGCTGCTAATTCGTATTTGAAAAGGTGCTGCTGGTCGATCTCTCCGTGACCCAACCTGCGGGAAGGCACCCAACTGTCTCGAGGAGAGTTGCGCCTGCGATCCCGTATGGGGTATCCGCCGTTGCCGTCGGTGTTTTTTTGGTATGGGTGTTGTTACCGCGGTGTCCCTCACCGTTACGCCGATTCCGGCGGTTAATTCTTCAGCAACGACCACAGTGACGCAAAACCCGCAAGAAAGAGTAATGAGTATGGTCATTTCGAGCGACGAGGCAGCAGGAGACGTCGAGCCAGATGATTTATGGAATGGAAACTAGTGAGACACGTCTGGTCTTATGAAAAAGCGACACGTCTGGAATCTGTAATATCTATTGGGGTTTCTTATGTTTCTTTTTTTTGGTTCGTATTGAAGCGAGCCATGGATTTGTGGGTATGATGTGCATGATTTGACCATACAAGTGGTAGGGTTTCGAATTTTCATGAATATTGGAAGAGTATGACAAGTACTTTGTGAAAAGACGTCTGTCAGAAAATGAATCTAATTAAAATGGAATAAAATCAAAATTTTTTGGATTTCTAGTTAAATAAGAGAAATTCAAATTGAAATGCGATTCTGCGAAAAGACGCTCGTCAGGAAATGAATTTAATTAAAATAGGATAAAATCAATTTTTTTTTTGGATTCTTATCTCAAATTGTTTGAAATGCGAGTCTGCGAAAAGACGCTCGCCAGGAAATGAATTTAATTTAGAATAAGTAGGATAGAATCAATTTTTTTTGGATTTGTAGTATATTAAACTCACGAAATGGATAATGAAATATTTAGGTTTGGTCAAACTTTTCTAAACGTTTTCTACGACAAGGCTCGTGATATCTTCATCTAACATGATTTCTGGAAAATTTACAGTGATGAGTAAAATTATTGTTTTTAGATTTTTATTCTGATGTCGATTTTTAGATGATCGTCTGAGGAGAATAGCGCTTATCTGGTTGCAGGGGTATCGTATTCTTCGTCTCAATTTATTGCTTTCACCATATTTCTAGAGTTTTCTTCAATTTCAGAAAAATGCAAACGCTACTTGCAGTTTGTGCTTTATTCACTTTCCTTGCTTCATTATCACCCGAAGCGCAGGCGACGAAGAAGCCATCAGCGCGACTGTTGGACCATCCAGAAAGCCTGATTAACGGCAGGGACCCACCACCGATGTTAGCAGGGACGTGTGCGGTGTGCCGACAGCCGGATCCTAGTGAGTGTGCAGAGTGGAGCACAGTTTTCTGCACGTTAGTTGCTCGTCTGCCGCTGAAGACCGAGGATGCACCTTACCAAGATTTGGTAGATTTCGTGACTGGCACTGAGCAGAAATATGTTCCTCAGTGGCGGTGTAGACGCTGCGTGAGCGAGGGCTTTGTCCTGACGCCTGACGGCATTTGTGAAAAAAGTGCAGTCGCGGATGCAGCGACTACTCTTGGCCGCCTCGCGGGAGGAAGCTGCCAGATGGATCCAAACTGCGAAATTTTCGAGCGCGAATGCCAGGACGCGCTACACGACAACTGGCCGTGTGCCAAGTGCAAGGATGAAGCTCCCGCAATCGGCCGCGACGGAAAGTGTCGTGCAGAGGGTCTCCTTCCTGGAACAGTCGACAACGACTGGCAGGATGGTATGGAGGGGCGCTGGGTGCCCGACAGCACCTACGTAACCGCACACAACTCTCTCGTGCACTCATGTGTCGCAGTTGCGCAGAAAATGTCTCAAACGCCAAACGTGTTAGCTGAGCGGCCCAAATCCCGTAACGAGTCGGAGGCCTACTGGAGTCAGGCTGCTGGCGGCAGTCTGCAGTCTGGATGCGGGCCAGCGATACGCGTCTTCAACATGTCCGAAGTCCTGTTCGCATCGGAGGGCGCGGTCGACATCCACGTGCGCGTGTGGACTTTTTTCTGGACAGCCGACAACGTGATTTATCTCCGTGTCAACGGGAGAGTGGTAGCCGCAAAGAAGTCGGGTCTCGTGTGCGAACTCTTCGACGAATCAGTGTCAGACCGAGGCTGGAAAGATCCGTACTTTCAGGTTCCAGGCGCGCAAGTGTGCTTCGTGCATTTGCACGGCCAAGTAATGTATCACGCCGAGGATGGGCCGTTGTACATAGATGATACACCGCTGAATTTTGAAGTGACGTGGAGGAACAAATCGAATTATTCATCTGGCGCAACAGGAAAGCGGCGGAACCCGCGAACGCTGGTGTTGGGGGCGAACAGAACGAACAACACCAACGCCAGCAACGTGAATTTTGGCGTCCGAGCGTCGAACACGAAGAGGGCGCTCTTCGGGCACGGGCATAAGCCTCACATTTCGCTGCCCATGGGAGGGCCTCCAGCACCAAAACCTTCCATGGGCGCATCCCCCGTGAAAAAAGCAAATCCCACGTCGTTTGGCGGCTCAGGCGCTGCAACAGCACAGCCTACCTCCTTCGGAGGACAAGGCGCGGCAACACCACAGCCTACCTCCTTCGGAGGACAAGGCGCTGCAATACCACAGCCTACCTCCTTAGGAGGACTAGGCGCTGCAACGCCCCAGCCCACATCGTTTGGAAACGTATCAACGAAGCCTAAATCCATGTCACTGGGTTCGTCCAGTAACACAACGCAGAACGCAAGCAACAAAACTTCATTTCTAGGAAAACTGGCGCGTTCTCGCCCATCCCTTGCTGATTTTCATGTTGGTGGGGGTTCCAGCATGTTGTTGCAGCGTGAAAAAAACGCCATCTCGACAGGACTTGGGGGCGAACTCAATCTGGTTGGCCGTGGTCGCGAACGCCGGAGACAAGCTCCCTCGGTGTATCAGCCTGAACGTCAGGATCCGACCTCAGGGGCTCTCATCGTAGAAATCGGTACTCTCGATTCTGGGCTGATGTGGGGATTCGACCATTTTCAAGCCTACCTGAACGCGTCCGGCCCGGATCTGTCAGGCACGTGGCCCAACTCGGAGGAGCGCGCGCTGATCAACTCCGTAGAAGAGCAGGTGGGCGTGAACTCGAGCAATCGAACTTTTTACTTGCGAGCCGTGCGCGCGGCCTACGAAGCAGCGGCTGAGCGTCAGGAGAGACGAGAGCGGCTCGCGAGCGCCCTTATACCAGGTTGGAATGGGACCACTGCTGCAAAGGGCGGCACCTGTGCGCAGGCACCGCATTGCGCGTCGATGACAAGCGTTTGTGATGACGATTTCAACGTCTTCAAGTGTGAGATGTGCCAGCCACAGATGGGCGTCGTAACGAACAACAAACAAACTATCGGCATGTGCGCGGTGTGCCGCGACTACCCAGTCGAGGATGACTGCATCGATCAAAGTGACCGTTTCTGTTTTTCATCCACCGATTACGAGGAGGACGCCAGTGACGGCAGGCCAGTGTATCTGACGCAAGGTTCGACCCCAGCAACACAGGAATACGACCCAGACGGACCCGTGCTTTACCCCGTAGCTGCTGGACGCGAGGAGGAAAACCGAAAACAGGCGGCGATCATCGACGCCCAGAAAGCTGCTGCGGCCCAGGCCGGTCAGAATTCGGCAGGAACCGCAAGCAGCAAGGACCTCACAAAGCAGTTGCAATCTGGCTCCACATCGCAATCGTCGGCTACCGCTGTGCATAATCAGGTCAAAAATCAACAGGGCAGCACTGCTTTATTGCAAACAAGTGCGCGGGCGGGCGCCGCGCTCGTAGTATCCTTCAGATCCAGGGGAGGCAAGGCCGAGGAAAAAGCGTTGAAGCGTGCCAAAAATCGAATTAGCGACGGAGCAAAAGTCGGCGCTTTGATGTCTGCTCAGCATCAACGATCCGGCGACGTTATCGACCCTCGCACGGGAAAGCGCGTGGATGGTGATTTGCCTCCCGAGAAAGAGATTTATCCGCCAGGCCCTGTGGCCTTCGGTTACACGATCGGAACAGCGTACTGGCAGTGTCGGAAGTGTGCCCGCGGGTTCACACGCACGGTGGACGGGCGTTGCGAGCGGCTGGTGGTGTCGGAAGTGTTGAACAAGATCGAACAGACCGTAGCCGGGTCGTGCGTGCAGGACACGAAGAAGTGCGAACTGTTCGAGCCCGTATGCGACAGCTCCTATGCACCTCAGGAGCCCAGCTCGTACTGGCCGTGCGCGCTGTGCCGCTGTGCGTATCCCCTGTTTGACCGGGAAAAGCAGCGCTGTGTGCAACAAGGATTGCTCTACGACGAAACGCGCGAACAGGCTCTTGACGCGTCTAAGTGGAGTTCCCGCAGTGTGCTCGCGATCCCCCGCAAGGCAGTGGCGGAAAAGGAAGCGAGCAGCGCGCTTGATGATGCCTTTAACGCGGTGGCCGATGTCGTTTCCGGTGTCAGTGAGCACGTATTCGGGGCAACGGTAATGGAGCAGTTCATATTGCACACTTGCCCCCGCGCGGCGCGTACCTACGCGACGGACCAAACAGCACTTTTGCAGCTTGAGAAGACGAACGTCGCCGCTGAACAGCCGGGCGAAGTGCAGCAGGTGCGGCCCATTGACTACGTTGCGGCCCTAGAAGGCGTTTCGTGCGAGCCCATTTCACAAGTGTTTGACTTTAAAAACCGTCTCCGCGTTAATGGCTTTGTGCGTGTCCATCTGCGTTTCTGGGCGCTCTTCTGGGACCAAACGGGAGTCGCTTACTTGGACATCGACGGTGAGCGCGTAGCGTCTGCACTCAGCTACGGGACGCATTGTGGCCCAGGTTTCGACCGAAAGAATTGGGCGCCGTTCGGAGCACCAGAGAAGAGTCACCGTGTGTGTGACATCATCCTCTATGGAAAGGCCTACAAGATGCACGACAGAACTTTGAGTGTGACGGTGGGGAGCAACGACACAAATCTGACTTTTGGCTTTGATGACTTCCGCATTGAGTACGACATGGAGGACACTCCGCAAGTAGAGTGTCCAACAGCGCGAGAAGTCCTTTCGAGTCCTGCCGTGACAGTTCACGAACTGACGCGTTCACAAGAAGCAACTTTGAGTAGCTACCTCGACGGAGCTGAGGCGGAAGACGGCACTTCCTCGTCCTCGTCTCTAGTGGCACAGGGAGTCGACAGCAACGTGACTGAAGATGAGGAAAGCTCGCAGCAAGTTGGAGTTGTCTCGCACGAAAGTGAAGATGGCTCGCAGGGCAAAAAGACACTGGCCTCTTCAGTGGTGATGATGCATGGACAAGAGACTGGATCAGACTTGTCGAGGGCAGCAGGAGCTGCGGGAAGAGATGATGCCAATGGCGGCGGCTTAAGCGGTGGCTCGTCGCTGGTGAAGAAGAGGACGCTTGCAGACAGCGGCGTCTCGGCAGACGACGGTGTAGACACGGTGTCCTCATCCGACAACACGACAACGTATTACTCAGGTCTAGATCCGAACAAAGATCCGCTTCGCATCAATGCTACTGATCCTGACCCGGATAACCAAGCTTCCACACCTTTTCCAGCTTCTGGCGGCGATTCAACGAAGTTAGAGACTGAATCTCCAAAGATATTTCAGGATGGCACAGCAGTCGATCTGACTGCCACGCCACCCCCCTGTGACGAATCGGATTCGATAAGCAACTGCACATCTAAAACGATCGACATTCTTGGACCGGATTATGACGCGTCATCGAAGGATGTATCCGGCGCAAGCCTTCCAGCAGTACCCGGCGCTATCCAGCCCTATGTCAGCACAGTTACGTGGTCCGACAAAATGAAAGGTTTCCTACCATCGGGTGGCGACGTTGTAAATGATATGGTTGCCGACGGCGCGATCGTATCCAGCTCGCAAACGTGGTTCCTCGACGAATTAGGTGCCAAAAAAGCGTGCGAGGGCATTGAAGCTTGTGGAGGTACTACTCGTACAGAAGCTCGAATCCCGAATGTCCACATTTGCTAAAACAGATACTCACCTATTGACCACACATGAAAGGTAACCGTCTTGGAGTAAGAATCGAAGACGAGGACGGATTGATGCAAGTCACCTCATCAAAATCACAGGTATCACCTCGTTCGGCAAGGGCCATCACTGGTTCTTGAAGACTGCGGCTTTCTTAGCTGAGGACGCGCGAGTGGTCGGCGGCGACGCAACTCCTTGGTTTTCCTTTGTGATTCCCGCCCGAATTGGCGCTTTTGTGGCAAACTGCACTGATTTCGATGCTGAAAAGGCTGGCTGCGATTTGACGACCTGCTTGCCTCTCCCGGATACAACTGCAATGGGTCTCGCGGCTATCCAGTATATGACCGGTTACACAGACAACTATGTCGCAGAGAAGGGTTACTGTCGCACTTGCGACACGAAGCGGGTACCACCGGGGGCAGACTACTTCCTTGGCTTGGTGCGCGATTTGCGCCAGGACGCCTTCGCTGGCTTCTGTGCGCCCTGTAGTCCTGTGCCACCAGACCGCTGCGCCGTGCCTTCCCTGAAGGAATGCGTCCTCAAGAAGAATGCGACCGGCGGTGGCGGATCCTCTTGGTTTGCGAGCAACGTCCCAGGCTTCGAGGGGCTTTTGCACTATCAAGCGGCCGCGAGCTTGTCGCCGCCACCTCTGGACCGTGACGGCTATCGTAATTGGACCGCGCCGGTCCTGTATTTGAACGAGATGAAAGCCAACGGCGAGGGCGTTTTCTCTTGGCTATATCACCTCGCTTTCGGGGGAAGCACCTCGGCTTCAACTTCTAAAAATAAGAGCACGACCGCGCTTTTGGAGACACACAAGTCAATTATCGCGAGAGCGGGTGACCAGGAGAAGAGACGGAGCCGTAAGGAGCTTCAACAAATGTTTCTCGAAGAGCGTCGGGAAGCGAGAGACGCGCTCGCGGAGCGCGGGGAAATGGAGAGTCCTGAGATCAGAAGCGCGCGTCTGCGTGCACAGATGGTCCTGCAACAGCTGCGATATGAGAAAAATCCACAGATGGGCTGGCTCTTTACTGATCACAAACGGCCACAGCCAGAAAATTTGCAAAGTTTCTCGACGTTCTTCGCAATGCTAGCGAACTTGACTTCTCTCAGCATTCCCCAAGCCAAGGCGAAGCCGCCTAACGGAAAGAACGCTACTCTCTTCGAACAGCGGTGCCTGCAGTGTGCGAACGGGTACCAGCTGGATGCGTACGGACGTTGCAGACCGGACAAGGGCACTTCGCTGTGGATTCCGGGCTTTCCTCTGTGTTACCGGGACGAAAACTGCGCCTTTTTTGCGCCGGACTGTGCAGACTCCGACGTGTGGCAGTGCCTGCAGTGCGACCAGATCGCACCATTGCTGATAGATCGCACCTGCGTGACGGCGGGTGCTTTGTTTGACGAGACGAAAACACTAGATGTGGCCACCAAAGCACTTGGTTGGTCCTCGATTCACACGGTATGGTCGGGCGCGTCGAACATCCACACCTGTGAGAAGATGGAGCACGGAAATCTCTTTTCAGGCAGCTGTCCTCCGATCTCGCGTACATTCGATACTGCAATGCTCCACTCGGAGGTCGCTCATTTGAAGATTTCTGTCCGGGTCTGGAGTTTATTCTGGCCGCCGACGGTGCGTGCGCGATTGTACCTGGAAGCCAACAGAAAGCGCATCGCCAACGTGGTGATCAGCAGCGCGTGCAATACCACGTTGGGTTTTCGCATCTTTTTCGGGTGGCCCGATCCTCCGAAGCGAGATCCCTTCGGAGGGCCAGTCTGCGTGGGAACGCTGGTCGGGTACGTGCGCCAGAAGCGCAATGAGAAACTCCAAATTATAATAGGATCTTCACAACCGAGCCTCCTCAGCTTCGGATTCGACATGTTTAAGATGTCCTACAATCAGTCGGAGCAGGGAAAAAGTGAGACGTTCTATTCCCGCGGTGCATACGGCCCCGGTGCACCGTACAGGCCAAACACAGACTACGGGGGAACAGCCAGCTGGGGTGACAAGGAATACAACAGTACAAATACTAGCTCGAATAGCTCTGATGAAAATGCAACACCTGACAATGGTAGCAATACCACTAGCTTGGAGATGGAGTCCAGCACAACTGACGTCCCAAAAGGACTGGTAAACCCAGGGAGCACAACATCGCCATATTTTAGTGGGACATTCCAGATCGGACCCGGAAATAACAGTGCAACCAATGCGTCGTTCGGCATTGACACAACACTTCAAATAGGAGCTGAAAACAACAGTTTCGCGTTCAATGCCTCCGGAATCTCATCGCTAACAAAGACAAATAGCACTGGCGGTCATGGGACATCACTGGTGCGCGAGGACCTGGAGTCCTTGGACGAGGAGGAACGTGCACTCAACGAAGAAATCGCGGCTAAAGCAAAGCTATTAGCAAAACTGCGTCATCGAAAACGTCGAGGTCGAAGACGGACCACCAAGACATTCTCCGACGCCTTGCGAAGCGAGGAGTCGGTGGAACCCAAAAATACTCCTACTGAAAAAATGTTGTTGTAGCGATTGAAAGCGCTACAACTGATTTTTCTTCGTTAAGAGTTAATACAAATACTTATTAAACAGTGTCACATCACCCTTTCTCTGGTTTGCAGAGTGATCAGTACTTCCTTTTCCCTTCTTTTCCCGACACTCACTACAAATATTTCTAAAAGGCAAAATGACCACGTACGTAAGCTTTGGACGAAATTAAGAAGGACTGGAGTGCACTCGTAACTCAACTGACTGTACTATTAGTACTAATTGTAAAAAAGTAAAAGTTTTGAACAAGTGTTGCATAGGCATTTCGAATGGGACGGCTTCGTGACTTTGCTATCAAACTACGTGTACGTATTGTTTGCGTTGTTCGTTGTTATCTATATGTTGTAGGAGAAAGATTCCCCAACCCCATTCCTGGCTTTTAGCATGGGAAAACCGTGTAGAGATTGACTCCTTATATGAGCAGCATCCCCGCGAGATGATGCTACGTGTGATGCGTATTGTGTGATCAAGGTGGCTGAAGATAGAAATTAGACAAAATTAAACATACGTAGTTCCTATTGTGCTTCCAAGAATGATCTGTTGATTCATTTTGCTAACCTTAACTTCAAAATAACTAGTACGTCTTCCAACTCCAAGAACACTCATTCTTTTTATCAAGTAACCTCAACAGCATTATCCCTGTACCTAGCAGTCTATTGTTTGTATAGCTGTGTCCAGTCTCTTTAGTTGTTTGCTGTCAGCCAATAGATAGGCACAACTATTAAACCTAGTGCTGTGTATTGATATTCGTCTTATTTCTTTCAGCTTTCAAATTCCAAGGGAGATTTCACATGCTTGTGGCCTCGACTTCCTGTGGATCCTTTTTGCAAAGTGTAAAGGCCAAATCTGTAACCCTCTCTTTTGGTATTCCAAATCAACATAACCCTGATGATGTCCCAATCTTCAGTCTCAATTTTCATCTTGTGTAATATCGTAACTGTAACTAATATTCAAGCAGATCTTGATACGAGATTTGGAAACACTAGTGAGCCTTGTTGATAACACTGGACAGCAAGACAAATATATGAGCTGACTTTGAGCGGTGCACAGTACGTAGAGGTTCCACATCGAAGCGAAAAGAATATCCTAAAACGTAATCGTTGTAATAATTGACTGATGTTAGGGTTGAGCCTTTTGCAGGTTGTTGGGTTGTCTTGCAGCTGAAGATAAGGACGGAAATAGTTGTTTTTGGGGGTGCATCAGAGTGTTTTTGATTTCGGTTTTGCAATACTCAGTTATATTTTTGCTGAATTTGAACAGGTTATAGCAACCATCAAAAACTTTCACTAAATATGTAGACGAATATTGGTCATTTTTCCGTTTTAGAGTAGAAGCTACCTGCGCTTGGCCGACGTGCGTGTCGTGAGAGCGCTCTTCTCAGCTCAGGCGTTACACACGGCTGCAGAGACGAGCTGACCGAGTGCTCTTTCCCGCCCGCAGAGTAGTCTGACCGAGCACCCTCTTCTAGCACGCCCTTGCTAATGCGAGCGTTTCTTGGAGCAAGCAAGCTTTATTTCCCGGAAAGACATAAAGATCCTCGTTGTTCTGGAGAATGGATAGATCCCTATTTCTTTTCACAACAAGTTCGTTGGATGATCCATGAATCAAGACACGGTATTGAGAAACAGGTCCGCAGAAATCCAAGATCAGAAACTACGATCAGCTTTGATTTTGGGTTGGTTCTTTGAATTATGGCTGTTTCATGATTCTTGTCAATTTTTTCCGTCTTAATTGTAGTCAGGAGGACTCGCTAGCTGGTAAATGCGACTTTCAATTTTTGGCGGATCATGTTTAGTTGTTGTAGTTTTTCACGTTCAACACCGCGACGGGCATCGGCATTGTCCTTTCTGTTTTGGTATGAAGTAGAGGCTGCTTCCTTCGAAGCACAGTCACAGTCTTCTGTTTCATAGTTTGTGGTGTGTCTATCTGGTTATTTCAAGCGACAATTATGACAGTCTTCGGGCAGATTCGAGGTTGGGACATTCCCGCTTATGAAGCGTGCGCTTGTGCCTGTGACGAAGCGGGTGAGTTTCTTGTTGTCGGCAGCTACCGGCATCGCGATCTCGACGACGGCGGGAGCTCTGAACACCAGGAGTCTGGATCTAGCAGTGGTCTTCGAAAAAATACTGTCTCCGCCGATGCTAGCGAACCCAGGCTAGAGATCGAGTCAGGTGCGTTCCGAGATAGTTTGAGCTGCGTGATTGATGTTCCGTCCTCTGGTGATACCGGGGTTGAGAATGCGCTGCATATAGATTGTGAACAGCTCTGGGACACTGCAAGAGAAGCGACCACAGAATCCTCGCCGAAAAGTGTGAAACCTGTCAGAAGCCGATGGCGATTTCCAAGAGACGACACTCGACTAGGTGAACTCTGTGTTTATCAGATTCTTGCGAGAGAACAAGGAGACAACACATTAGAGGATCACGCACAACTGCCACGTTGTCTCTCAAGGTTGGCTTTGCCGGGTGGCTGCTATGACGTGTGGTACGACAAGGATATGAAAACTTTTCTAGCTGTCTGCACGAACGGTGATATTTTCGGGCTTCAGGTGCAAAGGTCTGTAACTCTGCTTGGTGATGAAGGACACTGCGAGTCGGATCGAACTACAACTGTCCAGTGCCGTTTGATGCGATTGCCGGGACTCTTGCGGAGGCTGTCATCAGATCCCCACTTAGCAGGTGAGGAGAAGAGTGAGGATCTAGTGCCGCTTCTAACTCATATCAAAACCGGCAAGCAGTGTGCGGGAATCACAGACCAAGCGGGACGCCTGCATCTTTGGACAGAAAAGAGCAAGCTGTTAAACTTTGACGGAACTGCTGCTGATCTTTGCAAGCAAGTCGAACAAGGGCCCGATGGGTACAGTTGCATCCAGGCTCATGCCAGCGACGCTGCTGCATGGACTTGTGCATTTTCTCCTGATGAAAGCCTTGTTGCATCGGGCGGTGACGACGGGGTGCTCTGCGTGTTTGCTCGACGCGAAGAAGAAAACAGTGAACAACCTTGGTTGTGCAAGTGGCAAAGTACCACTAGGGATCACAGCGCCGGTGTCACAAGTGCTCTTTTCCTGGACACTGATACCTTGGTTTCAGGCAGTTACGATGAGAAAGTCCGCATTTGGAAGCGAGCTGATGGAAACGGCAGTAGCTTGGAGCAGGTTAACATACAGATCTCCCTCGTATTTGAAAGTACGCGAACCGGCGATGGGATTTATCGCCTTTTGCCGTTACTCGCTCCGCATCAAGACAATGGGACTAAGGAGGTTGCAGAATATGCTGGTGAAAGCGGAATAGGGCACGCCCAATACAGTTTCTGGGATAAGAATTGTAGCGAGACAGACCACGCTAATAGCGCTGCTTTTCTTGTCGCAAACATTCGTGAGGGCTACAGCGTCTACACTGCGAATGGAGTTAGATTGTGTGATCCTTTAGTACCATGGGAAAGCGAAGTCAACAAACCGGGAGCTGAGGCCGATGAGCAAGAGGTTGAAGAGGACCCGGACGCGGGGCCGCTTGCCTATGGCATGGCCTTTTCACCCGCCAACGCCACACTATTTCTCACTTGCTTTCGTAACCGCATGTACAGAACGACATTGTCGTGAGAATGCAAATTGCATGCACTTCGACGAAGATAGTTGTGTCTGATCGTGCTCAGCCATACCTGGTCCGTAATTTTCTCAAGAGTCATTCTATCTGTCGATCCTCCCGTGACTATTCTCCTTATTCTTACGAAGTAAATAGAATAATGATAGTACTCGTCGAGATAGACGTGTCGCAGAAGTCGGTCTGAAAATTGTGGTGTTCTGAAAAAGTTCAAACCATTCGTTGTTCAGAGCTTCGAGAAAAAGTTCTAAAGTTGAGGGTGTCATCGAAATTTCTGTTGAGAAAGATGAAATCTGTCCTCGGCCGTGTCGAGAGAAGATTATTGAATCTGGATGGGTGCACACAGACGTGAGTTATGTGTTTTCGTATCGTAGAGCAACAATGAAACGCATTCTGTCTGAGTATGTTTTTCTGGCCTCGACTTGGAGAAGATGATATCGATGTGGAACCGAACGATCTGAGTCCGAGTTCTTATCTTGCTAGATGCTTGCTAGATGGATCGTATTTATGATTCACGTTCATGATGAACGAAGATGCGACAGCGATGTCTATTCAACAACGAGCGGCGTGCGAATGAGATCTTCTCTTCAAATGATTCACAATATATTCTATACCATTGCATTCTTGATGACGTCACTCATTCATAAAGATCCAACAAAATTTTCATCGAAAAGCCAATCCAATGTGATCCAGCAGCTTCATGATTAGGAAATCGTTTTTCCCATTTTAATGATCTCCATAATGATTGAAACCGCATTACGTACTGAGCATAATTCGTGATATCATTGATCTTGTGCGCATTCAAAATCCTTCATTTCCTTCAAATAAATTGATATTTGCCCTCAAGAAGAAGACCGTACTAAAGATAGCTACATGTACGATCATACTTTGTTGTGATAGAGAAGATATCCGCTCCATCAAGTACGTAGAAAACATTCATCAGACCGGACATCAATCCATACTGACGCAGGTTTTGGATTCTTGTTCGCTTCTTGTGTATATTTTTGATATAGTTTCGGCAAGACTGGAGGAAGAGCCGAACGGACACTTCTCAGATTTGTTTTCTGTGCATGTGCTATGAAATTTGTGATTTCTCTGGCAAGTAATTACATTCCCCATTTCTTCAAAGAGATTTTCTCGTCCCCTTGTCACTGTACAAATTTGATTGCGAGAAGCGAGCCACGCCAGCCGTAGGTTTTCCCGTTGTTGCTTTCTCTCGACTGCTGCTACTAGCTGAACAAAAACGTCTTACGTCGCGATTTCTCTGACGCAATTTTTCTGTTAACTTCTTTTCGAAAAAACCGGAAAAATGGAGATCCTCGTGTACTTGGCAGGAAACTGGTGCTGCGTTGGCGCAGCATCAATCATTCTCTACAACTTCATCTTGCGAAGGGGTCACTGTAAAGATAGCGAGAAAGACTTGCAGATATCAAAAGACATGCAGCTACTCCTTTTCTTAGGCAGCATCGTCCGCTTTTACTGGAGCATGAGTCCGCCACCAATTTGGTATTTCTCAATACTTAGAGCACTCTAATGAAGCTAAATTTTGAAAATTCTGACGTTTTTTGGGTACAGGGGAGTAGCATGACGATGATCATGATCATTTCCATTCGCAAACGAAAATAGTGTTTGGGAAGATCCCATTTTTCAAGATGAAATTGCAATTCAACTTGTTCTAATGAAACTATCTAACCAGGTCCGAGGAGCCCTTACCAATTCAGTGGATTTCAGTCTTCGATCTGGTTTTCTCTATCTTCTGCTGGGGTGCATGTGTCTGCCTCAGTACCGACTACGGCGTCAAGGCAATGAACTCTCTCGGCAGCACAGCACGGGGCGGATATGGCCCAGTTGGCATGGAAGAATTTGGTACTACATTTGAGTAAACTACAACATTTAATTTTATCAAAATTCGTGGACACTACAATTAGCATCTCGCATACTTACTTCACTATCACGACGACCATGTCATTGCGAACGAACTAGAGAAATGACCTTATCTTTACGTCTCAGGGGACCTCCTACCATGCAATCACAATCTCCATTTGTTTCACCCCTAGCGCTAATCCCATATCGTCTTTCAGATGGTCTCGTAGGTAGCGAATCCGACGCTCTGGGAGCGGATAAGAAAAATGGGTCTGCGTTGATCAAGTACACGCGATGGCAGTATCTTACCGCAGCTGCGGCAGTTATTGCTTGGCTTTTGACGCACCTTCTTCCAAGTCTCCACATGCCAGGAGCATGGATGCTAGTGGACTTCGCTGTACTTACAAGCTAATTAGTGGCTTATATTCCACTTTTGCGTCTATCAGACGCTTTCAACCTGTTCGTCAGACATTTACAAGAACAACCATCCTCGCATCTTAATGAATTTTTGGAAATATTTTCCTCAATTTTCCACACGTACCAGGTCGTTTTCAATATGTTGCTCGATGGCTGCGCAATGATCCCGCAAGTTATCCTTATCCATAGCGCACGAATGAAGACACCCGTGGAAGCGAGCCACTTTGTCGGCCTCCTTTGTCTTGGTATTTCTATTTACTATAAAACCAGTGGTTGTTAGTCTTCTCTTCTGCTTTTGTATTTTTTAGAAGCATTTTTAGCAAAACATTATTGTTCTTATTTTGGTTTTGCGAAAACGTTAGTTCAAGAACGTAAGCACCAAAAGGTTTACACGGACTGCGCGATCATTCTTTTGACAATCCTGGCAAACTCTTTCATTTTCTTTCCTCTTGCAGGGCGACTATTGCGCATGCTCTTCTGGGTATGGCTTATCCTTCACCCGGAATCCGGACATGCAATCTGGACCTTCGTCGTGCCAGATTTGCTTCATACGGTCATTATGGCGGATTACCTTTACCACTACCTGCAGAAGCTGAAGCGTGATCGTATCGATCCCTACTTCGCCGACTATATGCACCACGTTTAAAGAGACGCAGGTAAGAAAATTCAGGTTGAAGTTCGCTATTACCTTTCCTAATAAGCAAATATTATAGAAAAAACGAAATGATAGAAATATAATGAACGGTTGATTCCCTGAGCCGACGGATAATTAATTTTAATGAACACCTCATGAACGCCCTGTGGACAAGATTCAAATTGAAATTTTCTTTGGAGTCCACTTAAGGATTGATATTGATGATAAGCAATGCAATCAAATATGATGGTTCGAGGAAGTTTTCGAACGAAATAGGATATCATGCTATTCTTTGAATCAGAAACTACGCAAACTAACCAAATTGTGCTTCTAACTACTAACTAGCAACTAAGAAAATCACATCGACTACGCATTCGCGAAAACATTAATATGATCGAGAAGGGATCATTAATAATGTCAAACAACAGTTACCGATCTATCACATTCTATCGATTTGTCAGTTTTTATATTTTTCGCTCGAATCGCAACCGCCAATGGTTGGAAGTAGGTGGTAGAGAAATTATCGATCAATTAGTGAAATCTTTGAATCTATCGTATGCATAGATTTTAAGCTCCAGGTGTTTTATGCACCTCCTGATCTCCCCGCCTCGAATGATCTGCTTTCTTCTAAGCAAGAAAGCAGCCCTGCTGTAAGTCTAGCTACATGACCACACATAGCACAGGATATGAGATAAATGTAACGCCCCACTCTTGGAAAGCGGATCTATAATTCGGCAGTCATCTTCATTCATAGTTCTGTGAGGTGGAAAAATACGCGCCACGCCATGCTTACCCACATTCATACATATACATGGACACATCGTTAGGATAAGCTCTACTACTAGGTAGAAGTAGATGATAGATGAAGTATTTGTTCATCCGTTTTGCTCAATACGACAACAACTAGCGTTCTAGTTTCCCTTGGCACCCACCACACCACCTCATCCCCTGTGCTGGGAAACTCCGCTAGTACAAGTAGTTCGTTATGAAAGAGTGAAATCTATCGCTACCGTGAAAATTGGAAGGAAACTATAACAAGTTCTTCCGGGGCCCGATTGTCGCTTACAACTATCTCGAGCGCAAACAGGGTGGATTCCCCTCTGGTCAAAGACAGGAGACTGGGCAACCCAAAACGAGGTGCTGAAATTGCGTTATAGATGATGAATTGAAAAAAACTGAAAATGAGGTGCTGAAACTGCAACACGTAGATCGTCAACTAACACCGAAGATCCAAATATTTCGGGGTGATTGGAAATTTGTTGAAGACTGTTCATCTCCCACCCCATTTATTTAGTCGGAGAAAACGTGCTAAAGCTACAGGATGATGAGAGTCACTTCTTCTCTGCAAATTATGTTGACAAAACCTGCGATTGAGCGTGAGAGTCAGAGTTGGTGCGAGTGCAGAAAAAGCAGGCCGTAACAGCTGAAGATGAGTCAGCTTAGCGAGTGTGAGAAAAGTGACGGAAGAAGTGCTGTAGTTCTGAACGTGAAAAAAAGAGTGAGTGTTTGGGAGAGTGACGAATGCCTACGAAGCAGAGAGGCATGCACGAAGTGTAGTAAGTAAAATCGGAATAGGGAAAATATTAAGAGTGGAAAAGAAATTCCTAGATTTTTGAAAAAATATTGGTGTTTTCGAAAAGAGTTTAAATGGCACAATGAATAAGACCTCGACGGAGATTTCCAAGCTCCTCTAGTACCAAGGCGAGCGCGCTTTCGCTTTAGCCAGATTCATTGTTGAACAAACAGTCAACAAACTACTAGTTTTTACGAAAAGCCTCGTCAAGTAAATACCGGTGTGAATATCAGCAAGGAGCTTCAGCATCGACTTTTAAAGATATGATCGAGAAAGAGGTAATTCAAAAGATGCCGAAGTGGGCCAGAGGCTGAGTCTGACAAGATCAGGACACTAACAGACACCCTGGTGCTGGCTGCTTCGGCTGTGCTGCAATGATTGCAGAAAACGAATATCGCACAAGAAAGAAAACCTTGCTACGCACTAGCATTTCATCCAGTGTCGCGCCGTATTCAGTGAGCAAGAGCTGAGCCGCCTTCTGCAACGTCCGCCTCGTAAGTAGTTTCTTCAACATTCCGGAACCCGTTTTCGATTTGGCTCGGGGTCACAAGATTTTTGAACCTGCTCCAGGAAAAGGCTCAGCACCACGCTGTAAGGCGCCGTCATCGAAGCGCAACAATCCGAACTCGAGTAGTTCAAGAACTTCTTGCGACGTCCATTCATAAGTACAAGAACTTGGGTACTACTACTACCACCACGAGCGGGTTAGAAGTTCTTGCAGAAAGAAGATGGAAATTCTCGTTTTTCTTTTGGGTAACCTCTGCTGCTCAGCAGCTGGAGCCTTGTTACTCTATCAAGTTTTGGGCCAAGGTATGGATGCCTCAAGAGATTTACACATATCAGCAGACCTACAGTACATGCTGTGCCTCGGGAGTATAGCGCGGGTCTACTGGTCGCTATCTCCGCCAGAGATATGGTATATGAAAGTCATCTTTGTGATTTCATGATTGAAGATGATAGTGAGGCTGATACTGAAGGTTGAAAAATTCAATTTGATGGTGCGACAGAAGAGGCAGTCGCGAAATACGAAAATACAGGAATAGATATGTGAATAGATGCTGACTCATGATGTATGAAGAACGAGATTTTTCATTTTTGCAGAGTAGAGATGATCCCCTCCTGATGTGCGTTGCTCAGGTCAGAGGAGCCGTATTTGACCCAGTGGACGTGCGTCATTGATTTGACAGCAGGGGCGCTCGTTTGGACCATGTGTGCAGTACTTTCCATTCCCCAGGTTGACGCGTGGTTAGCGACTATTCGACAGCAGCGAAGAAAAAAGATGGACGACGATTTTAGTAAGCAATTCCTTACTTTCTAATTGCTACTGATAGTGTTTGTTTCGATTCGGGACTCGTGAAATTATGTATCAGTCTACTTATTTACAAGTGGGACCACCCGTGAAATTATGTTCCACGACTTGGATCATGATCAATCTTTGATGTCGTACACCATGCTTAGAGAAGAATGAATGAACTTGTACCAGTCATTCCCGCTACACTTTCAGCTTCTTTATTTGATAAATCACTAGTGACGTGCGGCCTTCATGTGGTGGATGCGTAGCCTATACCTTAAGCACTTTAATTATCTCGTATGAGCGTGTGGGCCCTTAACTACTTTGCTGCTCCGATACGTTCCGGTGTAAAAAAAAACTGGAGAGCATTGTAGACGTTTCCGGTTCGAGATGATTAATCAGACTAGATCGGTAGTTGATAGCTGTCTTACCTGTGTCATCGGTTTCGATTTTGTGACATCTCAAATTTTTACCATACTGTTGCTTAACAAATCATTAGTTGCACGACCCAAGTACACCTTTTCTTCTTCCAAATCCATTCAACAGTATTGGATGAGCACACGCTAGTAAAGAAGCCGGAGAAGATGAATCCACTTTATCACAATTGGGCTTTCCTGACTGCTGGGTGCGCGGTCGGAGCATATCTTGCGACGCATCTTTTACCATCTCTAGCTGTCGAGGGCGCTTGGCCATTAGTGGACTGGGCAGTACTTCAATATAGCCGCTTTGAGCTTTTCATGAAAGGTGGTTGTGCGTTTTCCCTCGATGATTTCGTGTACCTTCCTTACGCAATCTATCATGTTTCCTGGACTGTAAGAATGTTGGTTAACACTCAAGATTTTCATTCTCTCACATTCTTTCAGGTGGTCTTTAATATGCTTGTCGACGGTCTCGCAATGGTACCACAGTGTGCCCTCATAGCGAGTCGACAGGACAAGACGCCGCAGTTTTGTTCGCATTTTGTAGGACTGCTATGCACAGGTATAATAATGAAATTGAAATTGTGTTTTTATATATGCCTATGCTTAGTGCTTCTACTTTTCGGAAATCGACATCAACGAACTCCTTACGAAAAAGTTCAACGTGACTAGGATACTCCTTGAAAAAAGTAAAGGCTGACTCTGCCTGTCAAGTCGGAACGTCCACGCCCATTTCATTTCAAATCCAGCACGCGTCTTGCGAATGCTTTTCTGGGTTTGGCTCGTATTGCACCCACAGTCTGGACACGCGTTATGGACCTTCGTGATTCCAGATTTGGTCCATACTATAGCATTGGCAGATTTCCTCTGCATGTTCCTGCGCAAAATTAAGGACGATTCTGTTGACATCTACAACTCCTTCACAAGTCCCGTCGTGCAGGTGTAGGAGAATTCCGCGCGAGACGATTCTTCAACCACAACTACTTGTAATGTTATTCACACTCTAGTATTATTTTTGCGATGATTTTGGGGATTCAGTCTGATGTAAATCAATACTTATTCTGCTGGGGGTGGCTGTATTCTGTTTCTTGGTGGACGGCCGAAAGAACAAGAACGGGACTTCACCGAGATTGTGGCCGTTTCCTGACAGGGCTGCTGCAAAAGACTCCTTCTGTACATAATGAACTCTCTTCTCTAGGAAAGCGCATAGTTTTTTTAGCTTTACCAACCGTTCCTCCCAACCCACCCTTATTAGATTTCTGATAATGCACAACTTTCTCCGAACAGCGGTCCCCTCATCTTGTTGTTTCCTAGAAAACACGAGTTCCTTCGCTCGATTGGAGATGCCTCGTCACGCCGAATTGCGCATCTTCTTCGTTGTTAGTAGTACTCACCAGGGTGTGATACAAGTCCAACCTCGGAGTTCCCCTGATGCCAGATAGTCGCTCTGGCTCGGATTCGGTTGTCGTCGCCATCACAACTGTTTGACCTCATATAATCAAAGCTCATCTGGAGTTTGGCTGATCGGGATCGATTAAGAGTAGGTGGAAGTTTCAATTTCTTTGTCGTCGGCGAATCGGTGCTTAAATGTCGGACTGACTTGCCTAGATGTTGATTGAGTTCTTTTCTCGTTCATGCTGCGAGTTTCGTTACTAGTGTTTCATCCTCCAATGACGTTTATCTCCATAGGTGCTTGAAGGTGGTCCCGATCCTCCTCTCAGCCGTAGGTATGGCTTGATTGCATGCTTTTTCTGCATGTCTTCTACAGAGTTTTAATCAGTTTTGAAATGAATTCTTTTGCGCCCTGGTAAGGAAGGGGTATGAGCAGTATTTCGTGCATATTTCCTTGCGGTGATAACATTGATGTATCACTCCCTTATTCCTTTTTGTATCATGAATGAATCCTGATTTTCTTTTGGGTGCAACGAAGAGTAAGTACGATGGTCCGCTGTTCCCGCAAGAATCTTGATGGTTGCTGATCCTCCGTCTCCAGCTGCGTCCGTTCCAACTCGCTTGAGGATCTAGCGACTTCTAATGATTGAAGCACACTTCACACTGCAGCGAAAGCGATGTTTCTCCGTGTCGGCACTCCGCAGCAGATCCTTTTTCAGGATCATGACCCGGTGGTAGAAACTCGCGTTGCTCCATGGGCTAAGAGCAATCCAGTCGTTGGTCCTGATCTAATTCCGATTAGGGCTGGGGAACATTTTGAGGACTACAAGGCGTACGATCTGAGACGGAGGCAGTATTTTGACCAGTTCTACCGTACTCCGACGTTGGCGCCGAAGGAGTATGGCGCACGAGCACGATGGGCAGCACAAAACCTCGTTCGCGGTGTTTACGATATTTACACGCGGGTGAAGCGGGATGCCGAGTTTTTAGTTGGGGACATTGTTCCACAGTTTGCGACGGGTCCAGACGGCTCACCAGGTTTGCTTCGCCAAGTGTTGTTGGAAACTTGCCGCCTCGGCGCGCCTGAGGAGCCTGGAGAGTACGCATCGTTGGTAGCGCAGGATGCTGCATATAGCAAAGTCGCTGGAGGTGCGTCGACCCGGAAAAATGTTGGAGGAGGCAATGCAGAAGACCAGCAGGATACTGGGTCGGGGAGTGCATTGATGCAAATGATGTCCAGGGGCTTTGGAAGACAAGATAGAAGTCAGACCGGTCAAGAGGGAGTCTTATTGTCATCGGAAGTCAAAGTGGTTGATCCTTTGAAGTCACGGGCAGAAAACCTTCGTCGGCTGCGGGTGACGCGAAGTGTACGTCTTCTTCAGCGCTACATGCGCAACTGGGACCCAGACGACGGTGATTTGGAGGACCTGACTGCGTCCTTGAGAAAGCTGGACACACTTGACATTCGCGCTATTCAAGCGCTTCGATTTCGTCCGCCAGATGCCGAAGAGGTAGTGACAGCGCGACGGCGTGCGGCGATGCGCAGGATCCATCCGGCAGCGGGTTTTACGTATCCCCCACCGCGACCAGATCAGGTTTTGGCACTGAATCTTGGGCGAAAGCGCGAACGGGAGGCACTGTTTGAGAGCCGAGCAGAGGATGTCTGGCGCATAACCGAAAGCTTAGTAAAACGGCCATACGAAGATTCCTGTCGCGCGCCGGTTCTAGCTGTGTTCGACGAAGTGCAGACGCTGACGCGAGACAGCTTGCGGCTCTTGAAGCGTGTGCAGAACGCCTTCGACCAGGCAGAGTTGGCGCGCCACCAAGTTCTAGATCTCCTGGGACTGCGTGTACCCGCGACTGGGATTGAGCGCGCGGCCAGCGGAAAGGGCACCGCTTCTGCGACATCCGGTGTGCTGGATTCCATCACCGGGCGAGCATCAGCATCGCCGAATAACAACCGGAACTTTCCAGGCAACTACCTCTTTCCAGATGCACTTGCTTCGGCGCATGGAAAGCCTGGAAGCCCGCCAACTGCTGCGGGCTCTTCTGGTCGTGTATCAACGGTGTCGCCCAGTGTTCCGCCTGCGGATATGGACATCGAGTACTCAACAGAGGCGGTGGATCCGTATAGCGACACTGCGACAGAGCAGCGCGCGCACGACGACCCGTACGGCTTGGATGCGCGGTATTGGTACCCACTGGATCCGATGAACCTCGAACAGACACAGTCGGCGGAGCGCGTTCGCCTGGCAAGACTGCGATACGACCAGGAGAAGGAGGTGCTTGAGGGCAAGAACAAGACGTCGCAACTCAAAGAGCCAGGTACTGTTATTCAAAATCGATTTTTAGATACAGATAGAGTATATATAATTATCATTCTTCATGGACATGTTGAATCAGTGCATGTGATGTTGTGTGTCAACACAGTATTCTTTTCTAATGAATCCGGTTTCACATTTTGGTCTCGTTCCCGTCGTGAGTGAAGCAATGCTTTTCTTCAACTCACTTCTCTGAAGGTGTCGGCGAAGAAGACCCAGACAGCTTTGCAGCTGGCGCAGATGGTTCGGAAGGCGTTTCGACGGCAGATAAACCGGTTCCGCCGCCGGTCGACAGGACACCGACAATGATGGGCGTCGCGGAGAACAATCCTGATTCCTCATCGCTCCTGCCGGACGAGGCTCCGGTTACTCTGCCTGTGGGTCCTAGCGCTATCCCAGTGATCACAGCGAGCTACGGTCCTGGGAAGACGCCAGGTGTCGTGCGTCCAGAAGCGATCAGGAGAGGCAACGTGGAAGAACTTCTGAAGGAAGCAGGTGCAGCAGATAACGGGGCTACGCAGTGGTGAGGACGAGTTTCTCGTCTTTGGTTTGGTGCTCGACTAACTTAAAGACGAGCGTGAACGCTCCCGGAAAAAAGAACGCGTCGCCTGCTCAGGTGTTGGTGTTCGTGTGAAGTCACCTGTTGCTTCACATTGCGGGGACGGTTTGTCTTATTATCTGAAACACAGAATCTAGCGTGTTGCAATTTTCTTGTACAGACGAAGCAAGCTACTTGCATGTACTCAAATTTTCTGGAAATCACACGGGTTTGGTCCCAGTCGTTGTAAACCGAGGATGTACAGATACTCGGGATCGTTTCTTATGAAAATGACAATTTTATTTTTGTTATAGAGACAGTACGGTTTGACATCGTCATGTCACTAAAACGCTTCTACCGTGGGTTTGATCATGCTGCGGAGGATGAGCACAAGTTGATCGTTGCTTCGAGGGTTCGCAAGAGGATCAAGGTTTTCAACCTTCAGCTCGCCTCGGTCTGTAATTTTTTATGCGTCTACTGAACGTGGAAATCAGATAAGGAGTTGAACGCGGCTCAACTCTTCTAATCACGAAGTAGGACACGCGGCACAACAGCTTGCGGAAACCTAATACGTGATAGTAGCAAACGTAGATGGTCGAAAATGCTAGATCCGCGCTACCAAATGTTGAGATGCTTGGTTAGAATTTTTGTTCACTCTGGAGTATCCACAGCTTTTAGTAAAGTAGAAGGACTCATGATCTTTGTGTGATCGGTCCTTCTACTCCTTGATAACGTTACTTTAATTTTTGTTGCCCCTCTTTACTTCGATGGGGCTGTAGTGTCCCGTGGGTGTGTTATTTTCTAAATCAACGATGATGTATTTGCCTTGCTAAGATTCTTGTTTTTTTGACTTTTTGTCGTTCTAATTTTCTTTCGCCACTTCACAAGATGAATATGTGCACCATCAGGATATACTAGTTCTTTTGCAGTGGTTTCTCCGATGTTCTGTCCACCCGGGCGTGTATCACGCCTCTCGGGCGGCGGGGCGGCCCCGGTGACGCGAGACGAGGAAGGGCAAAGTCCAGTTTTGTTTGTGATCGCACGCGGATTCGCAGGTGCCGAAGAAGATGGAATATGTGTGCGGGAGCGAGATTTACGACGTCCCGATGGGCGATGGCGCGTCCACAATGTGGAGAAAATTCTACAAAAGATTGTGGCGCCTGCTATGGGCGTCTCGCGTGTGTTCTTGCAGTTGGTGTCGGTTCAGCAAGGTCGCGTGTCACTGGGAACGAGGCTCGGCAGCGTATTGCGCCGTGCCGGGGTGCGCTATCGACTACGCGGCCCTGCCAACAGCGGTCCTGCGCGGGAGTTCCACGAGGCAACGGAGCACTTCTGGCAGCCCGCGGACGTGCCTAGCATTCGCACCGGCGCCGCGGAACTCGTTCCGTCACCAGTTGTGCCACCGTTCTCAGAAGCTCCGTCTCCGGCCGCCTCTCTCGCGAATACGACGCCTTGTAGTCTCAGTGGTTCTGGTGCACTGGTCGACTCATTGGAACAGTTTTGCGTGATGATCACATCTGGCTACGTTCGCGTGGAATGGGGAGGGAGGCCACGGGGACTCCGCGTGCGGTACCCGCAGGCTCCATACACTCTTGACGTGGATGAGGTGGACGCTTCAAAACCGGAATATGCCCAAGGGACTAGTAAAAACGCGGCCTCCTCTTCGGGCTCGGCAGCTGCAGGTGGAGGAAGCGCGAAAACAAAATCTACACCCACAAAGAACGTAGCCAAGAACAGTGAAGAGTCACCCAGCGCTGGCAGTGGACCTGCCGTGAAAGAGGTTGTCCCGGAGGGTGAAACATCGGCTGTGGCTAACACAAGCGGGAGGGGAGAAAATTCGGGTGAGACCGCTGCTGCAACAGCTGGTGAGACCGCTGTAGCAACATCATTTAGTATGGCAGCAATCGACGTCGACGCGCCCTCTAATGTGCAGCAAACAGGATCTTCAGAAGCACTCCCCGCGCCAGGTGATGGTGAGAAAGCTTCAGCCGTGGAAGCGGTGTCAGAAACCAATGCAGCTGAAAAAGATGGAGCGATAGATACTCACGCTGCAAACGAAAAGGCTTCACCGGAAGAGAAGGCTGCCATCGTTGAAGAAAAAGCTAAGCAAGCGCCACCGTTCGCTTCTGCCGCATTAGCAGTGACTATGCCGCCTCCCGATAATGTTTTTCAGGTGCCAGCCGAGGACCCAGTGGCCGCGCCTGAATACCATACGCCACTAGAAGATAACGGTCATACACCTAGATTCCCATCGGGAAAAGCGTCAAAACACAGCTCGAAGAACAACAGCAAAAAGACTGCAAGCACCGAAGACACGAATGGCGAGGAGGGTTTCATCATCGATATTCCTGGTGACGATCCAGAGGCAGCTCTTCAGGAGGGTTTCGGCGTGTTGCTAGAGGACGCAATTGCGGGATCCATGGGCAACAGCACAGACCGCAACTCAGCAGTAGGGGCTGCGCGACTTGAGCAGTTTCGTCGGAGCATATGGCGCAACCTGCCTTTTCATCTGCCGCAGCATAAGGATTACCTCAGATTCAGGTTCAACCGTATGAGTAGATGTTTGTACTAAGTAGTCGTACTGAATGTGTAGACACGAACTTTAGCTTTATGTCCACACGATTACATTCATGTCCATTATGAAAATCGATTGATAGGTATGCCGACAGTGACTTCTCGGACGACGACGAGCATTGGTTGCGCGCATGCAATCTGTTTCACGCCGCTGCGGACACCGGAGACGTGAGTGCGCTTCTGGCTTTGTTGTCGGAGCCTTTTCGGGACGCGGGGCTCCGTGAGCCAGAGGAAGAAATGGACGTTTCAGCCTTGCTTGAAGGGCGCTCGAGTCTGGATCATATTCCTGAGGACCTGTATCGCAACAGGAAGTCTGCACTTGAGCACTATTCTGCGGAGGAGCACGGGAATGTGGCGCTTTTGATCGATTTCTTGGGGCGTGAGGATGAACGCAAGAAGCTGATTTCTGCTGCTATCGAGGCCAGTGCGCGGGTAGGGCTGGAGTCTCAAGGAAAATCAGAAGAGGACGAGAAAGCGAAAGAGGAATTGGACGCTTTGCTGCAAAGTTTAGAAGTAGCGAACGGTGGGCGCGGTGGGTCGACGACTTCCCCTGCCCCTGGGTCAACAGTTCCGAGGAAAACGTCGTTTGACGACGCTTCGCATGGCACGCCGAGCGTGCCAATCACGACGACGAGCGAGGAGGAACGAGGAGGCTTGTCTGACGTGAGCCGAACGAACGCAGTGTTGGATGCGGTTATTAGCCGTAAGAGAGCGAAGCACGGAAAAAGGAAGGGAAAGAAGGGGTCGGTGATAAAGAAGCCGGATGCACCGGATTGTCTTGCGCGGCCCCTCACTCCCAAGGCGAATGACGGCGGTAGCGTTTTGAAATTTGGTGCCTCGAGTTCCTCCTCTCCGGCGGTCTCGCGTGGTGGCGTCTCCACGAAGAGTCATGTCACTTCAAGCGTGCCTCGGGACATGGACCTCGTGTTAGGACTCTTCTTTGCGGCCGAAGCAGGAAATTTGCACACCTTTAGAGTTCTAGCAGAGGCAATTCGTCTACTGCTGGAGACAAAGCGTCTTTTTCGACCTGAGATCAATATGCGTCACATCTTGAACGCCTTTGTGATTCGCGTGGAGAAGTCGCGCGCGCCAGTCAGGCGCCGCGGGCGTCGGGTCCGCACCGATCCAGAGCCCTACCGGTATCGGTGGATCGATGGCTCAACCCTCCCCGCAACTTCAGGTGCCTCGGGGTGGAGTACTGCGACTAATTACACCACGAATGCGACCTCCACCACATCTCAGTCAAGGCGCAGTAGTGTTGACGCCACGTTAGCATCAAGTAGCGCATCCTCGAGTCAGGGAATTTCCCGACGACCCACGTTCGAGGAATCCGGGGGTGCCACGTCGACTGCGGAGGAGAGGCAACAGGAGGGCGCCGTAATAACACCTGCGTCTTGCGGAACGTTCGGAACCACTGAAACGTGCAGGAGCGGTTCCGGCAGCCGAAGACAGAGGAGAGGCACCGACGACGACAACTACAGCATGCTCACCGACGTGGCGTCAATCCAGTTGCCGGGGGATGCGGAGTGGCATAACCTACTGACGCAAATTGTTGGGCGCGACTCCTGGTCAGTGTTTCGTGAGCTCATGCGGACGCAACCAGATGTTCCCCTGAGAAACGTTTTGAACTCCAACGAAGTCGGCAGCGGGCCGTTGCTCCATTCGGTGCTGGACAATGTCGAAGAGGAGCACTTGTTCACAACGGTGGCCCTCGCTATTCGCCGCTGTCCGTCCACAGTCTACGAGCGCGATGAAGGCCGGGGAAACTCGTGTCTGCATATGCTAGTGCAGAGACTCAACGACGTTGCCAACAGCGAAAGATTTGCGGTTGCCACATCGGCTTCTCAGACGTGTCTCACGAGACTCGACCTCGCAGCTGACAACAAGCAAGTCAATGCTAACTCTGCTGAAGATCCTTTTCCTCCCGACTTTCTTGACCACTGTACGCGACCACCAGTGATCTGGCTGCTTACTTTTCGACTTCTATATACGAGCGGAGCGCCACTAGGTGCGAGAAACAGTGCTGGAGACACGGTTTTGCATAGATTGGCGAAGCGTACCTGGGCAAGAACCAGTTTAAGTGCAACGCTACTGACTGAGATGGTCTTCGTAGATCCTTCTCTCAGATATATGCTCAATCAGCAGGCACTGTATCCAATACACTTGTGGGCGCAGTACCCTGGTGTCCACCACGATCCCATCGCGGCGAAAGTTTTACAGGTTTTTTGTTTGTTAAACTATCAAGATGTTTCTGGTTCTGATCTCTGGCAGACGAAGCTGTAGATCGATACCGTACTGATGATCTTAGAGTAGATAGGAATTTCTGCACATCCATGGAGTGCTGCCATTTTTACATTACAGGCTCTGCTGGCGGACGTGAACGCCCCTTGGGCAGCGGCGGAGGAGCAACTAGACGAGCCACCACCTCAACAAGTGAGTGAAGACAAATTTGTCAGCGCTCTGTCAGAAGATACGAATCCGCCAGCATCAACAACAGAAAATCTTGAGGACATGCCAGGCGGTTCTTCGTCGTCGAAGGGCAGTTCTTCCTGTTACTATCCGAGTCTTGCGTATCACTGCGCAATCCGATCCAGACCTTTGTTGAAAACGGTTAGCGACCCCGCAGGACATGACAAGAAGACGCTGCTTCATCGCATGGCGCTACGTGGCATGGACTGGCCCAGTCGAGTTGGGTCTTCGGACGTGAGCGATTGGCCATTGGCGTCTTTTGCGGATCTGATCCTGGTTCGCGCAGGTCCTAGGTATGCTCGTGGGCTCTTGAATGCTCAAGATGGCAAAGGCCGTACAGCATTGACACTGGCATGCAAGCGAGGACACGCCGAGGTGGTCCGGTACTTTCTCAGCCGCATGAATGACGACGGCGTTTTTTCGCTCGACAGGAGGAAGAAGAGCGCCTTCTTCTACGCAATGCGGTCGTTAGCGCCTTCCGCAGTAATTGCGACATTCCGGAGACGTTTTGTGGGTGAGTCTTTGCCACTGTACCGTACCGGTGCTGCGCGTCGGGCCTTCGCGGATCTCTTGCTTTCCACTTGCACTTGTTTGAGCGCGGCTATCAACAACCTGCCCCAACAGCAGCAGAGTGCACCAACGCAGACAGGATCCCTGGACTCCAAGTCCTTTTTGAGCATGGAAATTTTGAAGGCTGTTCTCACGGGAGAGGAGCCAACTTCGGCGCCCAACGCATTACCCGTCAGAGTGCATTCGGATTCGGAGGGCACCGAGATCTCAGCGCATTGGGCCACCTCGGACACGGCGAATGAAGGAAGCTACGACTCAGATGATGACACTGAGGATTCAGACGATGATGATGACACCAACTCAGACAATGATGACGACGACGACGACGACGATCCTGATATGTCGGAGAATGACATGGGCCACTTTCCTTTTGGTTTTACCAGTGATGACAACGAGGCGGGTGATCTATTTGACGGAGGGTGGTAGGAAGGCGAAGAAGAAGTTGTCATGACAGCCTGGCACAGCTGTCAAGTGATTGTTGGACCAGGTTTGATATCTATGAATATTCACTTTGATTGATTCATTGGAATCTCTATCTAAAGACCGAATTGTTTTGTGTAGAATCGTAACTCTCTTTCTATCCACGCAATAAGTAAATGAATCGTGTCGAAAATACTTACAGAAATGTAATGTATTCGGCAGGTGATCTTGTTGTCCCAACTGTTTTGTCTGTTCGCCGGCTACTTTTATCCTGCGTGTTGTATCATGTGGTTGTTTTTTGTTTTGTAGAAGTAGAGACCGAGAAGCAGGCAAGAATTTGTTATGGAAGCAACGACTCTTCCTTCCTGGCAGAGCTGAGAGGGTGAATCTTGCTTTATCTACATCTTGTCAGCATCACTTCCTTGTCTGAAAAATATTGTTTTCTGCCAACACCAATTGCAAAAAGAATACAATAGGAAGATGAAAAATTTTTATACTTGAAAGATGCAATAACAAATGTAGCGCCTGTTCGGACGGATTCCCAAGACGTGAACGACGCAGACCTATCGTTATCGACGCAGCCAGAGTACCTGAATTTTATCGCGGGAGAGCGAAATCACATTACCCTGAGAACAAAAAGCGCAACCACCAGCGCAGTCATTAAGCGAGATCCTTTCCCGACGTTTCGTCGACGCTAATCACGAAGAGGGACGACGTCTTTCGCATGCTAAATGGATGGTGCAGTCTCATTACCTAATTCTCGGTGTGCCGCGCACAGCCACCCAAGAGGTCGTTAAGAAAGCCTATCGCGAGCTCGCGAAGAAATACCATCCAGACCGAAATGCTGGAAAAGCAGCGACCATGTTTCAGAAAGTGCAAGAAGCTTACACCGTACTTGGCGACGAAGGAAAACGAAGAGACTACGACAGCAGTATGGTACTATGGCTAGTCTCTATGCATTAACGTTGATGTTGTTCCCTGCTTCCATAAGGGGTCTCAAACAACCGCGGTGACCTGCTTCCATAAGCGGTCAGTAATTGATGTCACAAACAACTTTCATTGTTAAGAAACAGTTGGCAAATTGTAAGCGCCTCTTTTATCTGGTTCTACAAGATGCATGTGATAGTTAAAAAAAATGTTGCACTGTCAGGGCGTCACGTCATCAAGTTCGAGTAGTCGGAATCGTGATACCAACTCCGTCGATCCGGATGTCAACGAGAAAGTGAATCCAATGGCCGGAAGCTGGATGGACCCACAAGCGCCACGAAACCGCAATCCGAATGTTGAGCTAGCGAAAAAGCTGCAGCAAAAGCGAGAGCACTATGAGAGGCACGGTTCGGGTCGGTACGCAAATCCACATTCAGCGGGTGCCAACCCAGGCGCATACGCATTCGCAGATGCCGAAAGCCTGCGAGATCTGTCCTTTGCGCAGCAAGTGGAACGCCTTTGGACATCGACATTGGTGTGTCGACAAGTGCTCCTGATGGTGCCATTTTTCGTCATACCAGTGGGTCTACTAGGTTTTGTATTCTGTACTTGCATAGACCATAGCATGACGGGGTTAGGCAAGAAGAAAACGAAAAAGGGGAAAATAATTTACGACGAAGAGGGCAAGGCATACTGTCGCGATGCGCAGGGCTCCTACCGGAAACTCCCTTCAGCGTTGGATATTACAGACTAGAGCGTGTCGTATTGTAAAGAGTCATCACGTCCTGGCTTGTTTTTTGGTTTTATGAAAAGCTGATGGAGTGGCCTTCAGTTTTCCCGCTGTCATCGACTGTGCAGCAAACCCACTGCCTGTAGACCTGTTTCAAGTTGTGTGCAGTTCCGCGCACGTTCGCAGAACTTCTTTGGTGTTCTAGCAAAAATGACCACATTCTCCCACTTCGTGTAGGTAAAATTGCATCAACGCGGGAAGTGTAGGTGTTCTCGCCTCGGTCACTTCGAAACAGACTTCTGTTGCTACGATGTAAGATTTCTAGGGAAAAAATCCGAGAAGATGGTTTCCCGATTTACCAGGACCGGTGACTTCCACCCTTTTCGGCTGGCTAGGCGAGGCTTCGCTGGCGCCGCCAGCGACGGCGCAAGTGTGGACTGCTTGCGCCCAGCTCCCGCACCTGATGTTCACGGATCGGCTCGACAATCATTGGGCCTTCGCTGGTTTTTTGATTTCGCGGACCTGGCGCTACCGGAGGTTGAGTTTTTTACGCTACCAAGAAACTCTGTTTTCCCGTTGTTAGTACGGCGACGAACCAAGAGGACCAGGAGGTCACGACTCGAAGGGGAATGGGCAGGCTGGCAGGCTCGCGTGACATTTCGTACCGAGTGAAATATTCCTGGAAAGCCGGGGATTCTGTGCAAACACCGGAATCGAGCTCACGATGAACGTCCAAGTCTGCCATTGGTGTCTATTTCCCCGGCAACAGAAATGCTCATTGAGTTTGGGCCAGGAAAGGTTCCGCAGTGGATCCAGTGTCGCCCAGGCAGCGAAAATTCGTTTTGTACCCGCACGCAGCGCAATGCGCTGCGGGAACGGTTTTTGAATGTACTAGCCCGAACCGAAGGATCCGAGGAAACATCCGGGTCATTGCTGTCCCTTTTAGCAAATTCAAGCAAGCACGGAATCGGCAGCTTGCACTACTCTCGGCACCGCAAGCTCCTTGCGCAGGCCCTCGCCTCTCCAGTCTTAAACGAGCTGGAGTTTCCTCCCGAGTGCATCAGTACAGACACCCACCACAATGGAGTTTTGCGTGGGTGGCCAGTGTTGCTGCGAAGTCCGCACTTTGTGCCCCACTGTCTTGATTGCATGCGAATGAATTGGCACAAGAATCGCAAACGAGACAAGGTACCCCATGACATTGCTGACCATTGAACCCGCGAAGAGTGGCTCTGCAGATCTTGTAAGAATTGGCTTTATTGCAAAGATGGTGTTGCACGAACGTGGCATAGTTTCTGGAAACGGCATTGAGGTGTATGGCCACGCCACTCATGGTGTATGCCGGTGGCCGGGTGGCGGAAGCTTTCCAAGGTCTCGACGATTATGTTTTTGACCTCGGAGTCGATTATGATGTGAATGACCCTTCGTTCCAAGAAGACCGGTGCTTTAAATTTTTTAATCAATTTGTGGGAAGAACAACAACAACAACCATTTCGACTCCCCATAGACCACAACTCTCCATATCAGACAAAAATAATGTGAATGCGTGTGATAAAACCGCCAGTATAGTAGCTATGTTTGGGTCTTGACGACACGGACAGACGTCGAAAACAAAAGCGTGTTGTCAGCGAGTACTACAGTTGAGGTGGCAACGAATCTGATCTCTTTCCTTTCCGTTTGATAAAGATAGAGATCGCATTAGCCATGTTCCAGAATGTCATAGAGAAAGCTGACATCCGCATAGAAGATTCGATCAGATTCTCGCCTTCCATTGCCGGTCGTGCAAGCGTGACGTTTTGGGATATTAGAATTTTTCTGATTTCAAAGTGAAAATGGGTCCTCTGGTTATAGGTCGCTGGGTGAATTTTTGAATCATGATACTGATGAGGATGATCGTATGAATTTGCTGATAGCTTTTTTGGGCCGAAGTTTATCTCTTCAATCATAATGATCTTGTTTCCGCACAAACAGCATTCGATTAACGCTCTCGTGAACGGTCAGGTCATTTTACACTTTAAAAGAGCGCTCTCTAATTTTTACTGCTCGTTCTACTGCAGCTATGTATTGACAACTGGGGCCTCGCTCGAGATTTCTGTTACCTCTCTAGACGTTTCTAGACTGTTCTGTAGTCCTGTCCTGTACTCCTGTTCTGGTGTACTCCTGTCCTGGTGTAATCCTGTCCTGGTGTACTCCTGTCCTGGTGTAGTCCTGTCCTGGTGTAGTCCTGTCCTGGTGTAGTCCTGTCCTGGTGTAGTCCTGTCCTGGTGTAGTCCTGTCCTGGTGTACTCCTGTCCTGGTGTACTCCTCTCCTGTACTCCTCTCCTGTAGTCTTGTCTTGTACTTTTGTCCTGTAGTCTTGTCGCGTAGTCTTGTCTTGTGGTCTTGTCTTGTAGTCTTGTCTGACCTGTGGCCTTGTCCTGTAGTCTTGTCATGTAGTCCTGCTTTGTAGTCTTGTAGCCCTGTCCTGTAGTCCTGTCTTGTAGTGCTGTCTTGTGGTGCTGTCCTGTAGTGCTGTCTTGTAGTGCTGTCCTGTAGTGCTGTCTTGTAGTCTTGTCCCGTAGTCTTGTCCCGTAGTCTTGTCCCGTAGTCTTGTCCCGTAGTGCTGTCCTGTAGTCTTGTCGTGTGGTCTTGTCTTGTTGTCTTGTCTTGTTGTCTTGTCCTGTTGTCTTGTCGTCTTGTCTTGTAGTCTTGTCCCGTAGTCTTGTCCCGTAGTCCTGTCCTGTAGTCTTGTCGTGTGGTCTTGTCTTGTTGTCTTGTCCTGTTGTCTTGTCCTGTTGTCTTGTCCTGTTGTCTTGTCCTGTTGTCTTGTCGTCTTGTCTTGTCTTGTAGTCTTGTCCTGTCGTCGTGTCTTGTGGTCTTGTCCTGTAGTCTTGTCCTGTGGTCTTGTCTTGTCGTCTTGTCTTGTAGTCTTGTCTTGTAGTCTTGTCTTGTAGTCTTGTCTTGTAGTCTTGTCTTGTGGTCTTGTCTTGTGGTCTTGTCTTGTAGTCTTGTCTTGTAGTCTTGTCTTGTAGTCTTGTCTTGTAGTCTTGTCTTGTAGTCTTGTCTTGTAGTCTTGTCTTGTAGTCTTGTCTTGTAGTCTTGTCTTGTAGTCTTGTCTTGTAGTCTTGTCTTGTAGTCTTGTCTTGTAGTCTTGTCTTGTAGTCTTGTCTTGTAGTCTTGTCTTGTAGTCTTGTCTTGTAGTCTTGTCTTGTAGTCTTGTCTTGTAGTCTTGTCTTGTAGTCTTGTCTTGTAGTCTTGTCTTGTAGTCTTGTCTTGTAGTCTTGTCTTGTAGTCTTGTCTTGTAGTCTTGTCTTGTAGTCTTGTCTTGTAGTCTTGTCTTGTAGTCTTGTCTTGTAGTCTTGTCTTGTAGTCTTGTCTTGTAGTCTTGTCTTGTAGTCTTGTCTTGTAGTCTTGTCTTGTAGTCTTGTCTTGTAGTCTTGTCTTGTAGTCTTGTCTTGTAGTCTTGTCTTGTAGTCTTGTCTTGTAGTCTTGTCTTGTAGTCTTGTCTTGTAGTCTTGTCTTGTAGTCTTGTCTTGTAGTCTTGTCTTGTAGTCTTGTCTTGTAGTCTTGTCTTGTAGTCTTGTCTTGTAGTCTTGTCTTGTAGTCTTGTCTTGTAGTCTTGTCTTGTAGTCTTGTCTTGTAGTCTTGTCTTGTAGTCTTGTCTTGTAGTCTTGTCTTGTAGTCTTGTCTTGTAGTCTTGTCTTGTAGTCTTGTCTTGTAGTCTTGTCTTGTAGTCTTGTCTTGTAGTCTTGTCTTGTAGTCTTGTCTTGTAGTCTTGTCTTGTAGTCTTGTCTTGTAGTCTTGTCTTGTAGTCTTGTCTTGTAGTCTTGTCTTGTAGTCTTGTCTTGTAGTCTTGTCTTGTAGTCTTGTCTTGTAGTCTTGTCTTGTAGTCTTGTCTTGTAGTCTTGTCTTGTAGTCTTGTCTTGTAGTCTTGTCTTGTAGTCTTGTCTTGTAGTCTTGTCTTGTAGTCTTGTCTTGTAGTCTTGTCTTGTAGTCTTGTCTTGTAGTCTTGTCTTGTAGTCTTGTCTTGTAGTCTTGTCTTGTAGTCTTGTCTTGTAGTCTTGTCTTGTAGTCTTGTCTTGTAGTCTTGTCTTGTAGTCTTGTCTTGTAGTCTTGTCTTGTAGTCTTGTCTTGTAGTCTTGTCTTGTAGTCTTGTCTTGTAGTCTTGTCTTGTAGTCTTGTCTTGTAGTCTTGTCTTGTAGTCTTGTCTTGTAGTCTTGTCTTGTAGTCTTGTCTTGTAGTCTTGTCTTGTAGTCTTGTCTTGTAGTCTTGTCTTGTAGTCTTGTCTTGTAGTCTTGTCTTGTAGTCTTGTCTTGTAGTCTTGTCTTGTAGTCTTGTCTTGTAGTCTTGTCTTGTAGTCTTGTCTTGTAGTCTTGTCTTGTAGTCTTGTCTTGTAGTATTGGTGTGTTGATGTGTGTGTGGTGTGTTTTTGTGTGTGTGTTGTGTGTGTTGGCTGCGTGTGTGTTGCTTCTGTTTGTGCTTGGTGTGTTGTGTGTCTCGTGTGTGTGTGTGTTGTGTTGTGCTTGTGTGTCTCGTGTGTGCGTGTTTGTGTTGTGTGTCTCGTGTGTGTGTGTTTGTGTTGTGTGTCTCGTGTGTGTGTGTGTGTGTGTGTTGTGTGTCTCGTGTGTGTGTGTGTGTCTCTGTGTGTGTGTGTCTCTGTGTGTGTGTCTCTGTCTGTGTGTATGTGTCTCTGTGTGTGTGTCTCTTCTGTGTGTATGTGTCTCTGTGTGTATGTGTCTCTGTGTGTGTGTCTGTGTGTGTCTGTGTCTGTGTCTGTGTCTGTGTGTGTTGCTTCTGTTTGTGCTTGGTGTGTTGTGTGTCTCGTGTGTGTTTGGTGTGTCGTGTGTCTGGTGTGTTGTGTTTTATTGTTTTTGAAAAGTGAACATTTATTCCTTACCAAGTATAGTTCTGCTGTATGTTCTGCCCCCATTCGTTTCTATCTTTGTTTTTTAGTCTCACTCTCTCTGTATAACCTTTCACCTGACATCGACGTGAGCTTGACTCCTGTGGACAGTCAGTTCAATCTCCATTAGCCGAGGTTGATCAAAAAGAACTATGCCGCGCAACGCAAAACGGACTCCGGCCTCGAGCCGAGGCACGTTCTACGGGCGCCGAACCGATCTGGGCCTCGGCAGCAGTTCGGAAGAGGACGATGAACATCGTGGCGGTCCAGATATGTCCGACGACTTTCTGGAAGCACTTAAAGACGGGTCTTTCGAAGATGGCAACGGAAAGTGGACTCGGTGGTGGAGGTGGTGGAAATGACGGTGAGGATGGAAAGGGCGAGGATCTCAAGCACGTGCTCAACAGCCGGAGAAGTCACATGGACAGGGGAGGGTCGCAGCAGGTAGAGGGGCACGAAGGCATGAAAGCCGAGTTCGAACAAATGGCGGAAGATCACCGAACTCAACTGTCTTTTACTCGCTGGTTCTGCGCTTTGCGGCCGTTGCTTCTTTGCGGTGCGACCAGAATACAAACTGACCCGATCGACAAAAACGCAAGAAGTTTCTTCGCAGTTCCGAATATGGACTTCAACGAACAAACCGCAGGCAGCACGAGTCGTTTCCGCATGCTCAAAGACAAGAACCTGACGAAAGAAGAGAAAATCGCGATGACCCCCGTCACAACCTGGCCCGCAGCCGAGAACGCTGACGAAGTCAAAACGCTGGTGAAGAAGTTAGCCAAGCTGTCGCCTTTGACGAGCGCGGCTGTATGTGGATTCAACCCGACATTCCCACTCTGATGAAGGCGGCAAAAATGCAGCTGAAAGAGTTACCGGTCGAAGCGAACTTGTTGATGGGCTGGACTAGCAGCACTGCGAAAAACTACGCTAGCGCCGACCTCGGCGGTTACAGCAACGAGCTGATGGACGCAATTAAACCCGCGAAAGACTGCTTCGACGCGGCGTTGCACGCTCGTCGGAAGGAGAAGAGCAAGGCTGAAAGGAACCAAGCAGCTCCGGACACGTCCACCTACGGCGCTTTCCTCGATAGCTACTTCGAGGTTCGGGAGTTCAAGATTTGCAAGATGATTTCGGGTATTTGCGCTCAGCTACGCACCTGGGGCGAAGCGCTTTCGTGGATGCAGGAGGGAAACGACGCCGATGATGCGACCGAAGAGGAGAAAATCGCTCACCTGAAGGAGATGGGGTTTTGCTACGAGCAGCTTGGTCAACACAAGAAAGCGCGCGAGGTGTGGCTCAAGTTCATGGACCACTGGCTTCCGAAACTCGAGAATAACGAAGTGCCGGAAAAGTCGAAGGATCGATCGTACATGACGAAAGTTGCCTTCAACCTTGCGCAAAACGCGTACGAGCACGAAAGCAGCCTCGCCGACGGCGACAAGTGGTTGGACGTCGCTGTGAAGAAATTGTATCCGAAATTAAGCGACTGGTAAAACTGAGGTCGCAATGATGAAAATGGGTGCAGAAGGCGCACGCAGAGTCTTGACGGGAGAAAAATCTTTCAAGCCGCATTCGAGAACGCGTTCGCGTGACAAGATGACGGCCTTTGCAGCTCCCGTTCCGCCTTCTCCTGCTGCTGCGACCAAGAAATTCGAGATTGGAGATGTGGTCGAAATCACGCGTGCACAGAAATACGTCGGTGAGCGCGGTGAAATCATGTCGGACGTTTACAAGGACGCGAAGAACGTGCCACGGGTGAAAGTCGAGTTGAAGTACATTGCCGGAATGGTTTTGTCGGAACCGAAGGGAATCGCGTTCCAGGTCGCGCACCTGGACTTGGTGTACAGCAGCAAGAAGGCGACCGAAATCCAGTTAGAGTTCGAACAGGACGCGAAGAAAGTGTTGGCGCACAAGAAGCGCTTTTGTGTGGGGGACGAAGTGACCCTAGTGGACTTGGTGAAGCGAGCCGATCTCAGCGGGCGGCGGGGACTTATTCGCAAGCCGATTGACATGTTCCGCCCGCGATATGCTGTGCACGTCTTGCCGAAGTCGCAGAAGCAAAACGAGCACGTGTCACGCAGCAAAACGGCAGAGAACGAAATCGTGCACGTTTTGCCGAAAAATTTGCAGAGAATCTGGACCGGCCGCGAAAACAGTTTGAGTACTACCACAGAAGCCGGGCAGGATACCACAAGTTGCGCCATTTGTTGGCAAGAGTTGAAAGCAGACAACAACGAGGGGGAGGTTTTGGAAAAGTGCACGCCCTACGCTAACCAGTACTGCCTTGACTGCGTCAATGCGTTTGTTGCTTGTGGATTGACGAAGGACAAGGTCTGTATGATTACCCGCGAGATCAAGGACGAACAGGAGTTTGCTACGATTTCCAAAGTCACCAGGGATCGCCGTCAGAAAACTTGCGCAGGACGCTGCGGCTCCAGTGCTAAAAGCGGACGGCACCAGACGTTTGCTTCCGAGCGCGCTCAGGTTCTAGCTGACTACATGCGCATGCGGGACAATATTCCCGACTTTTTTCTAGAAGCGAGCGAGCACAAGAAGGATGGCCTTCTGACGAATGGCGAGGCAATGAAAGTCTGTACGGACGACTACAACAAACGACGTCTGGGAATGCTCAAGCAAAGGCACGCCGGTTTCCAGGCGCAGGGACATTCTGTGTATGGTGGAGCCGAATTGGCTGCCGACGCGGCGCGGCGTGCGGACAACTACATGAAGGGGTGCAGCGCGCACGACGGTTCCGACGACCCGGTTATTCAGCGCGCTTGCGACGTGAGGTTGAATCAGCTGGACAAGTTTGGCGACGGCGACCAGTCGGAGTTGACTTCAGTTCCGGGGGGTCCGGGTGCGGACCTGGAGCAATACTGGTCCACAGGAGGAACCTTTAATCCATTCTGTCGTCCCATGGACTATTCTCCTTTGATGCATGCAGCGAGTTCGGGTAACGATCGTGAGGTCGAGGCCATTCTAAACTCGATCAAAGACGCACCGGAGGAAGAGCGCATGCAGTATCTGGAGTTGCGGCAGTCCTCCCTGCGAATGACGCCGTTGCGCGGCCTCGTCACCGGAGCGCGCTTCTGTGAAGTGAACCGTGGCGTGGTTGCCGGCCCTAATATCTGGCCGAACCCACCGAAGAAGCACCAAGTCGACCACGAGAAGTGCGCCAGACTATTGTTGGAAGCCGGTGCAAATCCGAACTGCAAGGACGTCATGGGAAAAACACCTTTGATGCAGTGCTGCAACGCATTCGCCACTAGCGCTTCCTTCGCCGTCGCGGAGGAACTTGTGGAATTTAATGCCGACCTTTCACTCAAATGCCGGCTGGGCTCTTGCTTATTGCTACCTGCTTGCCTTCAAGGCCGTAAGGACTGCGTACAAAAGATGCTGGAGCTTGGTGCAGATCCGAACATGGTCAATGAAATCCGGTTGGGTGCTATGATGCCACCGGGAGTGCCGAAGGAGCAGAGGTTGGTTGATTTTCCATTTCCCAATCCGTCAGCAAAGGCTTGCACAGCGCTACTGCTGGAGGAGGCGGCACGACGCAAGAAAAGCAAGAAGTCGTGGAAGATCTAGTGGATACTTGGCTGGAGGAAGAGCTAGAGAGTCATGTAAATCGAGATAATTCTCAGTTTACCCTACATCGCCATGATGTCTTCATTGTTGATCAATCATGAATAAAGATATATTAGACTTCAGATTAATAGAATATTCCGAGAGGAAGTATTTTCGGAAAAAACGAAAGTGGCTAAGGCTACACTTCTGCCAATAGAAAAAGATCGATGCTTTTGGAAGCAATTTATCTGTGAAGTTGTGCCTCGATATACGGTCCGCGCAAGCTCTTGATCTACAATGTACACTCTCCCACACATGTCCTCACTGACCGAATCTGGACTTTCACGCGCATAAAGATTATCAAGGTTATTTTTCATAAAGCTAGCTGACTATAATATTTGTTGTTCGTGACATGTGACCAAGCTTGTGGTATCGTCTGCAAGCTGTATCCAAACTCCATGCGACAAGGTGCGGGCAAACGTTTGCAGGCCACGGCGCCGAGAGGACAACAAGGCACATGGTGACCGCGCTAATGCCGACAAGCTGCGGCAAAAAGTGTTTTCGATAGCGCAAAATGCCCTGGACTCGGTGGTCCGCCCGAACCCTCTGGCCGGATTTCAGATTAGATTAAAGGGAAGGCCAGGCGACGCTTGTGTAACAATGGCAAGTGGAGCACCAAAATGTTCGGATCCATGGAGTTTTGGGCTCATTTTCAGATTTGAAGTAATTCGGACGAATGAACAAATCACTTGCCTATTTTTCGATCAGATTTACCAGTAGAGACAGAATATTTTCAACCACAGGCTTCGTATCATTCTGCATTTTCAACATCTTTCAGCTTTGATCTTCGCGCCGGATTTAACGTCACTATTTCGCAGAATGTTCTTTGTAGTTCACCGCATAGCATTCATTTTTGGTGTTATTTACAACATTTGAATAAAGCTTTGCGTATCACAAACTTATTTTAACCAAGCGACACATCAAATTTTCTAGCCCAAGAATCGCGAAGATTTGCAAAAATGTTTCTTTCTACGCGACGAGGGCCACCAGCACCTATGAAGGGCAAGATTTTCTTCCCGGTCACGTCATTATTTCAACTACTCCTTTTATGGTCGGCGTCGGCGACATGCTGCGAATGGCTTCTACAACAGAACCTACTTCGCGGGTCCTTTTCTAGCACTTTTTTTGCCCATGCGAAAAAGTCCTCCTTCTTCCGCGCGGGGCTATCCTATGGCTGCCTCTCCGCGGGAAGCGACATCATGTCCCAGCTTCTTTGTGAAAAGAAGAAGCTGAGGCACTTCAGCTTTTTACGGAAAGACATGCCCGGGACAGCGCCAGGAGGGGATTCGCATGCGGCAAAGAGCAAGACCAACTACTTTATTCCCACTACTAGCTGTGTCTCAAAACAAAGGACCCTTGTACTAGAGCAGAAGATGGACAACATCATGGACTTGAGCAACTTCAACAGCAGCAACTATTATGACCCGATCCCGCCTAGTGCCAGTCGGAGATCAACCTCACCTTGTACAGTAGCTTCTGCCACCGACGGAAGTATGACCCTCGATCGGAAGGAGCCGACTATACCGGGGGGTAAGTTGTACAGTACGAATTTAAGCCGTGTTCTCTCCACAGCCCCAGGCACGATCCTCGCGAACAAGGGAGGATGGAAGGGAAAAAGAGGAGTTGTTGAGTGCGAAGGAAGAAGGGACGCCATGCCTGGCGCTTTTACTTGGACAACACCGACTTCAGCGTCTGCAGCTTCATCATTTTTATACCTTGGAGGTTCTAGTACAGGTGCAGCTACTGGAGCTGTGTCGCCATCTCCGCCAATTTCTTGTGCTACAGCGAGTCCTGCGATTTCCACCAGTTTAGCCGCTGTGAAAGAAAAGGAGTTCGACGTTTCCCGGACGCTTCGGTGGGGTTTTATTGGTGCGAGTTTAACCGGACCGTATTACAAGGCCGCTTATGAGATGGTGGAAAAGTTTTGGAAGAGCGAAGCGTTTGTTGGCTTGAACAAAAACTTGAAACTACAACTGCTTTTGAAGAATCTCTCCCAGCAGTTGATCATCAACCCGGTGTTTTTAGCGATTTTTTTCACATATTCCTCCATAGTTGAGGACTTCTGCAAGTCTGACTACGAGAAGGAAAGGATCGGGAGCAGTGGGTTTGAAAGTCTTTTTTCTCTGAGCAATACCTGTAGCGAGAAGATCGACGACAAGTTGCAGAATGTGTGGCCCGAGGCGTGTTTGAAGGCCATGGTTTTTTGGGGCTTCGTGGATCTGATTACGTACCAATTACCGGTTGGAAATCGGGTTTATTTCGCGTCTGCTTGCGGCGCGGTGTGGACGACGTTTCTTTCGTTTTTGGACAATAAGAAGAATAACGAAGTAGAAGTTTGTAATTCAGCAGGATCACAACTGCCAGTTATAGAAGCGGTTTTACCAGGAAAACCTCTTCGAGGTGGTGACTTGTACGGGAAGTCGTTACAAGACCACGAAGACCCGCTGCAGCAGTTGAAGCGAATCAAGGGCTTGGAAATGAAACTCCGGCAAGATGTTGTGATGGAAAGTACCACGAAGAGTTCGAGTTTAAGTTTTCTGAGGACTGCAACCCCAAGAACCGAACGCGGAGAACAAGAACAAGAAGGGGACCACGGCAAGGCGAAAGAGCTGGACGATAGCACGAGGACCTTTACCAGCAGTAGGCTGTCGCCGGCGCACCTAGATACTCTTCGGGACCATCATTCTGCACCGAGCGAATTTTCATTTTTCTCCAAGCTGCACTTTTGGACAGAAAAGGAAAATTAGAGAAATTGAGAATACAGTACCGGAAGAACAATGCATCGGAAGTAGCACTACGTATTTGCACTTCTGCAGACGAGAATTTCGATTTGGCTACCGCAAACGAAATGGCAATGTAGTAGAATATAATGGTCGAATCGCATAGGAAAAAGACGCTAGAGAAAAATTTGGAGTTTGCTCCGTTTTTGTATCGTTTTGACATTTTGTTTCAAGAATCAAAACTTGTTCATCATGACATTTCTGAGCTTGATATTAGTTCATTTTGAAGAAGCCCGGGGCCACTACAAGTTCCAAGTTTCTTTTCTGAAACAGTATACTATAATCCAAAGTTGCTTTTCATCCTTTTTTCGCTATTCAATTTGTTTGTTGCACCTGAGACGAGATTCTTTCTGCTCCTCTGAGAATAGAGGAAACGTTTTTCCTACAAGCCACAGTTTTTCTAGCCTGAACTAACAAAATGAACAAACCGTTCCTAGACGATATGCAGCGGCTGGTTCTAGGGAGCACATTTTTCACAGAGCGACTTGCTGCCGCAAGAAGTTGAAGTGCGCGGACCTTCTCAATAAGAAAATATTATACAGCCGTTTGACAACTAGATCGTGCACCCATTCTGTTTACCGCCTCGGTAATAGTACACAACCAAACACTGTAATCACCATCAGCGTAAAAGCACAGCTAATTTTGACCGCGCTTTGTTGATTCGACGCGAGGCTCCGTTTCAGCGATGTCTCTGTTTTGAATTTGATTCGATTGACTTGAGGAACGAAGGTACGAAAAGAAAGAATAGAACGGTCCCCAAAAATTTCCCAAGACGTGATCAGTTTCTGTCGGATCATTGTTTCTGTAGGACCATCATTACAGCGAATGTTCTAGATAGGAATCGAAAGACTACGGGAAATGAGGTATATATAACTACAATTTCTGGCGCATATCGGTAGGTCTTGGCTAAACAAGTGAGCCCGCTTATAAATAGCTAAGGTTTAGGCTAGCACTCAAGCCAGAAAGGGCGCAGCTCCTAAGTAGACAAACAAACGAAAACAGAGTGTTGAGCTTCTTCACAGCGTGAGGCTCTAAACAAGATAATACGGATATTCCTATTGTTGTAGTTGTGGTTGTGATGATGTTTTTTGGAGCACACAAAGCTTATGCCTGAAGATGAAGGAAAGGACTTCGTATGAAGGTCCAGCTGTTCGCGAACTTCGGGGCTTTTTTTGTCTTCGGTTTTAGAGTTATTGATGAAGGTTTCACCTCGAAAAACCGCATTACGGAGAAGTGCGCAGCTGAGAGAAGATAGATAGAAGTCGAAAGTTTATTGAGATAGGAATAGAGACAATGAAGGCCAACTTTTTTCCAGTGAGACGGGGCATTCCCATTCGAGGTGCCCACTTCGTCAAGAAGCATCAGTTTCGTAGTTTTGCAGTAGAGGCAGACTTGGAGACTGAAGCACAAGTCTCGTCGAGCCGAGCTTTAAATGGTATTTCCTCGGATGGGCGTTCGATGGTTCTTAGAGTGCGCTAGCGACGCTTTACGTGAAATGAAATTTTTCACGCTACCGCGTAGGTCTGGTTTTCCGCTGCTTATGCGACGGCGCGACGATGTAATCCAGGAGCGCTCAAAATTCGACGGCAGCTGGGTGGGATTACAGTTACATGCGACTTTCCGGACTGAGTGTAATATGGTCGGAAAACCGGGCGCACTTGGTAGACACTTTAACAAAGGTGCACGTGGAATATGGCCGGACTTGCCTTTGATTTCTGTTTCTCCGAATACCGCAAGTATATTCTTCTTTTGTCAGAAAGAAGCGGAGCGGAAATATCTTCTCAGCCGCTTGAATAGTTTCAATGTCTTCAATATTCGTTCCCAGCGTGAGAAATTTCGTCAGAAGTTTTTCGACCTTCTTGATCGTGGAGTGGCGTCCGAAAGTGTATGCAAACCGCTGCTCTCGCTGCTGCAGGAATGTGGTCGGCAGTCCAATGGCACCATTCACAATGGCTAGGTTTCGAAGAATGATAGCGCAGGCGATGTCATTTCCCGTTCTGAATGAACTGCATTTCCCTCCGGAGTGCATAAGCACAAGCATAATTCATAATGCGATGCTGCGCGGTCATCGGCTCCTAGTTCGAACCCCTCACTACGTTCCAGAGTGTCTTACCTGTGTGCGCATGAACTGGCATAAAAACCATAGCCGTCGGAAATATCCCTACGAGCTTTCAGACGGTATCGATTTTTTTATCATTCTTTTCGGCGCGGAAGCTGGAACCGGAGATTTGGATAAAATTGCTTGCATTCCTAAAAAAGTTTTGTACGAGCGGGGAATAATCGGCGGATACGGTCATGGCGGCTGTTCCACTCCCTTCCTGACTCACAAGGGTGGGAGAACCTCAACCGCCTCTCAAGGTCTTGAGAAGTATCTCCTTGATGTTGCCGTCAACTCTAGCGAACCTTTTCAAGTACAAAAACGCACCAGAGATTTTTTCAATCGCATTCTCAGAGATCATCACTTACAAGTTTTTTCTGGACAAACGGGTGGGGAAGAAACGCGAGGTGAACAAGAAAGTGCTACTAGAAGAGGTGCTCTCGCTACAGCTCATCTTGGGATCATTTGAATCAGCGAGAAAAGCCAGCGCTTTCAGAATGCTACACCTCTGGAAGTATACTCACAAGTTGCAAGATAGACGGAATTTCAGAAAATGGTCGGTGCGCATCTCGGTCTGTCAAATGCAGAAGCAGTAAAATGCGTCTCTTTTAGAACCATATTTTTTCAGAAAACGGCTGCAAAGAGAGTATCTTCACTGCAAACAGAGATAGAAAGAGTACTAGCGGCTACGTAACAAGGTTATAGGGCGAGAAAAAACTGATATTCGAAAACTCTATTTTTCTGTGTGTTTCAAAATTATTGGACGGGCTTGAAGACCGCCATGCTACAGCTCAAAATAGTAGAAGAAAATGCTTGAATATTGAACCGAACTAGTAGAAAAACTCGTGCTGATCCATACTAGGCAGTTGAGAAAGAAATAAACATGTGGAATTATCTCGCTTCTGGAAGCGGCACCGAGTCGGTCGACGACGAAGACTCGGGAACGTTGGCTGTAGCTATCGAGAATGCGCACAGGATGCGCATCGAGCATGTTGATGCGCAGAACGGGACTGAAGGGAAGGAAAATATGCCCCCGCCTGAGAGCAGCGTCTCCAACTCACCGTGCAGCTCGAGTGGTGAGGACGGAAAAGGGCAGCCTGCTACACCGCTGAAGCGTTTAGTCGTGCGGCCGCGGTGGAGTCCAAGCCCGCGTGTGCTTGGGTCGCAGAATGTCCTTTACCCAGTCGTTGCCGCGCCACGATCAGCAGCTATTGGAACCGGCACTAAGCCGACGGCGCTTCTCGTTCCGCAGCAGGCGCAGTGGGGAGCAAGTGTGCGCCTTCCGAAGGTCCTCGGTTTCAAACCGTTCTTCGTTAAGTCGGCAACAGGCACATCAGGTAGTGGGACCAAGCAGGTACATCAGGAGGAGCCGCTTTTGTTCGCCACAAGTAGCGAGGTTAAGGATTCTGAAGAGGAGGACCCGACTTTTGCGTTTGCCGCGCGGACGACGAGCAAGTATGCAAACGCTACCGATAGCGGTATTGCTACAAAAACGACCTTTGCCGGTTCACCAGCCTCCGATTCACTTTCGGCGGAGGAACAGCAACGACCGTCAAGATCCGAAAATAGAAGCGTGATCTTCCTGGACCTCGAGCCTCATGAAACGTATCTGCAGCGTGTCGATGAGATTACGGGTGATGTGCAGGAGGACGAGGAGCATGCTCGCGTGATGGTAGAGGTTGGTGTTGAGCAATCTTCTTCAACGAATAGTTCGTCCTCAGCGAATAGCATCAACACAGTTGTAACGGCGGATGAGCTCGGATCGATTCCCACACTCTCACCAGATTCGCAACCTGCACTACCAAATGTGTCGATGGTTCGAGCGGATTCGAGCTTCTCGACTGCGACAGCGGTTCCGTCGTTTTCAGTGGCCTCAGCTGCAACTATCGAACTCCCACAGGGTCGCAAGAGTGGTGAAATAGATTTGAATGTGCCCTTTTCAAGTGGAGCTTTACGTGCAACATCGTCGTCGTCGATGCCACGCACACCGGGCGGACGGGAGAGAAGTAGATTTCCAGCACCGACGAATGTATACAATAATCGGCAGGGACATCTTCAAAAGGACTTGCCAAAACAACTCGGAGGGCTTTCTCAAGCCGTTTCCACAGCAATAGCGGACTTCCGCATGCAGGGACAATCATCGATGACCAGCGTGACGCCACAGTTGCCACCTCTGTCACCGTCAAAACCCGAAGGTGCGCCATCCACAGTGCAAATGACTCAGCGGACTTCCAGGACCCAGAGCGTCGATTTTCTCGACACTGTAGCATCATCGAGGACATTCGAACGAAGTGCGAGCGTTTCGGGGCTTTCACGTCAAATGTCAAGACCCCGCTCCTTGACAGCAGATCAATGTGCGAGTCTGACGAGACGTCGGTCTTTCAAAAGCGAAGACAAAGCGGCAACGGGTGACGCAAGTTCCGCATTTGCCTCACCCGCGCGTGGAATAGTGTTTGCGAATGCAACCGGACATTCGAGTGTTCCCTTTCCTGTCACTGGAAGGTCTGCATCGTCGTCTTCATCCTCGTCTACTCTCCTTCTTCCCAAAAGCACAAGTCCATCCGTCACTTCTGCGGGAAGGACCAAGTCCCTCAATGATGCAGCTGCTAGAGATAAACAGCAACCTTCATGGCACGCGAAACAAGCTGCAGGTGATGAAAAGAAGTGTCAAGTTACCAGGCATCAAGGAGTAGCAACTGCCGGTGCCACAAATGGACTCTTTCGCAACACGCTCGGCGGTGGGCCTCTGCTTTCGCGCGCTGGGTCGGCCTCCAGTTTTCTCGCAACGTCTTCCCAGTTTCGCATGGCACCTTTGGAAATGAGGCCGTTTGCTAGTACTGTGCCGAAAAATAGCATCACTGAAAGTGAAGTCACAAGGAAAACGATCGGCGAAAGTGGCCCAATGCTGCGGAGATGCTCTACATCTTTACTTTTTGCGCCGATTGGGGATCACGTGTTAAAATTGCCACCACCTGCATCAAGCAGTGCTGCAGGATCCTGCCCGGATAAAGTTCTGAGTGATGATCGACCGCTTCTGCATCCCTTTGCTAGAGAAGGTCAGCATCGAACAGCTGCGGAAATCGAGGACGAAGATCTCTTGAAAAGATCAAACTCAGACGGCGCACTGCTTCTAGATGAGGATCTTTATTCTCAGACGGCGGGAGACGAACGGATTCCATCTCTCATCGCTGATGAAGAAGGAGATGCTACTTCATCCAGTTGTCACTTGCCGACGTCAATGCTGCAAGCTGCCGATGGAAGTGTGGCTAAGACGAGTTGTGGCTCCGCGTGCTGTGGAACACACGGGTCTGCCGATGCAGTCGCTGACTGCGACGCGCAATCTGGTGCGGAGCCGAGCACCCACAGCAGAACATGTAGTGCGTCGCTGTCAACAGCGTCGGACGCGGTTGTAGCGAGCTCGAGTAGCGCAACCTCTGTTTCCTTGCCGAGTTGTCTGCACCTATCCTCGCACGGCTCGTCATCACATTTGGGGGCCCTATCGATGTCCTCAGGACCGATTTCACTAATGCAATCGATTGACGATGTGCATTCCTCGCCAAGGGACAGCGGCACCGCCAGTGCCTCCCGTCGAGGCGCGTCGTCATCGCCATCTTCAGACTTCGTGCCACGAGAGGAAAAGCGTTACGAAGTACGAGAAGCATGTGAGTCAGATTTTGAGAGTGCCTTGTCAGCTTCGGTGTCCGGACTGCAAGCATGCAAGCGTTTTCTGTTGACCAGGTATCGCGAGATTCGATTACCTTTACATCCGGCGCTCGTCCAGGCAGCGTCGTCATCGTTTGAAGATCCTCTAGGAAAGCTGAAGTTCCGGTCGTTCCTGCACCGTGTAGAGCTTGCGGAGCTGGACATCTTCGACGAAACTATAGTAGAGACGGCTCCTCAGGAGGATGGCAAGGACCCATCTTCTGCTACAGACGGAATTAGTGCGGGACCGACGGATACTGTCTTGACAAAGGCCGATGCTAGCACGTGTGGTGCAGAAGAAGCAGCAGGCAGCACTGGCGGCTCATCACCGGTGTCGCCAGGCACCGATAAAGCTGCAAACACCCTGCGTCAGATCACTGGCAGTGCCGAAGGAGGTGGGCTCAGAACAAGGCCAGAGCAGTTGCCGGATGCAAATGCCGCAACGTCGTCGTCGAGTGGTTCTTGTTCCGCCATCGCTACCGCGGCCCAGCAACAAAGGCGAGCGCAAATGGCGAAGCTGCAGTCTCATGCTGTTGCCTTGTATCTATTGGCAGGGATTGAACTCGACATGAGTGTTTGCTTCTGTGCCTTTCCGGGTTTGCTGGCTGCCATCAAGGTGCCGGAGTGTCTGTGGGAGCTGGTCTATCGAAGAATAGCATCACAAGGAATTGCGTCGAAGATAGTACGCAAGAAATCCCGAGTTAGTGCAACTCTTCTTGAGAGTGTTGACGAGTTATCGTGTGCGGAGGATGCTTTGCCGCCTGTGGAGGAAGACAGTCTAGCTTTTTTCGACGAATCAGCGTTGGCGCCACAAGTTCATCACGACGGGGCTTCCTCTTCTGGGGAGAACCAGTCAAAAGCTGTGGCATATCACGAGAGTCTTCTTCTAGCATTTTCAGATTTTCGAACTGCTTCGACACGACCACCTCCATGTGGTCCGCCAACACGAGAAAACACAGTAGGCGGCGAAGCTGAAAATGACGAGGCGTCAGTTGGATCCTTGCTAGAAGATGTGGCAGAGCGATTGCTGGAAGTTGAGGAGGAAAGCAGTAGCGATGAGGACTGCGGTGAGACCGAAAGTGACTCACTCCTCCGGAATTCTAGTAAGCGACAGAATTCAGAAGCCGCAAAAGCACCACGAATTGCTGAGTACTATTGCGCATCTGAAAGCCAAGGAGGACGAAGATTGAGGAACCCACATCAGAAAAAGCCTTCTGCACGACGCGCCGAGCGCTTGGCCTATGTTCATGGTCTTCCTGGAGTGTCCGAGATATTGAGGGACGTGCGTGCTGGGCGCTGGAAGCCTCTAGAAAGTCCTTCTCAGGCATGCACCGCGATGCTCCAGTTTGACAGAGATTTTTTCGCTGCTGCAGTTGCCGATGTGCCAGAAGACCAGTCTGAAACTCTGAAGCATGAAATGGCAGTGCGCGCGCTTCGAGACATCAGCGCAAGCACGATGAGTAGATTGGGGAAGCTCGGTTTCGGTCAGAATCAAAGCGAGAATACCTCTTTAGCAAGTTCGAATGGCAAAGCGACCCGCGAGGAACAAACTGCTACAAAGATTTCATTGTCGGACAAGCAGAAAGAACCGCCAGTCTTACTAGTTGCCGTAGTGCAGTTGATGCTTGGGGTACCGCCTCCTGGAGTCGTCATTGACCAGGTGCTAGCCAGTTTGTGGGCTGTCCTCTGCAACGGCTCAAACATTGCAGACGGGATTGGACAAGACAGACCAGAAGGAATACAGCGGTATTGAATTCGAAAAACACAAGAAATAAATTATCTGGTTACATTATCGAGGGGCTTTATCGGACAAAGACACTATTTCTCGCGGTCCGCAAATGAGGAAGCAGTCACCTAAGCGCTCGAAACACTGAAGTGCACTGAATTTGGGTATGTTGTGTTCTAGAAAAACAAGAATAAAAGGAGAGCTTAAAGAAAAACAGCATCAAAAAGCTTGATCCGATCACTATTTCTCGCGGGTATTATGTTTCGCAATTTTGTCCTCGATTTCCGTTTACTTCAAATTTTTTTGCTTACCCAGGTGTGTGCGCCTGCCACGTGCTTTTTTGCGGATTTTGTGCCGATCGGTTCTGGAGTTGCTGCGAACACATACACGAAAGTTTCGCACCACATCTGCGGTTGGAGCCGGCCCGGCTGTGTTGAACTCATGTATGGGAGTGTTTAGAAACTCCCTAAGCATGTTGTTACTGGTTTTGTCTTCATCACAGTTACACGGCGATCCGCAATTTTGCGCCAGTGTGCTCAGCGAATTCAGTCTGTTGCTAGCCATCCCGCTTCGGGCCTGCGAGGCAGATCACCAGACTGCACCCTCAAGCAGCTTGAGTTTTGAAGGCCTGTTCTATCTCGGCGAAAGTTGTAGTGCACCACCGGTTCCACAGCGGGCTAGAGATGCCGCAAACCAGGTCTGGCTGGGCGCAGAAGAAACAGTGTGGAATGTGGTCTCGCCGGTGGCCATGGATGTGCGCGACTTCATTACGTACTCCGTTCGAACGCTGAAACACCGACATCCCGATGCAGACGCTGGCGCTAGTGGTCCGTCCTCTCCTACATTAGAAGATGAGAGACGGGAGACATCAGGTGTGACGGAGGCTGCTAGCAGTAGCACAGAAAGGGGCAGTGGTATTATAACCGGATCTTCTGGGGAGGGAACTAGTGGCACTTTAAGTGGCACTTCAGAATCGTCAGTGAGTACTTCTTCTGCTACAGTCGAGAAAGCGGAAGCGCGGGACGAAGAGGATCAATTGATGAGAATTGTAAATAATTCTGCGCGCGAACGCCTGGCCAGCTTTTTGCGTTTCGTTTTGCTCACACCGCACGGACATCATGGCCTTTATTGGCAGCATCTAGTGGAGTTCACTGTTCTAGAAGCACATGAGGCTGCACTTCGGAGTGGCCGGCGAGAGCCAGACTACGTTCCTCCTGCAGTCGCTTTGATCCACGGTATCACTTTTACCTATTGCTTCGTCACGCTTACTGCTTAAAGATTTTTTTTTCTATAGATGTAACTGTTGTTACTTCACGAAAATATTTTTTATACTCCGTTAATACCCGACGACAGGTATTGCTGGAGCGGCTGCACGGCTGCTTGCGCAGCGCTTTTTGCGAGGTTTTCGCTCCGAAGAAGAAGATGTGTTTTCTGATAATTGTACGAGGAGAGGTGACGATGTGCTCGGTGAGGAGACAGTTGTGGCGTCTCAACTGAGCTGCGTGTGGCCGACCAGCGAATTCCTCGTCTCCAACAAACGGCGCGCCGACGCTTTTCGATTTTGGCTTTGCTTCGTGCAGAAACTTGAGATTACTCTCACAAAACTCGTAGAGACAGTGATTATATCGGTTTTCATGGCCCTGCCGTTGCCGCAACTGCAACAGCAAGTTGGTCGTGATAGAAACCAGGACGACCCTGCTCGGCAACTGGCGCATGAGGTCAGGGCACATATCACTCCTCAGGAGTATAATGAGCGGTGGCGGACCCTAGGCGAAGTGTTTGCGTTTCCAACGCCCATGCGAAGGTTCTATCCCGGTCACACGGAACACCCGAATCCGCCACCGACTTTGCAACCACTGCAAGTGTTGCAGACTTCCATGTTCCAGAAAGTCGCACGTGAGTTCCAGGCGAAGGTGCTCAGCGCTCTGGGACGGCGCACCGACGAACAGTGCGAGCGATTGGCGTGCCACAAAGTGAGCAAGCTCCACCACACGCGAGAGTCCGCGAGGCAAGAACGTCTAGCGCTGTTGCAAATGCTACAAGATTCTGGAGGAGAGGGAACGTTGCAAACTGAACTAGTAGCGACAGACAACTTCATTCACAAAGTGGACGAAGAAACGTCTCGCCTGCGCACTCTCGAGATGGAGTATCTGGTGTCTCTCGCGCGCGCTCAGGCTATACAAGAAACTTCTTCTAGTTCGACAACAAATATCTAGAATTGGTTAGCTTGGTTTCCACAAGAAGCAGGTACGTCTAGCGTGATGAGGAAGAGGTAGATGAATACTAGAGTATCTTCCAGATAAAAATGTGCCCAGCAGCGGTTTTCCTACACGAAGGAGTTGATCATGACGAAATAAATTTGACGACCAAATAAATGACACCTGCTCTTCTCTTGTTCGCAAACAGGAGCGAGCGTCCTAGACGTTTTACAAAATGTCCCTGTAGTAACTAATCGGTCCTACATTTTCCGTTAACTAGTACGGTTGCGACCAACAATCTATCAAGCTAAAAATCGAAGACATGAACAAAAGGACATGCCTTTGCATAAGTCACAGCTACAATGAACAGACTCACTTTCGTTTTCATAGAACTACCCAGTATCGATGAGGTAGCTACAACTTAGGCAGTGGACGGTTAATACTCTGCCACTAATACCGTCAACTGCCTAAGCACTAAGACAACTAATAGGATACATTTCGAAAAGCATACTGGTGGAGCTGCACATGCTGCTTCGTTCTCATGTGGTGATAGTTCAACCGATTACTTATTTATTAAAAGAGAAGTTGAGTTAGAAGAAAGTAGATGATGAATAAAGTAAAAGTTCAAGCTGGTGCGGTGGTTTTAGGCTCCTCATCGCTACAGACATATGTGTACAGCAAACATAGCTCATATCTACATTTTTGCTACGCGTGGCGTAGGTCTGACCTACTACTAAACACTGTAAGAGACTATTGCAAGAACATGTGTAATCACTCCTGTCTCGACATTGGTTCGTGAGGTACGTTTTTGTTTCGTGGTTTTCATCAGCCTAGACGCTGTATTGCTCACTATCAATATCTCTCTACAGGAACAGGAAAGCATATTCGAACCGATGTTTCTCTTTTATCAATCTTTTTTGTTTCTATTTTGAGTTTTCCGGTCCTCGGGCTGGATTGTGCGTGGACTTCTTGAGGTTATCCACCAACACGCACGTGCCTGAACGGTTCGTCCATCTCAGTCACGATCCAGCGAATGCAGTGCCTAGTCCATTTTTGGTATAGAAAGTTAGAACTTTTGCTAGCTACATCGAAACAGATCATGACGGAAGTTATTTCAATATGATTTCTTTTGTTTTTTTGCATTATTAGTCAGGTCGTTGATCAATAGAAGTGTGATTGTTCTATAGAAAGACGCTGGTTCGAAAGGTTTACAGGAAAAAAGGTCGAAGTCCTCTATGCCTTCTGAAAGGTCGCTGATTCCCTAGTAATCATCGAACGATCCCTATATCACACCTTACGTGATTTTTTTGGCAGCCGACCTACCAGCTATCCTTTTTCGATGGATTTGTGTTCGTTCTTCTTCAAGTGAGGCTGCGGGTATGGAGTGAAACAGAGGGGTTTCTTTGTGATACATACGAAGAAAGCTGCAAGAACGAGTGACAATAACATAGAGCGACCGTGAGGAGCGTTGGGGTGAAGAGGTTACGTTATAGAATTCCTGTGTGCGACACTACTTGGATTCATTTGTATCTAATTTGTTTCGTCGGTCAGAAACGAAAGCACAATGAATCCGAAGCGTTGTTTGAGTACACAATCAGGAAAAGAGGTGTTGACTGATTTTGTTCATGATCCTGCATTTTTCTGCCTTGTCGCATGTGCACTTTGGATTCAAGGAAAGGAAAATGCTGCTGAGAACATAGCATGAAACTACCTTAACATCCATCTTAGAATAGACGATATTTTTAGGAAATGACGACGTTTCTTCGTTTTGGCATCGGCTGAGACATGCTCTCATGTCCTGTCTGCAGAAAGCAGTGAGTGACGACCCTGACGGAGCGTCGCCTCTGTGGTGAAGGGAACCCACAATGCTTCTCTATCGAGCTGCGCGGACCACGAGAAAATGGATGTTCTTGTTTGGGCTTTTATTTTCTCTTCAAATTTTTTGCCCGGCAGCGTCTGAACAAGCGACCGAAGGAGATGACGAGACAACATTCGAGGACGCAGGTCTTCGAATTCAAGATGTTGTTGCATCCCCGCAAAGCCATTCCTCAAGTGGCAATGGCGACGGTCCCCTCGAAGAAACCAAGTGGTTTCTCGTGCCCTTTCCAGAGAACATGCAGCAGATCCGTGGCATCGCTTTGCCATGTGAGTATTTCGGACATATGTACTCTTTCGAAGTGAGCTTTGCAGCCTTCATTCGGGATAATGTTTTCCTACGTGCAGATTCCGCTGATGAGGCAGAGTTTGTGCTGCTGCCACATTGCATTACAATGGTCTACCACGCCCTGCGATACCAGATGGGATTCAATACGCGCAGAAAAACGTGGGAAGCGCTCCACATAGCGCAGGCAGAATACTTGTTGGTATAGAATAAGCGATCACTCATTCAATTAACATTGATAAAACAAATTCAATACTGAGAAGTTGAGATGGGGCTAGCACCAGAGCTTGTTAGTTGTTACCACGAGGGTGCTTGGCTAGCAACTTCTATTTTTGCTGGTAGTCCCTAAACGTTTGATAAATTTGTTGAATGTTTGGTACACATTTAGACTCCGTATTTATTAGGTTATTTACCTCATTCTTGCCCTTCATTACCACCCTTGATTTCGTGGACACGTGCCCAACCTTGGTTTGAGCGGAACCGCCATAAGATGGTCGTGCCATACGCGATGGATAAGGGGCGTGTCGACTACCCACTAGCCTCGGAGGCTACCCAAGACTGGCACGCAGTCACCACGGTGGGCTCCCGAACATGGCTACGGGATCGAGTGGTACATGTGACGCTGCGCAGTGGGAATGGCATTGGAAGGGAGAAAGTGATGCACTCGGGCCCTAGGGCTAGAGGATTGGAGGAAGAAGAGGCCATCAACGTATCTCCTGTTGGCACCTTTTCGGGATACGAGGAGCCGATAACAGAGACTGATGATATTGAAGCTTCATCAGACAGGGTCGGAGACGTTCCGGGTCATGGGGACGACAGTTCAAAAAATTTCGATGCTGAGTCTTTAGCTGCTGTCATTGAAGAAGAGGTGCACATGGAAAAAGATGCGGAGAAAGAGGAAAATGCTGATAACGAGGAAGCCACTCCTTCCCCCCCGAATAAGGCTGCATTATCCAAGGAAAATGAAGAGGACGACCAAAATTCGGAAGCGTATTGGAATAGTGCCAAGTGGATTGATCCTGTGTTTCACTACGATAAGGAGAAAGCGGTCTTTGGATTTCTGCGTCGAGAACGAACAAGACAGATACTTCGACTTCAGAAGAATTTGAACGCCGTCGACGAGCTCAATGCAAATGTTGGAGAACTTGATACAGCTACGTCAAATATTAAGTCTGCACCTTCACCCCTTCCCTTTGATCCTTGCTGGAACCAAACCAGCGTGTCTAAACGAGCCTTCTTGTGGTATCCGCAGGATGCGATTGTCCCTGTCCCCACTGCTTTCTATTTCACCGAAGAAGCCGCCTCAACCCAGAACCGGTTTCGTCTACTTTTCTATGCTGCAAGTGTCAATTCGTGCACGCGGCGACTGGTGTCCGATGTCGCACACATCTTCTGGAATGATGGCAAAAGCAAAGGTGGTTCAGCTGCTGTGGCTTCTGATGTTCAAAATATAGCGCAACAGCAAGAATACAGTGATGTCTTGGTTCTCGCTGGCACTGTAGATCGAGACACATGGCGAGGATACATGTACGAAAGTCGGTACTGCCTCGTGCCCGACGGGTTTTCCTCTGTATCAGCTAGGCTGTTCGAAGTGATGATGCACGGCTGTTTGCCAGTGATCATCTCCGACGCCTTTCACGGGGCCTTCGAGCACTCTCTTCCGTGGACGTCCTTTGCCGTTTTTGTGGCTCGCCGGGACGTCACGCGACTGCCGGAGATTCTCCGTCAGATTCCAGACGAAGAGTATGTCCGCCGACATCAGGACATGCGCTCGATTCATCCGATGTTGCACGAGGAGGCCGGTCAGTTTTGGACAGCGCTTTTCAAAGAGCTTCGCATCAGAATTATGAATAACGTCTAGCAAGTATCTATACGAATTATATGATAGATTGATAGATTTAGAAACAAATAGTTATTGCTGTGTAAGTCTTGGCAACAATGTTTCTGCTCACTCATGACAGCGGAGCGGCGAAGACTGTTTGTTTACATACGCGCGACAGCGAGAATGAGGTGAAAACTAGCAATTCCTTGGGCATTCGGTATTTGTGAGATCTTCTAAAATACGGATGGCACCCGTCAACGTGGAGTAATGTCTTGGTTGCCTTTGCTGCAGCTGAGCAAGGAGGATGAGCGTCCTTGATATGATTTACGAATTTACACTGACTGCCGCCACCTTTGGTAGCACGCGCGACGAGCATAAGTATATATGTTCCAGGGGCCAGGGGCCAAGGCCCTCCCACTCTAACTTTTTGAGGGGAGGCCTCCCGCCCCGGACCCTTTTTCTTGAGGGACTGCCGGGCGGGAAGGCCTCCAAAGGCCCACTTCCGACCCTTTCCGCTTCTTTCCTGGACGTTACAGAACTCCCATCCCCGAGGCCGTTGAAGCATCGGAGGCCGAGGGTGCAAGGCTTCCGAAGGTGACAAGGCTGGGCCCCCTTTGGCTTGTTGCGGCTTGTTGCATCTACCCTACAGACCTCCAGGGTGCGGGTTCCTCACTGGGGGAGTTTCTTGGAAGGCCTCCGAGGGCAGCAGGTGGCAAGGCTTGACCCCTTTCGCCGTGCTGCATGTATCCCACAGAACCCAGGCGGGCACGCCTTGCCCCCCCCCTCCTCCTCGCCTTTGGTCCTCAACCCCCTGGGCGTTTGGCTTTGGTGGTGGCGGACGCTGCCACCAGTTGGGGGGAGGAGGGCCAAAGGGGCCAGTCCTCGCGATCGTGGCCGCCTTCGGCGGCCTTCTTCCCCCGGAGGCTGTGCCCCTGATAGGGTCCAAGAGTCGGGACGCCTTTGGGGTACACGCAGAGCGCTGCTATTTTGAGGCCTTCGCCCCGAAAGACCCTTACATGTCACCACCGCGGAAAAATAGGCGCGCGGATGCCCCCCCCGCTCCATCCACAGGGGGGGGAGCCTCCACCCCTGGAACATATATAATAGGACAGTTTATAGCACGAATGGCGCATGGGACGAATGGCATGAATGGCACACCCCAACAGACCCCAAATGTGTCACGAATGGCACGAATGGCACAGGTTGACAGGGTTCCGCCAGCTGGCGCCCCTGGTCTCATTCGCTTGCCGAGTATATCAGTCGTATGCAAGTGATTCCGCCCATGAGAGAAGCCACATCGTGACGACGAAGAAGGGAAGAGGTTGCGCCGAAGCATGGCGCCCCGCCCGTAGCGGGGGGGCAGCCTTGGCACCTAGTGGAACTGTGTGAGGGATGTGCGTTTGGCTGAGTACAAGGTTTGGCGCCCGAAGGGCGCCCCGCGCCCGCGGGGTTCTTGGCGGTCGGCGTAGAGCATCGAGCAGGAAGTGGCAACCCAGTGGGGAGAGCAACGCGTCGGAACGCAGGGCGCCCGAAGGGCGCCCCGCTCTCGAAGGTCTATTTGGTCCACGAATGGGACGAATGGCGAGGTCGATCGCGGTCACGGATTGCGCCCCCGCCATCCGTGCCATTCGTGCCATTCGATCCATGCCATTCCAGACCTGGAACCCTTATAAACTGCTCTAATATAACAAACAGAATAAGACGCGCGCCTTATACTTTCGCATCTTAGATAATGATCGAAGTCTGAGGTTTTCACTTGAGTCACCTGACTGTTACGTATCAAAACCTACTAGTTTCTGTGAATATCACTCTAGGGCAAAAAAAAACAACGTCTAGATGAAGCACATCCATTACGAGTCCAAGGATGAGGAAGTCAATGACAAAGTTTAAGTTTTGGCTCCGACGCCGTGGAAGGTTATATTTTTCAAGAGCAGATCCTCGATGCACCTCCTTTACCGGGAGAAACAGGACTACGAAATATCGAAGAAACGGGTGTCTATCTAAGCGTCATGGTTGGTGTGTGTTCTACTCCTGGCATCGACCACTATCTGAGCTCAGGCGAAAGCACTCTTGATACACATCACCATCAATCGGTTATGCAGCTCACATCCGTCATTTTCTGCTTCAGTCATGTTTATCATGCTTCAAATTTTATTCCTCTTCTGGTGCGACACATGGACACACCTCCATCTTCATGGAAAGGGTACATCTGGCTTAACTAGTGATGATGATGAATGAGCAGTGTCAGCGCATTCTTTCTGGGCGCACGCGAGAAACGCTCGACATTTCTAATATGAAGATCCACATACACATGATCCTTCTGGAAAGATCCAAGGAATGCTTGCACATCATTAGTTCAAAATCGATCGTGAACTGAAGACTTCCGCACATGCCTCTCTTGAACGTAGCTGGAGAATAAGGCCACTTGATGGCGCATCACCACAGCGTACCTGTGGACGTAACTGTAAGTCAGTCAACATCGGCTTTCGCCTCCTGCATCTGCTTGACATGTGCATGTATTCGTGAAAGTGTTACTGTCCTTTTAATTTCTGGTAGTACTTGTTCGACGGTCTATTTCATACTACGCTATTCAACAAGGACGAGCTCTTGTCCTAGAAATGTGGGCAGCAATACTGGTGGAGTCGATTGATGTTGTTTTAAGTAATCCTTTCCATGTGCTGTGATGAACTTCAACAGCATTTTTTTCCTGAAGCGTTTCCAACATTGATCCATCTCTTTTTCAGATCCAGAGACGTTTTCCGCGCACACAGCTGGACGAAAAAGAGACAACAAGCTTGATTGATTGTGAGTAATTTCGCTCCAATAGATAATCTATCTCTCATAGCTGCACATGTCAACTGTGTTAACCACCATCTAAAAAGATCAGAAGAGTTTATTATCCTGAACAATTAAGTCTACGCGAAATTATAATATATTTCGATTCAAACTTTTACTTTCTTCCTACAAGGATTGTCAATTTTTCGAATAAGATGAATATATTGATGAGGAATTTTGATGATATAAAGTTCTATTCTGTGAAAAACTTACAACCGTATCAAGAAGACCAACCGTTAACAATCTGTATGCTGTTATGTGTAACTAATCTGAAAGATATTAACAACTTCAGTAGACCAAAGATGATAGATAGAGGACATTGAAAGAGCACCGCAACAACACTAATGAGATAAAGGTTGCAGATCATAATGTTTGTGAAAACGAAAAGCGTAAGCTTGCTAAGCTTTGCCTGACAAAAGAAAAGTTGGTCAACATTTTTAAAAGAACAAGAAACTCTCTTTTATTCCGAAGTATTGATAGATAAGATCGTATGAATACTATTAGTACTAGTACAACAAGTTTGATGCCCGCCTCTATATGATGAATCTTTGATCGACTGAAATAAACGACATATGTAATATTATCATACAATTACAAAATACTTGCACCTCAACAACTCATATCATGAACGAACTACATACGCTATCTCTGAAATGAATTTGAATGCTCAAAGGACCACACATTGACGAATCTTTGAACTAGGGTTCAGGGCTTAGGGAGGCACCATCATCTATATCTAGACCTTGACAGTATCAATTTCTATCTAAGTACACGATAATACATAGATCTATCGACTCCGCAGAAAAGAACTTAACATTACACTAGTACAGGTTATTTGATCGTTTAGTTTGCAAGTGAATGAGATGTATTCCGAGAAGGCGTCGGGTCAGCCCGGTAGATCATCTTGATATGAACGACGACGCACCAAAAGAAAGAACAAGCCATTTTCGATGGACAATATCGCAAGAGACCCGAAATCTTGTGGACCTTCGCCTAGCTTAAGTTACAAGTTAAGGCAGGCACTCCTGGAGGCGCGTAACAGTACTCTAATCTTTCTCTTAGGTGGATCCTTCTAGCAATAGCAACGCCTCCCTCCTTTTCCTCTCCTTCTAGCAACAGGAAAAAAGTCTGGAAGGTTCCCTTTGTGGAGTGCTGGATTATCTATCATGGATATTTAGTTACTATGTATGTTCCGGGGCTCAGGGCTGAAGGCCCCCCCCGCTCTAACTTTTTGAGGGGGGGCCTCCCAGCCCCGGACCCTCTTTTCGAGGGGCTGCTGGGCGGGAAGGCCTCAAAGCGCCCACCTCTGACCCCTTCCCGCTTCTTGCCTGTACCCTAGAGAGTCACCAAACCGGAGGACGTTGAAGCTGGCAAAGGAGGCAAGGCAGGACCCCGCTGGCTTGTTGCATGTACCCGACAGACCTGGCAAAGGTGGCAAAGGCTGGGCCCTCTTGTCGTGTTGCAGGTACCCGGCAGAGCTGGCAGAGGAGGCAAGGCGGGACCCACTCCCTTGGCGTGCTGCCTGTACCCTACAGACCTGGCAAAGGTGGCAAGGCTGGACCCCTCTGGCGTGTTGCGTGTGCCCAACCCTATAGACCTGGCAAAAGTGGCAAGGCTGGACCCCTCTGGCGTGGTCCACCCCAGATCCATCCACAGGGGGGGCGTCCTCCCTTGTGCGTGTATGTATCTACTCTCTAATTGTTGACCACGAACAAAGCAGGAGATAACCCCGCGAAGAACGTACTGCCCTCACAAGGCACATTTCGATGAGCGAAGAAGTCACGGGTTCTCTCGCTCTCCAGGCTAACGCGCGCCGCACTAGAGCGTCTTTGACGGCTAGCCTTCACCACCTTTTTCCACTACCCGTTCCGCCATCCTTTTATAGTACAAAAGAAATGCTTTTAGTACCACAACAGAAGTTTGGCTTCGAGCCAATGGCACGCGAATATCAACTCCATCATCACGCGACCGCAAATAGTTCGCCGCATCGATGTAGTACACCAAATTCATGTGATGTTGGATCGACAACGAGCAGCTTTTCACGACCTATAACACCTCGATCTATTTCTCTACTAGGACATTCACTTCAAAATCAGCAGCACCTTCGACACACAAAGTTGATATTTGGTCGAAGCACGACTGGTTCCTTTGTTCTCGTTAAGAGCGGATCATCACCTGATTGGGTCTTGCACACATCCCGCCATCAGAAGATGTCATCGCCACAGACCATCCCTTTGGTAAAACCAGTACTCGTACCGCAGCGAGGGCACAGGAAGAGCAAAAGGAAGGCGAAAACGCTTCGAGGATCGCCCAGATGCCAGCTACGCAGGTTCCTTGGAGCCGGCTTACTTCTGTCCGGCACGCATCAAGTGGATGCGATGGAGAAAGTTGGAACAATCACCGAACCCGAAGATCGTGGTCGTGGACAAGAACCTGGGCTCACCTTTTCTGGTGTATCTTCTATGCCGTACTGCAGCTCCACCACGCGGCCTTGCGGCTTTGCCATCTCTCGACATCAAAACGAAGGAAGCCAGCAATTGCAGCTACCTTATGACTCAGGACTTAGCTGCACTTTATTCCCATGCAGTGATGGATGCACTTTTTTCGAACCATCTTCTTACCTAAGGACTGAGGTTTAAAAGTTATCATTTCCCTCTTATTTAGTGCATTATACTTAGATGCAGCTACTTCTTGGCATGTTGTTGATTGTTTACGAGATACGCAACTAGAGATACGCTGAAGTAAGTGGATAATGATGATTTGGCTGGTTTTTCTCACAGATAGGAGAAGCGCGTGAGCTTTCTGCCTCTCGCACTTTCTCCCGAGGTTGGTACGCAACCGAGCTAAGGAAAGCATAAGAAGCAACAGATAGCATTAGCAATCAAATCGATCGCCATCTTTCTAAAGATGAGCACGGCCTCGTATATATTATGGTATAAAAACGTTATTTAATTTTTTCGGGTCGTCGTATTTATGATTCTTGCTGAAGTTGATGCACTATCGCGATATACACTTTCATAGCGAAGAAGACCATGAAAACCAGTCCAGGTTGGCATTCGCTGATGGGCATGGGCGCAGCGAGACGGATCCCTGGTTTCTCGATCCGTTCCACGAAGCGAAAGGCACGCCTCTAGCGGACGCCCATTTAGGGAGTGAGTGGGATGTGGCGCCGCAACCGAAAAAGGCGATGCCGTTCCTTCGTGATACGGATATTAGCGACGTCGACCTACGACGCAACAATGTATCTCCCGCGGGTGGTCCAGAGTATTTGCCCCTCTCACCTCGTGTCGAAGAGGACTCAATATCACCGACCGGAAAAGTTATGACTATGAGTCTGTTTCTCACCCACCGCATCCTGATTTCTTACAACGCGTAAGGATAAGAATGAACACCTCTCCAATGATACCCTATCCTTCAGCTGTGATTTTCGTGAAAATTTAGTTAAAGGATCCTATCAGACCTTTGCTGTATTGCCTCAACAATGGAGTCTGAGACGTCGTTTTGAATTCTTATCATGTGCATGTCAATCCCAATATTTCGACTGTCGGCTCTTGTTCTACTTCTAGCCCTAAGAATAGTGGCAGAAAAGGGAACAAGGGAAACCAGTCTCCTCCACCAGCACCGGCAGTTACACCCCCGCTAGAATGTGACCACTGGGCCGATGAGGCAGAGGATCTCTTTTGTAATATGGATATCTCATGTGCGCGGGTCCGGGTCGTCAGCCAACACCCGGGCGTTGAACCGAAGCACGACTACGATACGCCAATGGTTTCACCTAGACTCTTGGTTTCACCTGAAGAAAATGAAGAGGACGCAGAACTTGTATTCGGAGAAATACCTTCGGCTAGAGAACAGCTAGTAGGGAACGATCCAGGGGATGAGTCGAGTACTGTCGCAAGAGCGCCCTTTTCGCCGCTTTCTGGTGATTGTCCAGTGCCTCCTGCCTCGCCCACGCCCGAAAGTCGGCGCCCAAACTCCTCGTTGCTCACGCATCCAAAGCGGAGTAGCAGCAGTAGCAGTCGAACGGCATCGATGAAGGCTGCAGGTCCTAGTAGTACTAAAGGGGTGAACCAGCGTGGCAAAAAGCTTGGTAAGGCAGAGGCGCCAGAACATCTTGACCAAGGCTCCGGCAGTCTGTCGATGACGAGCATGGCGACAACGCCTAGTCTCCGATGTGCACATGCGCCAAGCCTCCACACTATCCATGAGGACGAGGAGGGAAGCGCGGAGCCTGCGGAGGTAGGGACAGCAGACATCGAAGGAAGTCATGTGAACGACAAAGCGCCACAAAAAGGCACAGCTTACATGGAGATGGAGAAGGATGCATTAGAGACGAGGGACAGCGACAAAGTGCCCGGCAACTTCGATAAAAGTTCCTTTAAATCGGCACCCAACAAGATGCAGCGGATGGACGGAAAGCTGCATGCATTTTCTTTTCTGTATTGCGACAAAGAAAACTGCTGCTGCGGAAAATTATGCTGCACCAACGAGCCAGACAGCTGTCATCATGTGCAGCATTTGCAAGCAGTAGATAGTACCGGAGCTACGCCCCTCTCTGATCTGCGTGATGCGGCCCGCATCGTGCTGAGGAACATCTACAACAAGATAAACAGCGTCAAGCCTTCTATAATGAACCACGAAACTGATAGTACGCAAATGCTTGTGGAGCCATCCCATCACTACCGTGAAGCTATTGATAGGTCTCAATTCTTGGTGCGGGCACAAGACCGAGCCCTGGTTCTCGAGGAGGAAGAGAACCGCAAGAGCGGACAACAAATTCTTGCCTCAGATTCCCAAGCCCAGCTTAAAGACGCGCGTTCACGTTCACCACCATGTCCTGGCAATTTCTCTTGCTTCCATGGTCCGACGCCTGAGGAAGATGTCTTATCGAAAAGCTTTAAGAGGCAATTGAACCTTGATGTTGTCAATGGCACACGCTTACAGACTTTGCCGTTTGGTAATGCTACTTGCGTTTGCGTATCTCCTCAGCGACCCAGTAATGGCAGGGAGGAAGATGAAGCTACTTTTTACCTGACTTATAGTGCCGAACAGGAAAGTCCAAGAACTCGATGTAACAACGCGACAACAGAACAACATCAGGCAGATGAATATGATAACGACAACGAGAGCGTGATGAGTTCTGGTGATCCTCTGTCTCAGCAGCGGGAGGAGGAGGAGCTGAGCCTTCAAGGATGGACCAGGTCTCCCTCTCTTACTCCTACTGGCTCACCGGGATCGTCGATTGGTTCGCTTTCTGAGCCCACAAATCTCCCATCACTAGAGGTTTTGCAAGTCGAAAGTGGAAGTTCTAGCTCACACCTTGTCGGAGGCAACTCTAGCAAGGCGGATCATCAAGATACCCCCTTTCGCCTACCACCCGCATGTGCGACACACCGTGTCACGCGTGGTGACCAATGCACAGGCAAGGCGCCATGCTCAGGCATCGCACCCGGCGTTCGCGACGGAGAAGGTTGGGGGGCGCATACGTACCAGCTACCTATCGCTGTCGGCGGGGCCACCCAGCAGGGAAACAATCGAGACAAATGATGATGAGGCAGCGGAGGAGGATAAGGATAACGTCCTTACGCATGTTGTTGTAGTTTGGTATGGTTAGCGGAAGGGCATGGGATGTTCATCATATTGACCATACTTCAGAACTGCAATAGGTCGGGTTGCAATCATTCGTGCATGCAACTATGTGCTTCCAATTCCTGGTAGCACATGAAGCACAACTTTTCAGCTGGTAAAAAGTTTTTCTTTTTGAGGCCATGTCGAGCCGTTTTGATGATGCACGCATCAATGCTGTATTCTAAAGTCCGTGTTTTTATCTATCAAATGTGAATAAAAAGAACAAAAATAGAACAGATACTACTTCTAGCAACGAGATGGTAACGCTGCACTATTCTGTAAAATTGGTACAACGAAGACTAAGCACAAGAAAACACCTACATTCTTAATACACAAGATACATGAAGATCTGATGTCCCATTTAGTTTTCCAAATATTCGCAAGTCTACGCCTTTCTTGGTTTAATAGAGCAATTACTTGTGAGTTGTTCCCGAATGTTGAGCATGAGGATAAATAATCAGAGGACGATGTCAGCTGATCTAGAAACCTCATTTAGACTAAGAAACGGCGGATTCGACACATCAATCTATGATCATTACTTAGTGTATTTTAAGTAGTAACTGTGGATTCTATGCCCTAACACAAAATAGCTAGGAACAACACTGATCAACTGCAGATAGAGTTCCTTTCACGGTTTGCGTCTCCATTTCCTTCCCCTAGGTGGCGGCTTTGCGTGAGGTACTGGGTACAAGAAGAGGTTTGTGGGTAGCTTGATGACGTCGCCTACCATTCTCACCAAAATTACCGGTGCACGTACAACTAGTGGCATATTCTTAAGTTCTTCTCGCAAAGAAGAACGCTATTGCTTTCCAAAAGACATATTTAACAAAGGTCATTTTGATAACTTCATGTTGCATATCATAATAAACGCGCAACGTGAAAAAACATAAACAAGGAGTGGTAACTGCAAGTACCACGATTGACCAGTTCGTTAGGGGGCAAAAAACCGGTATCGTTACTCTTTCGCCGGCTTTGCTTGGGTTCGTTCTAGGGGACAAGGACGACTTAACTTCTTAATCTTGTTGCAATTTTTCGCGTTTGGGAATCAATTATAATCTGTATTTTTAGGAATGTTTGATCATGATGATTTCTCTGAGGTTGTTTTCGACATCGTTTTCACGATGAGTGAAGTAATTGCATGAGATAGGGAACTTCTATCCTTACAACATTTTTATCATTGGTCATGGATATGCACCTAATTGGTTCGTCATGAATATAATGCTGGGGCATATGTGATTGTGTATTCAAGTACTCTTTCAGACAGACGCGTGACAGTCAAAGCCACTAGTCATCGTTGTCTGAGCTACAATATTTTACGCATACGAACAAAAGGAGAGAATAAGTAACTAAAAGAGATTTCATTCAGTGTTGCATACAACCAGGATCACTCCCTCGAACCACCAAGAAGACTTCTGTTGGATTTCGATTTTTAGACCGACTGCAGCTATTTGGTAGGATCTTCATGCGCAACACGACTAGTACAGCTATTGAGTCTACTGAATATCCTTTAGAAGTCTTTGTATCATTGATTGACACTGGACAACAGTATTCCGAATCTAGACACTAGTGTGTTTGAAGTGACGACCACGCATGAAAGTAAAAAGAGAATATGAAGAATCTATCACTAAACTACAGAAGTCGTGACTCCATCACAAAAGCATCAACCCGATCTCGCCCAGGTCGATTGTTTTCTTCTTTCCGTCTTCCTAAGCAATCAGCAGAAGAAGTAGGACAAAAATAACCGTTGATGCAGAAAATGTAACTTCATCGTACGCTCGTAGGTTACGGAGAAGATCACTCGTGGTCGTTTTGTTTATCGGTTCTTCATAAAGGACCGAGGTCATGATGTTAATTCTCTTCAATAAATTATCGCTTCGCAAAACGAGGAATATACAAAATAATGAACCAGGGAAATTATACATAAGAATGAACATGCAAGTGAGACCACAGGGTCATCGGCTGTGAAGGTCTATCACATGTTGGAAAAGAACTACCCTATGCACTTTTATGGATGAACTGTATTGCAAGATGGAGGACTACATGGACCCAAGGACATCGCTTTATAGTACTAGTAGTTCGTACACGTACTGATCGAGATTACTGCTTCTAGAGTCTTCTCGAGTAAAGAAACAATCAATTGCTGAGTCGAGTTTTCTTACGTGACTGTGTTTTTGAAGGACCACGCGCATAAACGAATCAAAGAAGAAAGCCAGCGCAACCTTGGATAACACTGCAGGAAGGTGCGGCAATGCATCCGCGTTGGCAAGTGGATCTGCTTGTTGGTTATGGGGCTGCTCAAGCGGAGCGATACCCTTACCCATCTTCGCAAGAAAACGAGGCTTTTGACCGAGAAGATTCTCGATAGAAACCTCTACTGCAGAAGAATGTAATTCATTGACCATGATTCATCTCGGATCTTCTCATCTAACAACTACTTGAAACTTACGTGGGGCTGCTATAATGCGCTTTTTTTGCTTGATTCTAGATTCTTAGGTCTAGTTCGCTAGCGACGTTGAGGAGAAGAGGCGCTGAGAACAAAAGTCGAGTCGTATAAATTGTAGCGTCCTTCATCTTGTTCGTTGTTTCTCTTTTATAGATAACGCTTGACGACATTTACTGGTATGTAGTGGCCCTCTTGTTTGGATTTATTATATATTTATTTCAGTATGGAAGTCCACATTACATCTTTACTCCATAGAAATACTGACTTTGAAAAGTCCTAGGTAAATCTCATATTCATTTCAGTATGGTTTTTCGGTGTGGCGGGACCTATGACCTAGCCCTGAGATTACATGCTAACAATGGATGTAGATTTTACTTGATTTATTATCCAGGGAGAATTTTTGCTTAGTCTTTCTAAGGCTAAGTAAAACATTTATGAACGAGAAGTTGTCTGCAGGATGAATTTTTTTAAATAGTGAGTTCGTGGTCTCTGGAAAGCATATTGAGACGTTAAACAGCCGATGTCCGAGTGGACAGGTCTGCCAAGGCGGATTTTACATCCTTATAATCCTACTCGCGAAAGGCAATTAGTTCTTCTATTCATCGTTGGAGATGTGGGGACATCCTCGACTCCTTTCGACGGGAGAAGGTCAGACGTTGAATGATAAAATGGATGCTAGCAGGATGTAGTTGCTCAATATTTCATCAATATCACAGCAGTTCGTGTATTTTCACCTCCTATCGTCCTACAATATTACCCCTACCTCTCGTTGACACTATCAGCGTCCCGATCGTCATTAGCTTGCGGCTAGGTTTTTGTCATTGCCAGTCGGCGGCTCAACGTAGTCGTGAGCTGTTGATGATAACCCTCGTTCTTGTGTACACTCGCGCGACAATAATAATAATAATAAAATAATAATGTACACTCAAAAACGAATAAGATAATACAAAGACTGATGGCCGCTGGTATCGCAATGGTCAGTAAGAACATAACCAACATTGAGATTGGCATCCAGTGTGTAACTAACGTACTCTTTGGCATGGTCTGAGGTTCGGCAAGTTGCCGACGTTTCCGCGTGGTGTGATGGCTTCGGATGATGAGTGTGGGTAAGGCGTCGGCATCTTCCCAATTCTAGGCTTTTCGCTATGTTTGTTTTGTTATCGTCTGCTCCCTCCAGGTTAGTAGATCACAGAGGTCAATCCCGCAGGTACACTGGCATAAGCGAGAAAGCCTCAAAGCGTTGGTCAATCATGGACAAGGCAACGATAGCTGCAGTCTCGCAATTGGTGGCCAACTCAGATTTTGGAAATCTGAATCGTGACGCAAGAACTCTAGTCTTGAAATCATAGGTAGCGCGGTAAAATCGACGATCGCGAGGCGTAGTCGCGTTCTCTTCTACCATGATTCAGATAAAGAAATATGGTCAGCTGCCACAACGTCAACGAGATTAGTAGTGGTGCACTGGGCTACGACGGACTGGCCAGTCCCCCTTACTCATATGTTTTCTGCACTCTCGAATATGTTGCAGAAGTAAAAACTCAAGAACAATAAATTGCAATGCTTATTGTGATTACGTTAGAACACGCCGAACATGACCATGAGCCTACATCGCAGGCGGTGAGTCGATTCTACGTTGCCATATTGAAAAATGGAATTTTATGCCATGATATAAATTTTTCGGGATGCAGCACGAACAGAAAAGAGAAGCACGCTTATCAAACGCGCGGGTTCACTTGTGTGGGGTTGATAACCTGAAAACGAATTTGTGATAGTAGAAAAAACCAGAAGCATATCATCGAACTCACACTGAATTTTTTATGTATAAAGATGCTTGTTGAGAGGTTGTGCTCCTTTGAATATTGAAAAATCCAAAGTGGCTTGGGCAGCGCGACCGGCTCCCTCTTCCGACAGCCAAGTTCATTCACGCTGTTGGTTCATTGTCGTGTGAGCCGTCTTGAATTGTAACGACTGAAACCACATTGACACCAGAATCCGAGATGCTCTGCAAGAATTATAATACAAGATGATGGATGATGAGAGACCCAAGAGCAGCACAAAGAGCGAGAGAGACGAAATATTGAGGGAGACGAGAGAGAGATGATATGAATGTCTAGTTGAGAAGGTCAAATAGAGCAATGATGGAGTTTTTATGCTATTGCATGCTACCACTTTGAAGAGTTTTAATCATGGAAAAATGAATCGATCTACGTGGTCGTTTTTCTCCATCTACATAGAAGAGGAAGCGACTAGGAAAAGCCTATCGAAAAGAACCACTTAGTTTTAAGTAGTGAGTCAAAACGAGCGCATCAATCTCGTTCTGGCCACACTTCAGGATGAGCCCGTTTCTGTATGGGCCGGCGGACTCCGCACCCTCGACGGGCAGGCGGCCGCTAAAGTATGAGCCGGCGGTGTTTGCGGATATTGGATCGATGAGTCACAAACTTTTTTTTGTGATTTTTGGGGTCTGGAACTTTATGCACGTCGTGCAGCTGTTCATGGAAGATTCCTGTGACACTTTCTTTGCCACCAGATCGTGCACAGAAACCGAGTATTGGGTTCAGCTGTGGTTCGGGTACGGCTTCTTTTGGTGCACCGAAAATTGGCTATTTCTCGCTTATCTAGGCCTCTATTCTGAGCCGGCTGCTGAGGGGCCAGACTACATCCGACGTCTCGTGCGACTACAGCCTTTTTTTTCATCCAGATGCATTATTCATATTACAATGATAATAGCATGAAGAACAATCTGCACCGATCGTTGTTTGTATCTCCCCTCCTGCCTATATTGCCAGGTCCATTACTTTACATCAGCTATGGCTTCTGCTTGGCGATCGGTACTATGATTGGAGTCGGATGCCAATCCTCGGGAGGCAATATGGTATTGCGAATTCTACTTGTAGTTGGCCGATTTCATCACAAGAAGCTGGATTGATGCCAGCCTGATCATATGACGTCGCTGCTGCTTCTCTAATCATAATAAACAGCAATACTTTATAATTACTATCTATCAAAGAAATTGCTGGCCATGAATGGAATCCGATCAAGATCCCACCAAGATCCAAAGGATTAACCACAGAAGTGACCAAGATCGCCAGGCGGATAAGGTAACCCATGGGCGCCATTCTCGACGCGTTGGCCATGGTTGGCGCGGGTGTCTGGGGTTCTCGGGCCGTTGCGCGGGTGCTTCTGGCTTCTCCTCTCTCTCGTTCGTTGTTTCAATCTCTCAGCTCAGTCGAGGACAAAGAACCGCCGGAAAGGTCTCAAGGAAGCCGATAGACTTAGACGCGTACGGTTCCAAAATCAACGACCAACAGGCAAAGGGCCTGCAACATTTCCAGGCAGCAGAGACAGCGCGTGCACACAGCTGTAGCCAGCGCCCGGCCCATGTCGTCCTGTCGGTTCTGACCAGTTGAAAGCCCATGGAGAAGCGTCGCAGTGTATTCTCGTGATGGGCTCCATATGGTCCGACGCATACCTATCCAGTGAGAAAGTTCAACTAGTAGGTCCGGACGGGTTTCGACGTAGATGATCATAAGAAGCCGATGGCGATAGCATAAAGCGAGCCATATGAGCGCGTTCACCATCATGATACCCCACGAAGCAGTAGGGACCTCCTTGCAACTACCCTAACGAATATCCACAGGGATCAGACCCCCCAGCCAGTCCAATTGCATCAAGCAAGAGCTTCGCTCAACGTTTCCCCACGAGAAACCTGCCAAGCCTTAGCAGTCTGCGTTCTTGTGGTCCAGCAGCAACGTGGGTGGCCCAAGAGAAATGGAAGCGTTGACCTGGACGGCCAAACTATGAGATAAAGTCGCAGTATGGCCCGGGTCTGGGGGGTATGCTCTTCTTTCTGTTCCTGTGTGACAACGTCATTGGCGGAGGAACCGAGGCTGCAGCACTCCGAAACCCTTGGACTAGCCTGAATCCTATGAAGTATCCCGCAAACTTTGCCATTTTCTTCGTCCTCTTTGTAAATGATTACTGACTTTTCGACATCTCCGTGAACGAGGGTCCGCACAAGTACTTAAGCGGTTACGATCCGAAGATGGACAATACGCATGCCTTCGAAACGGCGGCGCGTTTCTTTGTTTTATGCTAAACGACATGATGAAGATCAAGGAGAGTTTCACTGTCCTCGACGTCGTATTTTTACAGCTAGAACAAGAAAGGAATCCAGTCACATCCTTAGAGTTGTACCTGGCTATATTATTGTTACCCGACTAGAGTATGTACTTAATTAGGAAAGTTGAAAGCTTCCTCTATCAACTACTGAGCATGGAGTTAGTTATCCTTATCATCGACGTAGCCGAAGAACAACAACACCAACACAAAACACAATCAGCTTCTAATAAAGAATACCATTTTGGTCCATTCGATGGCCCTGTTGTTTGTGATGACGTACGTCAGCGCTTACTCGATCCTGCGCCCCTTCATTTTGCTGCACTTGTTGCAGTGTGTAACCACCGAGCTTTTTGTGAGACTGTCACAAGGAATTTTGATGCCACCAGACCGACAACTACGTGGAGTAAGCCGTCGTACCTACTAAGACGAGAAGAGGGGATGGATGAAACTGCTAATACTAGCGGATTACAATCATCTGGGTGATGGTCCGTTAGATATAAACGTATTCTATGCTATTGCGCATGCTTTTTCCATGAGATTCCCACCTGTTGTATGAGTTATTTTTACGTGTAGCTAGTCAAGCAAACAAAGCTTTTTGTAAAAGTAAAAGTGAGTACTAGATGAAGTTCAAGTTTTTAATAACTTAGAATCCGTTAGAAGTATGGAATAACACTATGCCAAAAGCGAGCATAGAAAAGTGGTTTTTTAGCCAAAAAACGCAGATAAAGCCCAGGGATCAGTTGGGCCATATTCGTCTCAAAATGGAAAACTTTCATTTTGAGGCGAATAATGTACAAAAAAGCGCTTTTTTTGCGTTTTTTGTACGTTATTCATAGTTGTTTATGTATAGCTCCGCCTGGCTATGGCTTCACTCTGTGGGGCACACGCTCTCAGCGATGTAGCTCAGCCATCCCTTCTATAATCAAAAGTTCTACATCGAGGTCGTTTTGATTGAGACAGAATCCGACTTTCAGTATCGCAGCAACATGGTTTCTGGAGTCACGGTCCATATCCAAGATAGAATAGCAATTTAGTGTAATCATGGAGGATTCAATGGCTTCTACGTTAAGCAGACTAGGGATACTTTTCCTTGCAATTCCAATTCGAATTTTTTCCATTTTGCTTTGCAGGTGATAATATCTGTAGCATCTTTTATTGATAATATGGTGATGAGTCAAAGACAGTGGTCCAGATCCAACCAAACGATCGGATCTGATGACCACTATAACGGCTCATACTGAGCAATGTAAGGACTTAATAACCTGAAGATTTATCTTTCAAATACAAATGCATATCATATCCAAGGTTTCTTGCCCTTGCACACTGCATCGATGCCACGCATGCGCACGTGGTGGAGCAGCGGAAGTAGCCGGCTACGTGCCTGTTCGCGATGATGAAAACTTCTTTGGAGCCAAGGATTGTTAGCCCAAGAAAACGTCTACCGCATGTTTCCCTAACACACTTCGTCTTCTTGTATCTTAACAGCAGTTATGGTTATCATTCACACGCTTGTAGAATGCCACTCAAGACTTGTCTAGGCACTTGTCTACAGAATGTAGATGTCAGTGGCTCTCCTGGATAATTGATTCAAGCATTATGGCATCCGCGATGGAGGAATCTGCGCCACAACGGCGCAGCGTCGAAGGAGTCGATGGATGCGGGCCATCCTTGGCTAGCCTGCAAGAGCCTGCTGTAGACGCAAATGCGAATCCAGCGGTGGCACCGTCTACGTGTCCAAGTGGTAGAGGAACGCGAACAAGTGCAGGACACTCACTGTTAAACTGGTCGCCGGCTCAAGCACCGGTGACAATTTCCCAGTCTCTGCTGAACTCGGCAATATTGAAAAGCGCAACGACCAAGGCGATCAGCTCCACTTTGATTGTGTCGCCGGACGTTGTAGGAGCGGGTGGACTTTCTTCCCAACAACTGGCTTCGTCCTTGTTGGGCAATGGGAACTATGTTATTCAGTCGGGTGGGGCGCCGGCACAATTTGTAGGTGTGACAAGTGGTACTGCAGCAGCTGGCTCGGGCAATGTGCTGCAGGAGTCTCCGGCCTTATTTGGTGGAGGCAACTACAATACGGGGAATCAAAAGAGAAACTCACTTACTTCGGGGAACAGTTTGCTGGATGCTTCTCCGCGTGCGCAGTTTTGGGCGAAGACATTCTCAGAGAACTTCAAGAAAAAAAAAGCAGCCCGGCTAACCAAAGGGGTCGCGGGAAACAGTGCAGTGACCAAGACGGAGTCACGCAACAGTGGGAACGAAACAGCAGCTAGTACAAAACCAGCTGAGCGATCAGGAGAAGGAAGGCAAGACCCAGCGACGGTTTCTCGACGTACTGAGTTCTTCATTCATTACTACTTACTTACCTTCGGCTTCGTGTACTAGTACTAGATACAGTATTATTTTTATCTTTGTTTTACTGGTAATACAACTTGAAAGAGTTGTTCTTTGTTGGTGCAGACAAAAGTAGATCCGTACATGTATTCAGGGCCTTTATGATCTACAACTTGGCAATCATGTATTTGCAAGACGAATCCAACCGGCCCCACCCCAAATAGTCGCTGCCTACCGACGCAGTACTACGTTTCATGCGACAGAGTTGGATAGATTGCGCACCAGAGACGATGGCTGCGTACAGAAAAATGATAATGCCTTGAAGAAGCATGCTAGCATGGAGGATGAAGTTTGGGACCCTTTCGACAATTCCGATAGTGACAGTGACGACCGGTACTACATCGCATCGAGTTTTGGATTGTCAAACATGCAAGTATGTAGCTACACTAACATTGAAAACTGAGTTGAAGGCAAACATGCCATTAAGTCAAATCTCTACCTCAGGCGCGAGACCCTCGCGGAAATTTTGGGTGACCTGCGGTGGGAAGGCGATCAGTTCAATATAAAGGAGAAGCTGCCGCGATTATTGCCGGATCAGAATTTGAATCTGGTTAACACTTTTGATTTCCGCGGATCTATCTGTCGCATGCGTCGTCTTCAAAATTCGCCTAAGTCAGATCGGCGACTGCGACAAAAGATTGTGGCGCGCCTCGAACGACACTGGCTCGAGAGGAGGCGACAGCAAAGGTACAGGGAGTGTGCTAATGAGTCCACAATTTTGACGTTGAGTGATGGCGTATTCTTAGTTTAGAATATGCTTGGCAAATGATGACCATGTTGATTTGAACCAAGATGCTCAAAAGGATTGAGACAAATTGACAACAGCGACTTACTCCTACTACTACAGACGGGATGTTATCGAGCGCAAACGCAGAGCAGAGGAAGTCGGCTTGAACAAAATCGTGCCCAAGGCGACTACCGATACTGGGCACCAGGATAATCCTCAGGCCCGATCTTCTTCTCCTGCAAATGGTACCGGAGCCCTAGCCCTTTCTTCTAGTACAAGTCATGGTGGGACTACTAGCACTACTGGAGCGAGCAGCGAACAAGACGACGACGAAGGCCAAACAAAACACCCGTACATGGATCCGCCTTCGCCGACAACGACTGAGCCTGGCCTTGAGATCGAGCTGCACGCACCAGATTTGTTAGATGATGATATTTTCCAGCAGTTGTTACATGGCGGAAAGCAAAGCAAAAAATCTATTCTGCAGACAAGGGTTGACACGGCACTGGATCAATTCGAGCGACGGCCTAGCCGTGCTGTCCAGCGCGGCCAAACCGGGCTGGTAATGGCCCCTCCGACAGAGAGAATCTCAGCTCGCAAAAGGCCGCCGAGGAGCTATGTGAAGGACCATAGGATGTGGTGGCAGAATCTCCCTTTTGATATGCTACCGAAAGAACATCGCAGAGAAGAGAGGATACGACGAAGGCGTCTTGAACGCGGCAAAATCGCTCTTGACACGTTTCTTACCTCATCGACCGCAGCGCGGGCCAGCGCACTGCCTGCCACGTAGATTTTAATCAAGAAAACGTAACAAGAATCTAGTACTCGGTCGTGTAATTTATTTTTTATTGCAGATGACACTTCACAAAGGGCACGTACTTGTTACATCAATGCCGATCTTCACGTCCTTACAATCAAAACATAGTAGTCGCAACAAGGGTCCGTTCGATGTCCTGCCTGATGTATAGAAAATCGAGCTGCTCAAATGTATGCTAGTGCTACTTGAATTCGGAACACCAATTGATACATACTCGTTTTTATTTGGTCCCACCAGTGCTGCATAGTTACCCCACTAAAAGTAACAGACAGTGAAACCAATAGTATGGAATGCATCACAATGCTCCATGTATAACCGAGCATCCTCTAGTTATATCACTGTCAATCAAAACTACCTTCTGAGAATATCCACTTGAACCGTATGGAGAAATCTTAATATCTTAACAGAAGTGCGCATTAAATCTAACGACTTTATGGCTATGAGTGACCGGCACTCTTTGAAGAAACAAAGTCAAATAGAAATAAGGAGATACAACCGAAGCGCTTCTTCATCAAATGAAGCAAAAATCGAAAGTAGTAGCTGCTTCTGTGTCGGTGTCACCGAAAACTATTCTTGCGGCTTTCTCCGAAGTCCTCATCCTCCAATGCGAAACTAAGATGCATCGCGTAAAGCAGAAGCACTGCGTGTGCATGCCTTCCGCTTGGCACCTGCTTCAGTCTATGATCAAGAAAGAGTCAGTTCTATCTTTGAAAAGCAGAAGAGACAATGCCGGAGTTTTCGCCTGATGCTTCTTCGCCACATTCACGGGCGCCTGGAAATGCGGTGATTATGACACAGTCTCCCGGACGGATGGGCGCTGTTCTGCCATCGGAGCTACTTCTCGCGCAAATGGAGACCCGATTACAAAAGTTCTGTCTCGACCTCATGGGTCCAACCGTGACCAAAATCACCGACGTCCACGACCATTTTTGGCGAATGCATGGTGAACAAACTCAGCTGCACGACCGCTTGAATAGTTTGGACCGATTGCAGGAAACTATGGACGGGTATCAACTACGTGTTTACGGAAATCACGAACCATTTTTGATACAGAATGCTATGCGTTCGGTCGTCAAGCCGCATTTGCACAGAGAGCAGGTGGATGGAAAACCATATCGATGCTTAAGTTCTATAGTATAACTGCTGCTCTCCGGGGATCCAAGATGATCAAGATATGGAGACCACTATTCTTGCACTCCTCCAGGTATGTAGTGGAGCATCGCTCGCGCTGGCAGGAGAGCGAGCGTGGCCGCGTTGAATCAGATCATGCGCTGCGCTTAAAAATCCGCGCTGTGGAGGATATGCTGACGGAAAGGTCCGACGGGTTCTCGAAGACTCTAAGGACGGAGACGGCACGCATCCACGAGTTCCATACGCAGGTACTGGACTTGAGCCGCCGCACAGAGGCGTCGGAGGCGCGAGCGCGTGCTTTGGAAACTCAGTTCTGGGAAACTGTAGGCGATCTGCGCGATAAACTTGAAAATTTGACGGAAACTTCTGCAGGCAGGATGACGACCGGGATGACGAATCCTAACACTAACGCTATGGAGGGAGACAATTTTTTTGCTAGCGATGGACGGAACACGATGAACGTTGCAGAAGAAAGCACGAACTTTTTCGCCATGTTGCGTTCGTCTGCTCGAGGGAATCGGTCACTAAGAATGAGCGGCCATCCGCACAGACGAGGTGACTCGCGTGCGACGGGAATGAAGATGCTGGATGAAACTGCGATTGCAAGTCTGGTACAAAAGGAGACGAGTACATTGAAAGAGAAGATTGCCGAACTGGACGAGCATTATTTGGATCTTCGTGGAAATGTTGTGGTCCTCCAGGGCTGGATGGATAGCATGGACGCAATGCAAGCCGAAGCAGCAGCGACAGCGAGAACGCATCCGCTTGGAATCACGGCAGCAACGCTTTGCGGTGTAAAAACGGGACCTAGAGGCGGCGCTGCTTCGAGAGTATGCAGTCCAAATATTCCACCTACAAATCAAACTGGAATAGGAGTTCAACAACATGTAGTTGAGGTACGGCAAGCCAGTAATGACAGCAGCGACAGCAGCGGGAACGCTTCGATGTCATCAGATGTGCTGCAACGAGTAACGCACCGCGTTTTTGGATCCCTGGAACATAGTGATGCGCCAAATCTGCACAAGGTAGAATATCCAGCACAACATTTTACCAACTCCGCTATTGTGTCGCGGGTTTCATCTCCGCGCGCACACAACGAGACATCTGGTGGCTCCTCCAGCAGCTCCTGTCGCGATGTCGAAATGGGTTGCGCAGAATCGGGTTGGAACCAGAATTGTGCTACTAGCGTAGCGGCGACCTCTGTCCCGGCAACCGTCATGGAAGATATGGCGAGATTTTTGTGTGCCACTTGGCATAGTGTGCACGATCGAGAAGACATTTTGAGGCGCTTAAAGATGTGGCTGAGGCAACGTGATGCAAATACAACAAGCGAAGGAACGGATGCTGTTTCTAATCCGACAATGAGGCAGACTGCCCGGCCTTTGGCGAACACTGAGATGATAGGCAGAAGTACTGTATCGACGCCAGGCATGGCGTTTTCAGTAGTTCGCACGCCACGAGTATACGGGCACCAAGATATTCTTCTCGATCACCACTTTTTACGCAGCAGTCCAATACGATTGAAGTCTGAAAAAAATAGGCCGCGGCAATTGAGACCAGTGTCATCGCCAGCGCGGACCCGACTGACGAGCGCGTCACCGCGCGTGTTCTTAGCGGTTAGACAATTTCAGCCGGTCTCGCCTTTACAACGCAGCACTGATCTTTACGGAGGCGATGTCGCTGGCGTTATATCATCTTTAGGAGCCACGAGTAAAATGACGGAAACTTCTACAGGCAGTGCTGCCAGTGACCAAAGGTCTCCCGAAGGACGTGGCTTACGCAGTCAAACAAAACGAATGACCAGTGCGGAGATGCGTAGAAGAACATTTTCCTCTTTTCTGCAAGAGCGCGCTGCAGAAGTCTGTGAGCAAACACTGCGGCCAAATTGGCACTGGAGTGGGGCAGAAAGGAAAGCGGGGAATCATCATGGTATTAGCACGTACAACAGAAGCACATCTGGTGGTACAGCCTCTACCTCTAGAGTTGCGGGATTACGTGATCATGACCCAAGAACAACTCAGCACCATGTTGACGCCCCACTTGCACCCTCCGGCGCTAACAAGCCTGGATGGCAGCGCTTGAAAAATGCCGTGACCGAACTTCGCACAGTGAACTTTAACGGGCCACGTTCTGCTATGCTTAAGCGTCCGTCGTCGAATAAAGTTCTCGTCCATGGTAGCCAGACTTCAACACGAGCTGGTGGCATGTCCTTCGCTGCTGTCAGAACAAGTGGCGGTGCTGCTTCGGTCTCTCTCTCCCTGTCGGCATCCCCCGGTAACTCACCAATGGAAGGCGCCAGTCATCAGGCCGATCCAGTGGATGCGTGTCATGGAGATTTAGGGTCACATTGGCGACGTCGTCTCCGTATCAGGACCCCGGATTCGCCCACACCGCCAGATGATCCCTTTATTGTGCTATCTGGCAGAAGCCTGGCGGCAGCCTCGGCAAGGACTACGCCAGGAGACCCCGTGCTCCGCGATAACAAGTATAGAGTAGCATCTTCAAGCATCTCCGCCACAAGTGTTAGACCGGAGCATTCTCATCCTGTGTCAATCACGCTACGACTGGCTGGCAGTAACAGTTTGGCGAAGAAAGAGTTACAAGAAGAAATGGAAGAGGAAGATGATTATGGCGTTGGCGACAATGTGCTAGATGAAGCTACAGTGGGTGCCCAGGGGACGAACAACAAAAATGCTGATACAAGAATCAACGAGGAAAGCACATCAGACAACAAGACAGACTCAAAGGAGAGTACCGCACCAGTGCTCTTGCTAGAGGAAGATAGTTGTTCCGGCAAGGAGTTAGGCAGACGGCGCAGCTCGGCGCAATCGACGCGAAAACCTAGCGTTGCCTTCGAGATAGTCAAACCAACACACGGTAGAAATCTTATCGTGCGGCCATCAAGTTCGCCGACACGACAAGAGCACGAAAACCTGTAGAGATCTTGAAAATAAACCAAAAGTGAAAGACTAGTTAATACTGTTTCGTCTTGCCGATAGTAGCGAATGACTATCTAAGTCGCACCGATGATGATAAGCATAAAGCAACTTACCTTTAGTGAACAGATAGTATGTGTGATTTATGCAAAATTTTACTAAGACTTACGACCATTATGCACATGGTCACTAAAGTAGATAAGATCTCAACATTGACTCTGATTTACAAGTGAAAATGCATCTGTGTCATCCTCATCACTCTTGCAGTTATCAGCATTCTTGCATTGTAGAACAGTGATTTTCAGGATTCATTTTCTTCCTAATTCTAAAATGAACCGACGTTTCCAAATTCTAAAATGCACTCACACTCATCTTCACGTCATGGCAACCTCGCTCCGGCCGTTAAACAATCATTCTAGTAGAAACAAAAAATGGAACAGAAAGGTAAGTAACTAATCGAGATATTAAAGAATAAAACATGGCACACTGTTGTCCACCTTTGAGAAAAGCGTCGGCCCCGACGTAGGGCGGATCTCAATCGTTAGAAACATCGTTCGAAGTGCGATTTTTCTTTTGAAAGATCGGGAGCTACGATAACCGATCCGAGAGGAAAAGGAAAAGAAAAAATGACGCGATGTCGCTTTTGGTTAGAATTTGACCTCGGCTTTGTCACCATAAATGCTAAGCGTGTCACTAATCTCGTTGAAGTCAACACCTCTACAAAATCGGAAAAGCTTCCACTAAACAAGAAATAGAGAAAAATCGAAATCGTCGTTGGCAAATATCTGCAAAGTATCGACAACCATATGAGAAGAGCAGAGCAGCAGTATAAGCATCAAAACAAGCAGAAAATTATCGAATTGAAAAACCATAGCAACGTCAAAAATCTCTACGGGGCCAGTGTATCATGTTGTTGAGAAGTCAACGCGCATGACATTTCCTCATGAATCTCGACCGCGAATGCGGTCGCGCGAGCGTGAGGCAGGGGGATAACTGCCGATCTGCGGCTCGTGATAAAATTGCCGACAGCGTGTTGTCTGTAGAAGCCGCAAACGGAGTAGGCAGTGCTCTGCATAGAGAATCGTAATTCGTGAGCTGCACATTGTGACCGCTTACACTATTGACAACGAAAGAACACGCGCGAGCCAGCCGGTGAACTACACCTTCCTTCGTCCTCTATATTAACGATCTTCGAAAGCGTCGGCTCACCGAATAAAGCTGCGGGACTCGTTCTCGTGTCCGCGTGCTTGCTCCTGCAATTATGGCGGAGAAAATGACGCACGTCGGAGCCAAGTTCGGCGTGAGCGCTATGCTCGATGTCGACAAACTCCGTGACAAACGAATACACGATGCTGATGCTCCAAAAATCGTGGAGCTGGGTCAAGCTTGGGCAAAGCTTGGTCCCAGACCCATTATCAAATCCTACTCCACGAATACTTTCAAGAAGCCAACGAAACTACCAAGGTACTTAGACTTACGATTTTCTAGATCTTCCACTTTTCCTCCTGGATTGGAAGATACAGGAAATTTCAATATCGGGCAGCCGTTCGGACCCACGCCCACCAAAAACAAACTAGTTTCACAAATTACAACTTTGCAGGATATCGCGGAAGAAGATGGCGCAAGCCGAGTCATTATCTTCGCTCCCAGCCGCGGAATCTGAGGACTCCCCAATTGTAGTCGAAGAAATGGAGACCAATGTCCTCGACCCCGAGGAAGGTGGGGTCCCTTCGCAGTTAATGGACACAATTCTTAGGGAGGGAACGTCGCCTGACGCTTCACCAATTCGCAAAGCCATACTTGAATTCGAGGAAGGCACATCAACTGGTATAACGAGAAAAGGCATAGCTGACTGTGGAGGACTGGCACCGAGCCAATTGAACAAACCTTTGCCGCCATATGGGCTGTTGGTACCTCCGAAGCACCTAGCAGAGTCTAGTTTAGAAGCAGACACAATCCTCAATGCCAGACTAGACGACATTGAGCATGAAGGCGGTAATCAGAAAGCTGGAGAGAGACCGGGAAGAAAACCCAGGGAAGCGTCACCAGGTACCTCAACCCCTTGAACTATAAGTCAATAGATGTACGAGACGAAGAAACTGTGTCAAGAATCTTAGATGAAAACATGTCAGCTGTACTAGCAAGTCGCAGAAATGTTTTGAAAAGTCCCATCATCAGATATTGACCGCTGTTTCTCTTCAAAAATTCCAGTTCCCATCGTGGGTAGCTCGGCGTCCTCTAGTTCGTCGGCGACTGTCGACGAGCAGCAGCGGCGTTCGAAGGAGCGACTAGCGCTCCTGGTCGGTTCGCAGCTGTTCGAGAAAGCGGAAGACGTGGATCTAGGGGAGCTCGGCAGTGACGAGCTGGAGAAGTTTGACGTACCAGACCGTTTCGAGGACAAAACGGAGGCGGAGTGGATAGACGAGTGCTCAGCGGAGCCGGATAGCATCCATGCACATGTGTTGCACTTCGAGGACGGTGATTGGATCTTGAAAGAGTGCTGGGTTCGAGACTTTCGAGAAGGTCGCTATCTGTGCGAACTGCTGGGGGGCTCCATCAAGTGGGTGAAGCGACTCTGCCTGCGGTTTGTGCGGGAAGACCCAAGGAAATGGGCGGACCGCATAAAGACTGCAAAGATGAAGCGGCAACAGGCAATTTTGCAACATAAGCTCTTGCGATACATCGATAGCGTGTCGGGCGAGCGGACGACCGAGATGAGCCGAACGCAGAAGGAAAGCTTTGTGTCGCAGGGCTTAACCACACTAGAGCCGAAACAGTTCGCCCGGGATCCAATGTCAGCCTATTACGTTGACATCAGCGTAGACGAGCACGCAAGCAGCAACGACGAGGGTGGCGGAGCGTCAATGGGCTTGACGGCTGGGGCGGGCGCCAATAACCCAGGTGCCATCGAGAAGACGAGGTATCTGCAGCAGTACGTGCCCAAAGTTCGAGAACTTATGTTCGAAGTCGAGTCGGTGTATTTGTGGAGTATGAAACTCTCGATTACGAAGCAGAACTTGATCGAGCGTAACGGCTTCCCCGACGCCTACATCCCAGGCGATCAGGAGTTCTATTCCTTGCTCGTCCCTTTCCTGCCAGCCTCGCAGCAGTTTCGCCTCTATGCTCTAGCGGAAGCCCGAGAGGTAGAGAAACGAAAAAAGATGGAGTCAGACCTCGAGGCCTTCGACAAGTTCGGACCGAGTGCGGACAAGGGTATAGAGGGCATGATGGCCGACGGCGGTGCTGAGGATGCGATGTCACCAAAGCGTGCGCCACGACCGTTCCTAGACCTGATGCAGCGACGAAAGCAGCATGTTTACGACGCGTACACACTTGCCTCAGTGCGTGAGGCCCTTTCCTTTTTCGGATTAGTGGAACCGATGCCCGAAGGGTCCCTCCATGTGCGCGACCGCGTTCCAGTGTTAGTGAGCAAGATGAACCGCAAACAGGAGGGCCTAGTGCGCACGACCTTCGAGAAGTTCAGGCAAATGATGGACTTGAGTCTCCTAGACTGTGATCGTGGTCAGAACTTAGCCATTCTTCAGATGGGGATGTCCAACGCTGATCCAGGAAGAACTGCGCAAAAACTGAAACAGCTGAAGAAGCAGCAGCAACAGAAAATGCTCGTCGGCTCCGGCAAGGCGTCGTCAAGCACTAGTAAGAAAGGCATCGAAATCAACGGGAAGGTGGTTGAGTACGCCCTTCTCGGACGAGGAAACGCGTTTCCAGCCAAGATCTTCGGAACAACTGGAGCAGACTTCTACAACAACTACATGCACCGAGTACGGGACAAGGAGGCTCTTGACTTTTTGCAGTCACCAGTCGAGCTGTCCGACTTATTGCTGCACATGCACCAGCATCGCGTGCAGGTACAACAGATTCTGGCGCAGGACTGGCGCGATTTCATTGTCTCCGACGTTGTCGACCGTTGTGGTGACAGCTACAACTTTTTCACCGACGACTTGGAGAAGCATATGGCTAGTGAATTCCATCCCTTTCTGCACAAGCTGGATTTGGTGCTGCATTCACAGCTTCGCGAATTTTTTCAGACATCGATGCAGCGGTGGGTCGAGTTTTTTCTGCTCTACAAAGACGCGTCCCTCAACATCCTCAAGGTGGGTGAGCACTACGTGCCAGACAACACGCCCGGCTCGGGCATGATCGAGCGCAGAAGGCGTATGCAAGAGGCAGCCCGCAAGAAGGCGGAAGAGGCGCGCAGAAAAGCAGAAGAAGAAGAGGCACGTCGGAAAGCCGAAGAAGAGGCGGCAGCTGACCTAGCGAGGCGGATCGCAGAGGGCGAAGAACCCCCACCGGCACCCAAAGCCAAGGCCGCACCCAAGGCCGCCGCAGCACCCGCGGCAGTGGAGACCCGCGATAGCAGTTTTGCCGAGGACGGGTCTGCGGAGGTAGAGGAACGACCACCTCCAGCAAGCCCTATGAAGAGCATGTTCGCGAAGCGGTCGCAGCCAGTGCCCTTCGAGTGTTCAGTAGTGCAGCCAGAGCCGCTGCTCATCATCCACTGTGTGTATGATGAGGAAACCAAGAAGGTCGCGTTTAGACCGAGCTTAAAGGACCTAGAAGAACAATTCGCAAACTTGACTTACTGCTGCGCCGACGCCGTTTCAGAAGTCATGGCGGTCGAATTTGAAATGGTCAGCTGCTGCAACATGCCGGCAACGAAGCTCTTCCAGGTACCTGAGGCTATCCTTCTGATCATTTAGCATTATCCTCCGGAATAGTATACCAGAGAGCATGGGCACGACGGGCTGGAAGTTATGATTTTTGTTTTCGTCCACGTCCTTGCCGCTTCCCCCACTGCCACTTGCATTTTGTTCAACAGACTATGTATTCTTGGTAATCCTCATCTTCCATCTAGGTGACGAAGGACGCACCGGTTATTCAGGACGCAGTGAAGGTGGTTTGCGAGGTGCTGCATCTGCTCTACCAAATCCCAGAGAGGGAAATCCTGCAGAAGTACCAGCGATTCACGTATTTGTTTGACGAGCCGGAGCCTTTGAACATGCGGAAGTGGGAAGAAGTGCTAGATGAGTTGCAGAAACTCGAGCAAGCCCGGGACAAGATCGACATGGTATCCGGCGTCGTGGAGTCGTTCCCGCTGTTCGAAATTCACTGCTACGAAGTGCTAGACACGTACAGAAAGCGCATTGACGAGCTGATGCAGTCGATTTTGTCAAGGTTGCAAGACGATGTGACCACGCAACTGGACGAGTTGGATGCGGACTGGAAGGTCTGCCGACGAAGATTGACAGAACCGGTGGAAAACGAGGATCAGATGAGCGATCTGAAGAAGTATCTGCCGGCACTGCAAAAGAATGTGATCAATCCGCAGCTCGCAAAATTGAAGCTCATTGGACAGCAGATTATGGTGCTTACACTTTTGCTTTTCTAAATTGAATTGGTGCTTTCACTCAAAGTCGATGGTGAGGTGGAATTTTATTCATTAATTTTAATATCTAGTTATCTAGCGTTAGCGTTTGCATATGGTTGTCTCTGAATGTGATAAAACTGTTTTTATGCCTTGATTCTTCAATCACACTTTCCTTGATTCCAGGTCCTTCACGAGTTGAAGTACAAGGAGCTGGACCGCACGTTAGTCGAGAGGCAATTCGACGCTTTCCATTGGCCACAGACAGTGCTTGTGGATCGGGAGAAGCGTTTGGTAGACCTGACGAAGGAACAGATGAAGTTCCAGCAAGTTCTGCAATCAGAGAAAGAGCAATATGCACGAGATTTCCAGAAATGGAAAGAGGACTTGCAATTCGTCAAGACAAAGATGGACAACTTCAGCAAGGCGAAGGACTACGACAAACTCGTCACCGGTTTGAATTATGGCTTGTGGTCTTGGTTTGTTTCCAGTGCTATACCTATGTGGTTGAAAAAAATCAACAATTATGTAGAGACCTGCATAGATGATCATTCAATGTACATCGAAAAGCCATAAGCATAACCTGTCATAAGCAATCCACGATATTCCCCTATACTCTTCTGATTCCGTCTTCGCATGCTTATCTCTTCGTGATTTGATCTGAAGATCGATGAACATCAACACATGAGAATCTTGGGGGACAGTCTAATTCCTGGATGCATTGATCGACGCAAAGCGACGATTGGACGATTTCCGCAAGCGCGAGTCGTTGTTTAATATCGAGCTCAGTGAGACAGAACCACTCGACGAGCTCAGTGAGGAGTACGAGGACTACTACTCATTGTGGAACATCGCAATCGATTTTACCTACAACCAGGAGGAGTGGACGCAAGCCAAATTCACGACACTTAACGCGACAGACGTCATGGGCAACTGCGAAACTTGGTTCAAGACTGCCTACATTACGAAACAGAACCTATAAATTATTTATTAGATGTAGTGCCCAGCTGTTCTTGTAATTTACATGGTGATGTGTTGAACTTCTTGTTCATTTTTAGCGCCCTCCCGGATTAGAAATAGGGAAGTTCCATAATTCAAGGGCAGTTAACAAGTTAAAGTTTCAGCCGTTCTCTCAGACCGCTCATGTGTAACATCAATGGAGCGGTACAACAATCATGTTGTGAAGAAAAATAAGTGATAAAAGCGTTAATCTTGAAATGTCGAAGCTGTTCGATCAGCAGCCGGTGCAGCTGAAGGTGGCGACCGCGTTGGTCGATGCTTTGAAAGAGTTCAACAAGAAACTGCCTTTGATTGAGAGTTGCTGTCATCCGGCTTTCGAAGTGCGTCATTGGAACCAGATTTTTTTCGATAACATGGATCTCGACGTCGATGCTCTGCCTGAATTCGCGGATTATACCATGAGCTTGAAGCAGCTGGAGGAGCAGAACATCATGCAATTCATCGACGTGATTCAGGAGGTCTCCGCGGGAGCGCAGAAGGAATACTCTTTGCGTGTGGCGCTACAGAACATGAAGCGCGAGTGGGACCCCATGATCTTCGGGACCATGTCGTACAAGGAAACCGGCACGTATTTGCTCCGTGGCTTAGACGACGTGCAGACGCTGCTCGACGACCACATCATGAAAACGCAAGCGGTGCGCGGGTCGCCCTTCTGCAAGCCGTTCGAGCGCGAATGCCGGGACTGGGAAGCAAAGCTCCTCTACATCCAAGACTCTCTGGACCAGGTTTTACAATGTCAGAAACAGTGGCTGTACCTGGAGCCGATCTTCGCTTCCGAAGATATCGTGCGGCAGATGCCGGCGGAGGCGTCAAAATTTAAACGCGTAGACGAGCGATGGAGGGAAACGCTGGCGATTATCTCGACAAACCCAAGTGTGATCGAGTTCGCGGACATCGAAAACTTGTACACAAACTTCGTGGAGGCGAACGTTCGACTCGACCAAATCACGAAGGGACTCAACGATTATCTAGAAACGAAGCGGTATAATTTTTCTTTATTGAATATGAATCATGCTCACTTTGTTCTCGATCCCGTTGTCTTTCATTCACAGTACGTAGATTTATTCTTCTTTTTCATCGTGAAAACTCACTTATCATTCATCCATTCTTAAAACTCCTTCAGATTGTATTTTCCACGATTTTTCTTCTTGTCGAACGACGAGTTGTTGTCGATTCTGTCCGAGACGAAGGATCCGACCAAGGTACAACCGCACATGGGTAAAGCCTTCGAAGGTATCGCCAAGGTACGGTTCGACAAGAATAGCCAGATTATCGAGGCCATGATTTCCGCAGAGGGTGAAATCGTAGAGCTCATCAAGAAGATCAATGTCGACGCGGGTGAGAACAAGGGCAACGTGGAGAAGTGGCTTCTGGAGGTCGAACATAGCATGGTCGCGACGCTGAAGGACGTGACGACGAAGAGTATCAAGGACTACCAATCACGGGCGCGTACCGATTGGGTGGTCAGTTGGCCAGGTCAGGTTGTTATTTGCGTAGACATGATTGTTTTCTCGGATAATGTGGGCAAGGCGCTGGAAGAGAAGAATATTCAACGCATGAGCGAGCAGATCGAGGCCGAGCTCTCTGATGTGGTCGTTTTGGTGCGAGGTGAGCTGCCCAAACTTGCGCGACGAACGCTTGGTGCCATGACAACAATCGATGTGCACAACCGCGATGTTGTGAACGATTTGGTGAAGAAAAACGTCGATGACCCAGCCGCGTTCGACTGGATCGCGCAATTGCGATACTACTGGCACGAGCCCAAGGAGGTGATCATGAAATTGACCGGCAAGCCGAACGACACAGTGGAGTGCTCAGTGCGTATTATCAACTCGCTGCTCTACTACGCTTTTGAGTATTTGGGAAACAGCGACCGACTGGTGATCACAGCGCTCACGGATCGATGCTACCGTACGTTGATGGGAGCGTTCGATCTCTACTACGGCGGCGCACCGGAAGGCCCGGCCGGGACTGGTAAGACGGAATCGGTGAAGGATTTAGCGAAAGCACTCGCGATTCAGTGCGTCGTCTTCAACTGCTCCGATGGTCTCGATTTCTTAGCGATGGCGAAATTCTTTAAGGGTCTAGCCGCAAGTGGCGCCTGGTGCTGCTTTGATGAGTTTAACCGTATCAATGCGGAGGTGTTGTCGGTGATTGCGCAGCAGGTGATGACAATTCAGATGGCGATTATCGAGAAGAAGAAGCGGTTCCTCTTCGAAGGGACAGAGCTCAGCCTGATTCCGACCTGTGCCGTGAACATCACGATGAACCCGGGTTATGCCGGCCGTGTCGAGCTTCCGGATAACCTGAAGGCGCTGTTCCGACCTTGCGCGATGATGGTATGCTCTTTCATACTTTTCCATTCATGGTTGTGCGTGTGTTTATGCATCAAAAACGCTTGCTGATCATAGGAGAATCATGCCCTGTCGACCAAAGTTTGATTCGGTCTTTGATTGATGCCTCCCTCACACATTACTTCCACCAGGTTCCCGATTACGCCATGATTGGTGAGATCTTCCTGTACTCGTATGGGTTCCAGTACGCCAAGGATCTCGGTATTAAGGCTACGCAGGCCTTGCGTCTATCGTCAGAACAGCTTTCGCCCCAGGCGCATTACGACTTCGGTATGCGTGGTTTGAAGTCTCTTCTAGTTGCGAGCGGTAACATGAAGCGTAAATATGGCGACAAGTTTCCGGAGTTCACACTTGCGCTCCGTGGTTTCTTAGATGTCAACTTGCCAAAGTTTACGGCAGCTGATGTGCCACTATTTGACGGTATTGTCGGCGATTTGTTCCCTGGTGTCGAATTGCCGCCAGCCGACACAGAGCTCTACGAGAAAGCACTTACCGAGGCTTGCGTGGAGCTTGGCCTGCAACCCACCAAATACTTTATTCTCAAGGCGATTCAGTTGTTCGAGACACTGGTGGTGCGACACGGTCTCATGACGGTGGGTCTGCCGCCATGTGGCAAGACGTCAATCAATAATGCGCTCAGCATCATGTTGGAGAAGTTGCAGGATGGCGAAAACTTGAGACCGGTGATAAAATACATCTTGAACCCCAAGTCCATCCCGAAGGACAACCTCTACGGATCCTTCGACGAAAACACACATGAGTGGGCAGACGGCGTGCTCGCAGTAGCAGTGCGAATGGCATCAAGCGGAGAGGAAACGCATAGGCACTGGGTAAGAGTCCCTCTATCCTGTACTTTCTTCGTTGTTTTAATAATAGCAATAATCTTCTTGGCTGGAGTTTCTGTGTGCGTCTTTTATTACTTCTCAACAAAAATGCGATGTATATCGAAGCCAATATTTCTTTATTCCTATCTCGTCCATAGGTGGGTCTCTGACGCGAGGCGTGCTGCAAATCTAGATTCGTCCTCCCAAAAATATCGCCTTTTTGGGAGGGTGTAGGTATCGCGACGCTCAAAGCACACAAAGTAAATTAGCCGGCTAATTTTCCTCGATAGTTCGGAGATCGTTCGTAACCCTTTTCGCAATTTATTCCCATCTCGTCCAGGTTATGATGGATGGCCCGATCGATGCTATCTGGATTGAGGATATGAACACTGTTCTGGACGATAACAAGAAGCTTTGCCTCCTGAGTGGTGAGATCATCAAGCTTTCCCCAAGTGTGAACATGATGTTCGAGACCGCAGATTTAGCCGTCGCTTCCCCAGCAACAGTGAGTCGTTGTGGTATGGTTCTGATGGAGCCAGAAAACGTGAGTTGGCGACCACTGATTCAGTCGTGGATTGCTCGACTGCCAGAACACATCGAGGACAAGGTGAAGGAGCAGATCTACGAGATGTTCGACGCCCATTTGGATATGACGATCGACCTCGTCAAGCGCATGCGCGTCGCTTTGCCGACCGAAACCGCGGGCATCGGTCTGCATGGCTGGATGGGTGTGCAAGTCGGCAGGCTGCTCGAGTCATTGCTCGTGGCACATGCGCCCGCGCCAGGGGAGGGGCCAGACGGTAAGCCAACGAAGAGTCTGAACTTGAAGGAGATGGAAACACGTGTGGACATCTTGTTCTACTTCTCGCTCCTCTGGACCGTTGGCGGGTGCATTGAGGAGGGAAAGCGCCCGCTGTTTGATCAGTTCTTGAGAGAAATTATCACGGGTGGAGACGGCGGCTTCTTGACTCCAGAACAGCTGCGAGACAAGTACGATCTTTTGGAGACCAAGTGGCGCCACGTGCCCTCGAAACAGCAGCTTCCGGATCCAGAAAAGGGCAGTGTCTACGACTTCTTCGTGGACGAGCAGCAGGGGAAGTGGGTTCCGTGGCTCACGCTCATCAAGCCGCACATGACCGCCATTCCAGACAGTACTACTTTTTAATCAGATTTGTTGTAGTTCTTTTCACGTGCTGGATCTTCGCAACGTAGTTTCTACGTGAATAAGGCTTCTGACTGGATCTCCAATCGTCTCTATTTTCTTAACTCTCAGATGCGCAGTTTCACAACATTATCGTGCCGACGGGTGACACCGCGCGCAACCAGTACCTCATGCAAATCTATTGCGCAAAGCAGCCACATCAAGTCAACGTGCTCTTCTGCGGTATCACCGGTACAGGAAAAACAGTTGCGGTCCAGAACCAACTGCTCACCGGATTTGATGAAGAAAGTATGATTTTTGTTAGGTTTGCTCATTCATTTCGTGCTAGTGCTACTTACTTTCATCTTCCCGAACGCGATCAAGAATCTATAAGGCAAACTTGGTTTCACATACCATTATGAGGAAGGTGACCTGTTCGAGATCATCGACTAGTTGTATCTATGATTTCATTGCTCCTCGACCTCGTGCTTTCTTTCACCTTCCAGAGTTCACGTCAATGTCCTTCGCATTCTCTGCGGCCACTACGTCGAAGCAAACGCAAGAAATCATTGACGGAAAGCTCGACAAAAGGAGGCGAGGTGTATTTGGACCACCAGTGGGCAAGACAATGGTAATTTTCGTTGATGATTTGAACATGCCGACAAAGGAAGAGTATGGAGCTCAGCCACCGCTCGAGATTCTACGACAGTTCTTCTGCCAGCAAGGTAATGCGAGATTTTGATTTACAACAGTGGACGATATGACGTCACACCTTTCGTATGGTCTGTCTGGCAGATGTTGGATGTCTAGGATATGCACCGTGACACTATACACACAGCAACACATATTTATATTTATTTATTATGATATCCGCGTTGCTTCCAGCGTCCTCTCCTTTCCTCCTCGATGACTTAAGTATCTTTCCATCATTCACTGCGTCACCTTGTAGTAGTCGACGGGCCTTCTTATAGTAATACTTCGTTCCCTTATGATATCCGCTTCTTTTCAGGTTGGTATGACCGCAAGACGAATGAATTCCGACAACTGGAGGACCTCCTGTTTATCGGAGCCATGGGTCCCCCAGGCGGAGGCAAGAACACGATTCCAGCAAGGTTTTCCTCTATTTTTGATCATCTCAGAAGGGAGCTGTAATTCTCGATGGATAATGTCATACCTATTGACGTCGAGGACTTATGATCCGCAAAAATCTTACTGTCACTTTTCCTGTTCGTAAGTACTTTTACATAGTTAGTTATTTTCTCCCACCTTGACCGTCACACTTCCAGGTACTTGTGGCACTACAATCTGATCTTTGTCACGCCGTATTCCGAGGAGGGTCTTGGGCGCATCTTCATGTCAGTGTTGAAGTGGTTTTTCACGCCTTTCCCGTCAAGTATCTCGCAAGCCGTACCCAATCTCGTGAAAGCCTCCTTGGATATGTATGAATCCGCGTCAGGCCTGCTGCGGCCAACGCCGACGAAGAGCCATTATGCCTTCAACTTGCGTGATTTGAGTAAGATCTTCCAGGGTCTCACCCTCTGTAGTAAACCGAGTTTGCCGGATGTCGACTCGCTTGTACGCTGCTGGGCGCATGAGTGCTCTCGTATCTTCGAGGATCGCCTGATCAACGACGAAGACAAAGCCGCATTCAAGGAACTGCTGAAGGAGAAGATGGAGGAGCACTTCAAGAAGAAGTGGCCCGTGACTGTGAAGCTAGAGCCTTTGATTTTTGTGGATTTCATGAACAACAAGCAGATCTACGAGGAAGTGACAAGTCATACAGACTTGATTGCGAAGGTGCAGGAACTGCTGAACGACTTCAACGCGGTGGCGAAACATCAAATGAACTTGGTGCTCTTTTTGTTAAGGCTAGCCAATCATTATCTGGTGTGGACTATGCTGCGTGGAGTCCCTTTGGAATTCAATGGGACCTGAGGGGGGAAAAAGAAAATCCACTCGACCAGGGATAGTGATTGGCTACCTTTAATCTTGAACTTCGTAAACCACGTATCGAAAATTGTCCGCGTGCTGCGGTTGCCTTTAGGCAATGCCTTGTGTGTGGGTGTAGGCGGAAGTGGTCGGAAATCCGTGTCGACATTAGCTAGCGCAATATGCGAATATGACATCTTTCAGATCGAAATTTCGAAGAGCTATGGTACTTCCTCTATGTACTTGTGATAGATTTTGAAAATTGAAGAATCTGCATGGGACGATAGTCCTTCTTGTAAGAGTGTAGCATTGATGTAGTAGAAATGAGCTTTCTTTGATGACCTTCTTTCCCTTTGGCGTTATTGATTACCATTTTTTCACGTTTTTTTTCTGCTATCTCCTACAAAGGTGCAATAGAAATTGAGGTAAGACTATGAATTCACTCTTTTTCCTATATGTTCCCCCCGTCGCCAATATCAAGGTCCGGCCGATTGGCATGACGATTTGAAGCGGCTTTTGATCAATTGCGGTGGCAAGCAGAAGCCGTTTACTTTCCTCTTCAGCGATACTCAGGTGCAGCGGGAGTCATTCTTGGAGGACATTTCCTCAATTTTGAACACTGGTGAGGTTCCGAACTTGTACAACATGGAAGACAAGTCTCAGATCCTCGATATGTGTGCTAAAGGGGCACAAGCAGAGGGAAAGATGGGCAATGCTGCGGTCTTTGCCTGGTATGTTGACCAGTGCAAGAAGTTCCTACACATCACGCTCTGTACTTTATCCTTTTTTGATACAAGCAAACTGTAGCAACACATGTTTTTCCGTAGACACCAATCACGCAAGAAGGCCTAGGTCGATGGTTTCTATATTGCTATCACCCTTTACAACCAAATGCTCTGATCGCTTGTGGTTACTTCGTTCAATACAATACTCCTGGCCCTCCTTCGTTCTAGGTCTTTCTCCGATCGGTGCGGCCTTCCGCCTCCGACTTCGAAACTATCCGTCACTCGTAAACTGCTGTACTATCGATTGGTTCCTTACCTGGCCAGACGAGGCTTTAGAGTCGGTTGCGAAGCAATTCCTCAAGAAGGAGTTTACAGATAAAGACGGGAACGTATTGCTTTTTCAATGAATGTTAGTAATAGTACTCGATGTTGATTTTTCTTGTTGACGTTCCTCGAGGAGTTTTGTGATTGTGCCCTCCTTCCTAAGTCATCAACCTTTTCTCTTTTGCACTTGGCGATGTGTCAAAAAACGGTATCACTCACCCACCAGGTCGACGAGGTGACCTTTGCTGGAATTGTACAGACGTGCGTCAAAATGCAAGGTGGCGTATTCAAACTCACTGAGCGGTTCCGTAACGAGATCCGAAGGCACTACTATGTGACGCCAACGAGTTACCTCGAGCTGGTGAACTGGTACTCATTGCTAACCAATTGCATGATTTATGGTTGCCGAGACAAAAATCACGTGTGCAGTTTTTCATATTGTCACATGCCAACAATAGACGAATGAGTTGCACTTCTACAGGTTTGATTTCTGTTTCAGCTCACCTCGACATCTGCACAAACTCACACTCCTCACACCTACTTTTGTCTCATGACGTCACAGCTTCATGTCCCTTCTCGGGAAGAAGAAGAACGAGGTTAGCACCGCGAAGAGCCGATATGACGTCGGGTTGGACAAGATTATGTCGACCGAAGTGATGGTCCAAGATATGCAAAAAGAGCTCGAAGATTTGCAACCAGTCCTCGTCAAAATGACGAAGGAAAACCAGGAACAAATGGTCGTCATCGAGAAGAGCTCGAAAGAAGCTGCAGTGACGAAAGGTGCTAGACATTTTGTAGCCTCTGGTTGTACAAGATCAACATAATTTTTGTTCACTTTAAATATATTCATGCTCATCCATGGTGGCAAGAAGAAAAACTACCACGTGGTCTGCTACGTTTCGTGAAGTTTCAAACTGAAAAAAAACATTGACAATCGATCCACTTCAACTTGATAACTTCTACTCATCCAGGTTTGATCGAGGAGGAAGAAAAAGAGGCGAACATCATTCAGGCGGAAGCCAGTAAGATGGCAGAGGACTGTCAGAGAGACCTTGACGAGGCGCTTCCGGCACTCCAAGCCGCTGTGTCAGCATTGAATAGCCTTTCGAAAGGTGATATTGTGGAAGTGAAAGCGATGAAGTCGCCGCCGCCGGGTGTGATTCTGACAACGCAGGCACTGTGTATCATGTTCGACGTAGCACCTATGAAAATAAAGGACCCAGCCGGAGGAAACAAGAAAGTCGATGACTTCTGGGAGCCAGGGAAAAAGAAACTCTACGGCGACACAAATCTGCTGAAGCGCATGATCGAATACGACAAAGACAATATTCCAGAAGCGACAATAGCGAAGGTACTTATGCTTTTTGTACACGAATTCAATTATATTAATGTGATGATCTTAGGTACAGTACCGTTCATCACGACCGTATTAAACGAAGTGCACCCTGAGACGTCGTGTCCGTTAAGTAAACACTGAACTCCACTAATATTGATTTGTGTCGCACGTCGAGCAACCAAAAGCGCTATCTCTCCGTCTCAACCATACACAGGTCAAGCCCTTCGAAGCGGATCCGAACTTTGATCCCGAAGCAGTGAAGAAGAGCAGTGTTGCTGCCGCCGGTATGTGTAAATGGGTCCGGGCCATGATAGTCTACGAGCGCGTGGCACGCGAGGTCGGGCCGAAGCGCGAGGCCCTGGCCGCTTCGCAGGCCAAGCTGAAACAGGCTGTTGATAAATTGGCCTTGAAGAAGGCAGAACTCAAAGAAGTGCTGGATAAATTGCAGGAATTGGAGGACGGATTGGCAGCGAGCAAGAAGAAGTCAGCCGAGCTCGCACAGCAGGTGCAAGACTGTAAAACGCGACTAGCAAGAGCAGAGAAGCTGATATCCGGATTGGGCGGTGAAAAAGGTCGATGGCAAATCAGCAGTAAGAAGCTAGGAGAGGCGTTCATCAATCTGGCAGGTGCTTCAAACGGATTCAAAATGCACCATTGAATAAATATTAATTTATCGACTGTATTTAAGGTTTGTCCAGAGCTGCCAGTATCATAGAAATACTGTCAGACCACGGCCCTACGGTCATCATGAACGATGGCAACAGGGACAACTGCATGCGCGTAACCATGTGCCTTTACTTGTACCACGCAGCGGATTAAGATGTAGTAACAATTACGAGATGTAGCTAGAACTTATTTTCAGACTAGCTCCACTTGTTTTCATCACGTCGCTGTCCCTGTCGGTCTGTCACCGTTTTTTCGTTTCTCCCTACTAAAACAGGTGATATTCTCATTTCGTCCGGTATTATTGCCTATCTGGGTGTCTTTACGATGGCGCTGCGTTCAGAGGAGGTTCAGAGTTGGACCGACACGCTGAACACTGCAGGCATCCCGTGTACTCAGGACTTCAAGCTTGCTGAGATCATTGGAGAGGCTGTGACAATCCGACAGTGGGTGATCGACAAATTGCCGAACGACGCTTTGTCCATCGACAATGCCATAATGAAGGACAACTCGGCGCGATGGCCGCTGATGATTGATCCACAGTTGCAGGCAAACAAGTGGGTTCGAACGACCTTCGGAGAGGAATTGAAGGTCCTGCGATTGACGAAGAGCGACTACGCACGACATTTAGAGACCTGTATCCAATTTGGAAAGCCGGTGCTGATCGAAAATGTGGGTGAAGTGCTAGATCCGATGCTGCAGCCTCTGCTGGAACGCGCGATCTTCAAGGCAGGCTCCCTGTCCATGATTCGTCTGGGCGACAACACGATCGAATACAACGCGAAATTCAAGCTCTTCTTGACATCAAAATTGCCGAATCCGCATTACGCACCAGAGGTCTGCGTCACCGTTATCATTCTCAATTTCGTCACCACAATCGAAGGTCTCACGGACTCGCTGCTGGCGCTTCTCGTATGAATATATTGAAATGATATTGATAGAGCTGCTACTGCTTCTTGAATGAAAAATGTTGCTCCTATTTTTGAATAATATTATATTTTCTTTGAAGATAGGAGTATACTTGATGATAACTGCCCTTTTCGCTTTTCTATCTTCCTCTGGTCTTTCTTTTTTCTAGTTAGGTCTGCTCCGCCACGAATAATATTACTTTCTTTCATCGTGATCTGTCACCGATGTGGTCCTTCTATCGTAGAATTTGTTAACGAGAAATTAAGTCAGGTTTTCCAAAGGGGATATTCTGTTGATAGGCTCGGTAAACAACAAACATCTTATGCGCTCTCCCTGCACAGGTTGCAAAAGAGTCGCCCGACGTAGAACGTAAACGTGTAGAGCTCGTGGTAGAGAGTGCAAATAGTGCAGCGCAGTTGAAGGAGATCGAGGACAAGATCCTTTATCTCTTGTCTGCGAGCACTGGTAATATTCTTGACGATGAGGAGCTGATCACGACGCTAGCCAATTCAAAAGTCGCTTCCGTGCGTATCGAAGAGCGCGTGGTAGTGCAACAACGAACGGCCAAGGAAATCGCAGAGGTGCGTGAGTTCAATCAGCCCGTTGCAGCGCGAAGTTCAGCCCTGTTCTTCGTCGTTTCTGATTTGGCGAATATCGAGAGTAACTACCAGTACAGTCTGGAGTGGTTTGTTTCTATCTTTTTAGATAGCATTGACGCGGCGGACAAGGCTAGAGGCACGGCGAGACTCGAGGCTCTGAATCGGTCCTTCCTTTTCAAACTCTACGTGAATATCTGCCGTTCCCTCTTTGAGAAAGACAAGTTGCTTTTCTCCTTCCTGACTGCGATCAAGATGCTTGAATTCGATCGCGAATTGAACAGGAGAGAACTCAACTTGCTAATGCAGGGCGGCGGTGGCGGTGGGGCACTACGAGAGCCGAAGCCAGACGTTGGATGGCTCACAGACGTTAGTTGGAGCAAGGTAAGCATCTATGTACCAGGGAGGGGGGCCCCCCGTAAGACCTGGCGAGCGCCGTATAGACCGCAGACCGAAACCCTTTCCCCTTCCGTTCCCCCCTATTATAGGGGGGACTTGCTCGCTCCTATGCGTGACGCGCGTGCCGCGTCATAATTGAGCGCGACAGAGCTGTCCGGGGGCGGCCTTATGATCGGAGGCAAATCCATGGGCGACCTTATGACCTGAGGGAAATCCGTCGGCGGCCTTATGATCTGAGGCAAGTCCGTGGCTGGCCTTATGTTCTGAGGCAAATCCGCGGGCGGCCTTATAGTCTAGGAAAAGTGTCGCGATTTCTTTGCTTTGTTCAGCGAGCCGCGAGAGATGCGAGCCAGTTTGTTACAGCAGGCGGCTGGCGGTGTTCGACGCAATGGCCCCGACTGTGTGGGTCACCTATCTTGCTGCAGAGTGGGTGGGCTTGGGCCAGGAATCGGGAGCGGGTCAGCCGTCTCGACCTCAAGGGGGTCGCCGTGTTTAGTCGAGTCGCCCGCGGTCTGTGGGCCACTCTCATTGTAGGCCTCTAGGTAGCGCGGGCGCGCTGGTGGTCGGCTGTAGTGGCTTACAAAAAAAGCGCCTCCGAATGTTTGGAGAATGAAAGTCGCTCAGGAGACCGCGAGAGCTGTGCGGGGGGTGCTCTTTGTCAGGGTGTGGCGAGGCGCTAAGGATGGCCCAGCATATGGGCGGCGCTTGGCGTGACGCGCGCGGCGGTCTCTCGCTCGCTCAGTCTCATACTAGTTAGCTAGTGCTGCTGGGGTCCATCGAATGAAACGCAAACGGGGGCGCCAAGTCGATGACCTACAGCAAAACCCATCAGCCAGCGTCTCCGCGTAAAGTTGGACCACCTTAGATGAGATCATGCGCACGCTTCGCACCCTCACGCGCCTCGCTAATACTCTCAAGCGTGTCACGCCGTCGGGCGTCACGCTGATCCCCTCGATCTCGCGCGTCAGGCTCCTCAGGTGGCTATGGCGCTCGCAGGGTTCCACGGGGGTTCCCCCCCTGTGGGTGGAGCTGTAGAGGCATCGGCGCGCCCTTTTTTCTGCGGTTGTGTGAGGTTTTTCGGGGGTGAAGGCCTCAAAAAGCGGAGCCGGAGCCCCTCTACGGCTCTCCGCGTATGCTTCACAGGCGTCCCGACTCTTGGGCCTTATCAGGTGGACGGCCTCTGAGGGTAGAAAGCCGCCTCGGCGGCCACGGTCGCGAGGCCTGGCGCCTTTTGCTGGGTTGCCCTCATCCCCCAAAGAAATTGGTGGCAGCGTCAGCCGCCACCAAACGCCCGTGGGGGTTGAGGACCAAAGTTGAGGAGGAGTGGGGGCAAAGCGTGCCCGCTTGGGTTCCGTCGGACATATGCAGCACCCCCTTGGGAGGCTCGCCCAGTGAGAAGCCCGCACACTTGGGGGAGGTCTGTCGGGGACATGCAACACGGGGGCAAGGGGGTCAAGCCTTGCCACCTTTGTCGCCTTCGGAAGCCTTCCACCCCCGGCCGTCGGTGCTTGAACGGGCTCAGGGGTTCGGCCGGGTACATGCAAGAAGCCGCTAGGGCGCGAAGGTGGGCGCTTGGAGGCTTTTCTGCCCGGCAGTCTCTCGGCAAAAAGGGCCCAGGGCTGGCGGCCGCCTCTGCCGCCTCCCTAGATCGGGGGGGGCCTTCAGCTTTGAGCCGCCCTGGAACACGTACTAGGGAATGTATGCCTTAACAAGCGGGAGCAATTTCTTGCCTACGAGAACCGCTCGAGTTTATTTATTGCAACTGTGGCGCTGCCTCGCAAGTTATTCTCATCATAAACTTAATGAAAAAGCAATAAATACACAACTTAATCAATGAAAAAGTAGAGCAGCACGATCATTCCTTATATATAATTTCTGTCAATTCATCCATGATCAGACTACAGGTTCTCGAGCTCGATAAACTTGGTGAGGACGAGGCTGGCGACGGTGGTATTCCACTTTTCAAAGACTGGAGTAAACGATATGCCAAGAATATCGATGTGTGGGAGAAGGTCTTCGAGAGCGAGATCCCACAGGAAGCCGAATGGCCAGAGGGTTTGAACGCTGACCGCTATGGCCATACAGACGACACGACCGCATTGGAACAGGCGTTGATTTTGTTAGCGTTTCGACCAGATGGACTGGTGACCAGCATTCAAGATATCATCATGGAGAAGCTGGGCAAGAACTACTTGGAGCCACCACCATTTGACCTAAAAGTGAGTTACCAAGAGTCGAAGCCGCATATTCCATTGCTCTTCGTGCTGACAGTTGGTGCGGATCCTATGTCTGCGCTTCTGAAACTGGCTGAAGGACTAGGTATGCAGGACCGCATGTTCTTGCTCTCGCTTGGCCAAGGTCAGGGTCCGAAAGCAGACGCTGCGATTGCAGACTCTACGAAGAACGGCGCGTGGGTTGTGCTGCAGAACTGCCACTTGGCAGAGAGTTACATGGCGCAGTTGGAGGCGACGTGTGAGAATTTCAGCCCGAACGAGATCCACCCTGAATTCCGGTTGTGGCTCACTGGAATGCCAGCGAAGCATTTCCCGGTGTCGATTTTGCAGAATGGTGTGAAAATGACGGTCGAGCCACCGAAGGGACTGAAGCAGAACTTGACAAGAGCCTACTTGGGCTTTGATGGGGAGTGGATGGAGACGTGCACCAAGCCACACGCGATGAAGAAGATGCTCTTCGGTCTAGCGTTCTTCCACGCCTTGATCCTGGAGCGACGAAAGTTCGGGCCGCTCGGATGGAATATTCCATATGCGTTCTCGGACCCAGATCGAACCATTTCGTCATCACAGCTGAAGATCTTCTTGGACAGTTACGACGAAATCCAGTGGGCCGCACTGAACTACCTGGTCGCAGAGGCGAACTACGGTGGTCGTGTCACAGACGGGTCCGATCGACGCACGATTAAGTGCATCCTGTCCGATTTCTATTGTCCGGAAATTCTCGATGACGACTACAAATTCTCCACCAGCGGAGTGTACTATTCACCAGACAGCAGGTACAATAAAGACAAGTGCCTGGAATTCATCGGCACGCTTCCGCTGCAGGAGTATCCAGAGGCATTCGGGCTGCATCAAAACGCAGATTTGACCGCCAAGATCTCAGAGGGCATGGCGATCATCAAAACAGCCGTCAATCTACTCCCACGTGACACAGGCGGCTCAGGCAAGACTTCAGACGAGATCTGGACCGAAAAATGTGACGAGATCTTAGGCTCAATTCCATCGAAGCCCTACGACATCGAGGCGGTACAGCTGAAGTACCCAGTCGACTACAACGAGTCTCTGAACACCGTGCTGCCGCAGGAGTGCACGCGCTTCAACAGATTACTGGGCAAGATGCGGGACACCTTGCTAAATTTGAAGCGAGCAGTGAAGGGTGAGGTGGTGATGACCCCAGAACTGGACTTAGTCGGCGAGGCATTTCTCGCAAACGCGGTCCCAGAACCGTGGCTGAAGGTGAGCTTCCCTTCGCTAAAACCTTTGGGCAGCTACGTCCCAGATTTCATGCGAAGATTAAAACAGTTTGACGGCTGGATTGCAGATGGTCCACCACCGCTCTTCTGGATCACCGGCTTCTTCTTTGCGCAAGCATTCTTTACAGGTGCGCTTTATTGATACTCGCTTCGCGACTAAAGCATACAAAAAATACTAACCGGTTATTTTTACTTCGATCTAGTAGAATGAAATAGAATCCCCTTTCGCGATCGCGGCGAGTGTTCCTTTCCTTTTTCCGAGCACTGATGTTATAAAATACGTTGGTCTTGTTAGTTTTCTAGTTTCTTTGGCAAATAGATATATGCTTTCTGAGATGTCCATATGTGAAATATTCAAGCCTAACTTAGACTTACTTCTTATTAAGTTCGTCTTATGCATCAAATCCTGATCAGGTTTGCTCCAGAATTTTGCGCGAAAGACGAAGTATCCCATTGATCAGTGCATGTGGAATTTCTATGTTCAGAAGCGTGCGTTTGAGGTCAAAGAGAAGGCGCCGTTGGGTTGCTACGTCTATGGTTTGATCATGGAAGGCGCCAGGTGGGACGACGACGTGATGGGTATCAACGAATCCTTTCCTAAAGTGCTGTTTGACGAGCTCCCGACCATGCTGATGGACCCGGTGCTGAATACAGCAGACAACACGCCCGTGCTGGTGTACCCATGTCCGGCCTACAAGACGAGTGCACGCCGCGGTGTGCTGAGCACTACAGGACACTCTACAAACTTTATCATGACAGTGATGCTCCCGATTCAGTCACAGCACACGGAAAAGTACTGGGTCAAGCGAGGCACAGCACTACTCTCGCAGCTAGACGATTAAGAGTCTTAGACTTTGATAAACCTTTGTCGAATTATAGGAGGACAAGATGGTGAAAGAGGCGAGGGAGAAGTGATTTGGTTTTTGGTCTATCCTTACGCGGGAATATTGTCTTCTTGGTTGAAATCGCTTTTCTAGTACTGCAATCTATCATTTCCAGTTATGACAAACTTCAAAAGATATAAATATTAACTATTTTATTGCTTGACGCACATTCTGTATATATTGTTTGACGAACATTCTCCACAGGCATCTGTTACTAACATGTTTTTTCCCTTTGATTTGAATTACGAACAGTAGCACATGTCTTTTTCTTTCAGATTTATGTACTGACGTTATGTTCGCGTTCAGGGCCAGGATGCACTGTTTTGCAGTACCAGGCTCTAGCCGCGCTACCGAAGAGCAAGCGCTATCTACTTGAGACCTTTTTTTTTCTCCTACTAACTGGTCGCATGAAAGAACAAGGAACCTCACGCACGAAAATTATCACTACCCTACTCAGATAAATATTGATTCAAAATGCTTGTGCTGACCATGCTACATTTTCGTGCCAGGATCTCTTTTTATACTTGGTTAGACAATTTAAGTACATCGATTGATAGAATGCTGAAAAAAGAGCAAAAATGAGGACCGAAAATAGCTGGAACTATGACAGTGTGTACGCGAGTGAACAGAGGAGTGTGGAAGTTAGGTATGGGCGCAGATGTGGAGGATTTTCACGGCTGCAGGCGGTCACGGGACACTTAACAATTAGGCGTGGTCACGACCGCCTGTCGTTGTGTGAGTATGAATCTTAAGGGATGAGCTTGCTTGTTTCTCCACATAGAGGACGCGCGACCGACAACGACAAGCTTTCGCATGAAAAGCATACACCACGCGACAAGGACGTGTGTAGTTAATCTTGCGAAGTACTATGGCAATGAATCGGATAGATTTGTGAAAATTGGTTAGGCGTTCTATAGCGTAATTATCATGTGCTGCTTCCGGCAGCAAAATCAAGGCGATTCACAGAGAGTTTCTTCGTTTTGCTTGTACAGTGAGTCCATAAAGTGTTGGTTTTTACGTTTGAAACAAAGTAGGTTACGATTTGTAGCCGATCTACAGAAATTATCACAATCACAAATTAGTGTCGTGGTTCATTAAATTTCATATTCATCTAATGTGCGGTTCTAAATTAATTTTAATAAATTGGTACTTAACATTACGGTCTGTGTGAAGAAATACTGAGTTCAATGGCTTTTTATTTTTTTCATGTGTAGGATGCCCATGCCGGTCTCGATCGGTGGAGATCCTGGTTTTTATACTTATTCATATATACTTCCTTCAACCAATACTTATATACCTATTATATTCATGAAAGCAGAAAAGCAATAAAGAGTGATGCCATTATTGATGTGCATCCCCAAAAATCTTACTAATGAAACGAACCTATTCTGGATTGCGAGCTCTCATTTCCTCTTAGGACGACGACCCCTGAGTTTGTTGTGATGTACATTAAATCTAAGCGACCTGTGATGTTTCAAGACCCAAAATGACACTGAATTTGCGAGCAGTAAATAGGAGTGTTGAGCATTATCTTCGACGCCCAGATGGTGCCCTACTTGGCTTCTTGTCTGCGATGCGGGCAGGTGTGTTCTTGGCAGGGAACCTGTGGAGTCCAGGGAGACGATAAATTTTTATACCTGTGGCTTCATCCTGCTACGTGTCAAAATACATTTATCACGCAGTTCTCACTGGTTGTCAAAAGATCAAATTCATAATTTTCAGGTGCAGTTGGATCCGGAGGTTTTCAGTGTGATGTCTTGCAGCAACCACAATATATCATTTGAGTGCTGTGAAGATTAAGCAAAGACGAGATTAGCCACTTCATTGCGAACGATCACGATCTTGGCCCTTCTTTGCTTCTCCTTCTCGGTCTTGACTCTGTCGCTTTAAGCAATTGATTTTTTACTTCGCAACCGAGGACAATAATTTTATCATTTACTACTCACTAGGGAGGACGTTGACTGAATAGCGTCCCGTACTAGACCAGAATGCGTCGCGGGCGGGTGTTGCTCGCCCTCGGGGCGAGCTGTGTTGCGCTGGGAACGCGCAATGACAAAATCGGGAAGGTCGTGGAGATGCTAGTGGAGAAGAAAAACGAAGTTCTCGCCAATGGGCAGGAAATGAAAGTGCAGTGGAGCGCATTCAAGACATGGTGTGATAGTACATTTGCCAACACGGAGGAAGACATTGAAGAATTTTCGGCGGAGATCAAGCGATTGGAAGCGGATATTGCAGGAAAAGAGCTCATAATAAAAAAAGCGATAGTTGCAATCGATACTGCCACTGTTGAAGCTCTCAAAGACAAGAAGGACATTAAGGGTATTCATACAACTATTTCTCGAGCTTCGTGATTTGTGAAACGTTAAATTACGTTATTTTCACTTGGGGTGAAGGTGATTATGTTTGTACAACAGCATAGATGGAGACCGATAATGTGGGAGTGTAATGTTTCTTTTATCTTTGGTTTGATGACAAGGACACAGGAAGAAGTGGGATATCGTTGTCGTCAAAATGCAGTGGAACATTATTGTTACCCTGGCAATAGGTATTGCTAGATCAACGTTGTCTTAACTGCCCTTCCCGGCTTGGTCCCAAACAAATTTTTCTAAATTTTCTAAAGAGATGAGGTATCGACACAATGCATGGGGAAAGATTCCTCTTCTTATAATTCTCATTGTAGTCTTGAAATGATACTCATTCCACAGCAATGGAGCATGTCCGAGAAGCGGAAAAAACAGCCTTTGTTGCAGCGGAAACAGAGCTCAACGACAGTATCTATGCCTGCGAGAAGGCGCGCGAAACGCTCCAGGCGGTACCCGACGCGACGCCAGTAGCTGGTAGCGCATTGTTGCAGCTGAAGCTGAACAAGATTAATTTCGGCACTAGTCGCGGTTCTCACCGCCGAGCGATTGAAAATCTGCTGGAAATCGCCCAGGAGCCACCAGCGGGCATTTCGACACAGAAGGTGCAGCAGCCACAGGGAGCGGAATATGCTATGAGTATTGACATTGTGTTAGCTGTTCTAGGAGGCTGTACTGCGTGCAGGATCTGAGTTTAGATTTTCTAGGAAATAAGAGTATGTATCTCAATCGCCCAACGTTTTTTTGTATGTATGTAATTCGGCTCGGACGTGTGATCATGTTCAAGGTATTGTTTGATTTCTTTCTCGTCTGCCTTCAGCCCGGAACAGCGGGACGGAAAAGGTGATTAGTATGCTAGGGGAGCTCCAGGACTCCTTCGAAGAGGAGCTAAGGAACTTGCAGGACGGTGAGCGTAAGAACATCGAATCTTATGAGCTTCAAAAGGATGCGACCGAGGAACACCTGAGGATTCAGAACAATATTATCGCTGACGAGACTGCTGTGAAGACGCAGAACGAGGCCGAAAAGGGTGAGTTGGAGCAAAGTTTGACGAGCAATACAAACTCGCTCGCAGAAAGCAAGAAGTATTTGAAAGAAACCAGCGCAGAATGCACGCAGAAGGCAGCAGACTTCGTGGCTGCGCAGAACTCGATGGGAGAGGAAGTACCTCGGATTTTATTTCTTTACTTGCCAATGTCGGGACGTGCATTTTGGAAGGGTTGCAATCTCAATTTTTCTATATGCACAATGGCGCACTTCTTATAAATATAGTAATAGATTTTCTGCACAGGCCACAGCGATCGAAAAGGCGGTGGAGATTATGCAAGGACCGGAGGTGACCACCGGTGGCGGTAACCTAGCTTCGACTGGCGCCGCAGACACGGTTTCGTTTCTGCAGGTCGGCACCTCAAGGAAGTCTCAGCCGCGTCTGACCCAATTCCTGAAAGAGGAATCCTTAAAAGTTAATAGCAAACTTCTGATGCAACTGGCCTCGTTGGCCCAGGATGGACCTTTTGACAAGGTCAAGGGGTTGATCGAGAAGGAAATTAAGAAGCTCCAGGAGGAAGTGATGAAGCGGCAAACCGATAAAAACTGGTGTGATAGCGCTATTGCTGAGAACACCCGTGAGATCGAAAAGTACACGGATCAAAAGCAGGACGAAACCATTGCGGTGGAGACTCTGACCGTTCGCCGGGACACACTAAAGGAGGAAATCGCGCAACTCACGAAATCTATCTCGGAAAAGAAGAAGGCAATGGCAGAAGCGACCACGAACCGCAATGCGGAAAGGAAGGAGAGCGAGCGGGTACTAGCGTCCGATATCGACTGATGATATTGCTTATATTTCTTTTCGTCTTGTCGTCTCATCTCTGAAGAGCTGAATTCTCTGTAGATTCTGGCTAGGCGAGAATTATCGAAGTCTAAATTTTCTAAATTAAGCTTTCGCTCAATCACATCAGATCGTGAAGGAGTCGCGTGAAGCCGAGGAGGCCGTGAAGTCGGCGATCGAGGTTCTGACGGAGTACTATGGCGATTCTGGTATCGGTGGAACCGCGTCTCTTGTGCAGCAAGGAACGCAGGAATCGCAGAGTCCGAAGCCGGAGTTCGAGGGTGGAGAGTACAGTTCTAGCGGCGAAGGTATCCTCGGTATGCTGACCACGATTGAGGCAGACTTCAGCAAAACCGCAGCTGAAACAGACGCGGAAGACTCGACCGCGCAGGAGAGCTACGAGAAATTCATGAAGGAGAGCAAGGTATAAAGTAGGTCAATTTACTATGTTTCTTCTTTTATAAGTGAAAGCCTTGATGGTGTTGGATGAAGAAGTTTCATACGAACTTTCACTTCTGCCTTTCTAAATCTCGAAACACCCATGCACTGACAGATTTTCTTGGCTTCCTCCGGCCCGGATCTTGAGAACAGTAGATCGAAGCTTGCTGAGACGAAGCAGTCACTGTTGGACGCTGCGGATGCGGCTAAGGCCGCCACGGAGAATCTTGAGGCAGAGACGAAATACAAGAACGACACGGTTGACCCGAAGTGCGTGAAGACTGCCGTTTCCGCCGAAGAACGCAATGCAAAGAGAGAGTCTGAGATTAAGTCTCTCACTGAGGCCCTTGAGATCCTGAGCCAAACAGCACCCTAAAATGGATTTTGATTAGTACACGTCCATAGTAATGTACAGATAACCATATTCTATTGATTTAGCTACTTTGTTTTCGGCGGTTAGTAATAGTTGTGGTGGATCACGGACGATAATTATATTTTGTCGGTGGTATTGAGTTTGAGAGATTTTCAATGACATCCTGTTTGGAGAACCGATGATATTCCCCGGGTGTCAAAGTAGCAGTATTCAGCGCATATTGGAAGCGAAAAATGTACGATGGGGATATCTATGCCGACGCAGTTCTGTCGCTGTCGCGTCGTTCTGTTTGCTTCGTATAAGCGTCGTCTTGAAATTTCACAGTTTAGATCACCTGCATTCAATGGCACTTTTTCACATCACATCACTTTTTTTCACATTCAATCGCAATTGTTCTCGTTTCGGAGAATCAATCCTAAAGACACTTTTTTCTGGAAAAAATACTGGCTCGGGATGCTAGTTATGAGACTTTTCCTTTCCTATTCTATTGCACTGTCTCAATTGTATTTTGGTTTTGGGTATTACAGATTGCTGATGTGCTCATAAGCAACGCGACAAGAGACGGGAGGAGGTGGAGGACTTAGGCCCCGACCTAGCCGGAAGGATGCGACGGGTGTTCCACTACCATCGGTCACTAACATCGCTGCTCACGATGGGAGACAGGACGTGACACTATCTGGTAGAGAAAGACGAATCAGAATCGGTAGGGCCGCAATTATTGTGTGCCACCACCACTCGGCCATGAACACGTGTGATACCTTGACTGTTGATTTAGGAGTACTTACCTTTCATGGTGTGGTTGTTGCCGAGTTTCAGCATCGGTATCCTGAGACATCGGTTTGTTAAAAGAGCATGTTAAATCAAAGGTCGGTCCTGTCCGGCGCGATCAAAAATGCGCGAGCATCTTCGGGTTTTCAGACTCTCCGCATGCTACACACACTGACTACTGCAAGACCCCAGAGCGTTTTATTTACGGCTGTTGAATCCAGCCAGATTTTCAGTAATCGCCTTGTCTATAGTAGAATAGTTAAGGATGTGTGCCCCCTCTGCTCGTGACCTTGATTGATTGCCCAAACTGAGATTGGAAAGGATATTTGCACCCTATCTATTTTCCTGATAGTACTAAGAAGATGTTGCTGATAACAAAACACACATGCCGACAGTGCCTGTTCATCTTCGGTGTGGGACACGCAATCATAGACGTGCCAAATTTTGTGGCGGGTGCACTGACAGAGGAAGAGATGACGCATGTTTATGCAGAAGGCGGGTGGTCTTTTCAATTTCAGTCGATTGCAAAGCACTGGACAGATGAGTTGGACGTGTTGACAAGTATAGCATGGGAGGCGTTGCTGCATCCATTTGATACTGCAAGCAAGTCCGCGCTGGAAGTAAGAGTCACTAGGTCTTTCGCTGAAGACGCCTTGCCGAATTCATTCATGGACGTTAAGCGGCCCTGGAGAAAGTCATCTGAGACTAAAAACGAAGGGGTTTCTTTTGAAGCTAGGCACACCAGCATCGCATTTAGTGGTATTGCAATGATTGCATGCGGTGTCGTTTTTATGAACGTAGAAAGATAGTACTCGACTATTTGCATGTCTATCATGTTTTTCACGAACTATATTAAGACTTAGCAGGTCACGTGTTGTCTTTCGTTATGCAGTGGACACTTTTTGCATCATGGATCCGACCAGCCTCCGAACCTCTTTCATACCTTTGATGATTTTCGGGTGTCTGTGTCTCTGGTACGGAAAGTCACATGCAGAAGACCCTATGATCGTCGGCACTGCGGTCAGAATGTATGATATTGAAGACGAACCGTCCACTTCTCACCAGACAACACCACAATCGGACCAGCGTGGTTCGAAGACAGGGAAGGGACCACCGATGGCTTTCTACAGTGGCGAAGGTGGAACTGGGTGCTATCTCGATGGGGATGAAGGAGAAGAGGTGGAAGCCCTCCTTTTGCGTGGCGTGCAACGCGTCTCGGAACTACCTATGATATAAAGGAATTCAGTCTCAGAGTAGAAGAAGAAAAATAACCAGCGAGATGACGTTACATTCTTCTAACGAAGTGATATTTTCAAGTTTTCCTTGAGGTCGAGTCATTTGGGTATAGGGAGGAATACAGACACACATGATGCTACGCTTCTAGAGAACCTTTCATGAATTCGTCACCTAGCTGCAGTTCAGCCGAACCCAGTCCTGTTGCCGAGAGCGAGCGCGTCGATGCGCACCAACCATCGAAGGCGATTGTGATCAGTTTGCCTGAGAGTATGCGAGCTGCGAAGAATGAAACGTCGTTCGAAAAAGACTCAAGTAGGACTCCACCAAGGAAAAAGAAAAAGAACAAATTGAGAAAGGAGGATAAAAATTATAACTCTGGAATTTTGTACTTGAGCTGATATTTGAAAAAATCGGAGGAGATAGATAAGTAAAAGAACCACCACGACACAGAACTTCTGATTACCATGCAAGTAAGTGGGGAGATAACGAGGATCAGTATGAACGCTATCACCGAGGAAAGATAAGTAAGAGTTATGCATAGACTGTGGTTGCTTTGATAACATGATACAATTTCCTAGATCAGGATGATGTAATTTTGAACACTTTGCTCACGTGGATGCGTCCGAGAACTCACATGGAAAGTGGTGGGCCATGGAATGCGCTTCCATTTTACCAAGATGTTAGCAGTTGTATGCAGCGACTGAAGCATATTGAGCGGAAGTGGGAGAAGTAGCAGGCCACTCCTGCCTTTCAGTGTTCCTTCTGGATTCGAGAGCATGTAAAACGCAATACTAGTGTTGAAGGGAATGTCCTTGAGAATGAGAAGAAAAGTAAATACGCCTTCTCGGCGCCAGCTAGAACCGGTTTACTTGTATTAATAAAAGCCTTGCGCCTGTGCATTTGAACAACGAACGAGAGCAGTGACAAAAGATGATCGACGATCCTGCATCAGCGTTATCGGTTCTTCGAATGATCTGTGCTCACTCTAAGACTGTATACGAGAAGGAGCGGCAAGATCAGAGTCAGAGTTTGTTACTAGCGTCTGTACTGTGTCATGTCGGTTGTACATCGGTACTGGTACCTGATAGATTCGGGAATGCGAATGTTCTTGCACTCTACCACTGATGCCATTCCCTGGCCCCTTCTCAACACTGATCTGCAACTACCCGGGTACCTGCTAGTTACTTCGTGGTACTTTCAGTCCATACTTCATTGAATACCAGCAAGCCGAAACGACGCGTTGACGCCATCCCTGTCATCTTGATTCTTTCTCTTGAAGAACATTTATCCCTGTTATTTGTTTTGAATCAGTGCTTCCCACACGACTGTCATTACTGATTGATTCATCGTTACTGAAACTGTAGGTCGAGAAGAAAAGGTGCCAGGGGGGACTCCGTTTTTTGTCTCTAAGAAGACGAGATTTGAGTTTTTGATTAGTGGCGACCAGTGATAGATTTCTGGTCGATGTCCATGTCGAAATAAGGAATTCCCACAGTGAAGCGACTGAGTATCATAGAACAACTTCCGTGTCCTTACAAAGCAACTTTGGTTTTGTTTTTGATATTGCTGATCTGGAGTTGGTCTTGTCTTTTTTGTAACTACTTCTAAAGAGTTCCTGATAAGACGATAAACCCATTTGTTCCGCAAGCATCCAATCTTGATTGTAGTCGTAGTACGTCTACTTACTTTGATCAACGTTATTTCTCACATAATTGCGATAAGATGACGTTGTCCACGCGCGGAGGGTTGCGCGACATCACGAATTGTCGCATGGAAACTAACGGCGAACAGGATCAAATTTGGGTACTTTCTTGTAGCTTTGCTCGTTGATGTACCTGCATTTACCCGCCGCTATACTGTCCTTCTAAATGAGGGGAAATATCCCATCGTCCCAATATTTACTTGGACTCAAGTAGTACTCAAAACAACAATTTAGTACTTGCAAAATCCTATTCAATCAGGAGGATTTGAGTGGAAAACACCAACCAGCAGCGCCCGTTGGTGGAAAAGTCGCTCGACGAAGTATCGGGCAAATAGCAAGAGACCATATGGACTTTGGCGACCCACAACAAGTGACCGAGTATGCGGTCGACATCTACAACTTCCTATCAGCGAAGGAGCAATCAGCAGAAATGAGGGTAAGATGGCTCGTTCCATTTCGAAAGCCTAGAAGTCTTAAGATTCTTTTTGGATTGATGTGGGTCCGTGGTATTTCTATTTTCACAGTATCCCTCCACGAATCTGTTACCTACTTTTCGCCACACCAATTTCTACAGGTACATAGAGGCTTTCTCGACGGAGCAGCAGAGGTGAGCGGACGTATGAGGGGGATCCTTTTGGATTGGCTTATTGAAGTGCATTACAAATTCAAACTTCTACCCGAAACCCTCTATCTCTGTGTCAACCTCATTGACCGGTTTTTGCAGAAAGATAAATGTATCCCAAAGAGACGGTTGCAGCTTATGGGAGGCACATGTACAGTCACTATCTTATGTATGATGTCTCAAAAGTTTGACCTGTTCTTGTTGTCACTGATGATTGAGTTGGTTTAACCTTAACATGCTATCAATCTGATTGTGGTCCCCAGTGCGATTACCCCTTCATGCTCGAGTCAATCGTATTGTTGAACATGACTGGAAAACAAACACAGGTATGCTAGTCGCGGCGAAGTATGAGGAGTACAGACCACCGGAGGTTAGGGATATCTGTTACATCATGGACAACGCGTATCAAAAAGAGGACGTCCTCGAGATGGAGGTTCAAGTGCTGAACACATTGGTACTCGACGAGAGCTTTTTATTCGTTGCATGGCTTAGTTGTACAGGCTAGAGATCGTCGGGACGGAAGTAATGTGACTGTCACTAGCGCTCATTAGAAAGGTCCACATATTGTTCCTGTTGATTTTGATGTGTCTGTTACATACAAGTGTAATGGCCTGACCTCATCTCTCAATATCGATGATGAACTTCAACAGCAATTTTCCTTGACGACTGCGAGCCCTTTGCAGTTTCTAGAATTCTTCGCGAAAGGATTCTGCGGGCGAGACTCAGAACTTCACTATCTAGCACAATTCTGCCTCGAGTGCAGCATCATCGACGCAGAGATGACAACGTAGAATTGATTCTGGGCTTGTTTCTCTCATAGATGATGTAGTCGTGCAACATTTTTACTGAGAAATCGTTAGTTTTGCTTTTTGTTACTGTCACTGAAATCATTTTACTCTTTTTAAGTACAAGGAGTGTGAATGCATGTACTTTTTTCTCCAGGTTAGTTTTGGACCGATTTGAGTTCCTCCCATCTTCAGATACCTTCCGTCACAACTTGCATGCGTAGCACTGTTCACGGCATCGCGAGTTATGTATCCGGATAATCACAACAAGATGCACGAAATGCCAGGGCCGTATGATAAGGAGTTGATGCTCCGGATGGAAAGCGAGCTGGTCAAGGTACTTACATTTGTGTCGTTTTACATTTAAGATCGTTTGATGGTTCCTGTAAATGATTATGATAATGATTGCTTGAAGAACAACCAACCAGATGAAAAATAAAGTTTTTCTTTTAGTGGCGGCCAGCAGTACCTGGTCCGTGGCATAGATCAATGCATGCTCTGCGTGTGGGTACTTCAGTCTGAAATTTGATTTTTCAAATCATCTTTTGCAGGTGATAACCGCACAAAAGGACAAAGCATTGGGAAAGAAGTACGCAAAAGACCGCTACAAAAATGTCATGTCATACGTCCGAAAGTTTGAACTTGGTGCCACTGCAGGGGGAGAGATAAGCGGTCAGTAAAAGTGGTACTCGTACTACAAGTAAGTAGTCCGCCACGTCGGAAGTATAATTGAACAGTGATTAAGATAGTACTAGTAGTGCTAAACAGTTTGCCGTCGATACAGATACTACTAATAGAGAAACATTCACGGATACACCGTAGAGTCTCATAGGCACGTAAAAAGTAGGTAGTTGTTATTAGCTTCAGTTTACATTTTCACTTACACTTGCGAATTCATTCATTTTTACACACAAAACACCGAGTCATTGATGTCATTATACTGCCACAAAGCTACTATTCTCATAGTTAACAAAACTCAAACTCATGCTGAAAGACACAACTTATGTATTAAATGTAGAAGATATTATCAGCGCATCAGATCATAGAGTCACGTTTCGATCGTTCATTCATTCAGTTTAGCTCTCATGCGGCTATGTATTACATCGTTATTCAAGTGATTACTCCTAGCATTGTCATGTATTACGAAGAGTTGTATGCAGTAGTGGATGTCAATGAGCATCCCTCTGCAAGTGCAGAAGCGCAGTGCGCTAGTTCGTAGGTGGTACCGAAATTAATTTGCATTTCAAAATCTGAAATTGTATCTATAGCATCGATTAATACAACATACTCATACCAGTGTACTTATTCATCTAGCATCCATATGTGAACAATCTCTTTGGACATAATCCTCCTATGAATAACGTGAAAGAACATAAGTAGATGTAATTGTAATTTGATGGCCTTGCTCGCACTTCTTGTAACAAACTAAAACCGCATGCAAAATCTTGACAATAGACTGTTAGTTTCTCTCAGAGCAGTTGCGCATAGATACTATAAATATAGTTAGAGGACAATCCGGACACTTCATAGTCCGGCTCGTCTGAGAATACATAGATAGTACTTGATCTCATGTCGGGTCTAGCCCTAGCAAAACGCTCGCTCCGCTGTAGTAGATTTCAGTTGTGTGGGTGAAAAGAACTCGCTGCGAGAACATGAGTAGTAGGCCAAAAGATGGAAGGTGCGGCCTGGCAGCAAGCTTCACGTACTCGGTGAGCGCTGTTTCGGGGAGCAGCAGAGCAGCCGGAGGACTAACCGAAAGGGGTGGTTGAACAGTCGCAAGACTCAGCTCATCAGGTACGCAGAGGCGCTCAGCGCATCCCTCTGCCCTCTTGCTTTTTCCCGAAGGCATCGCGCGGATCCAGTTACTACAGTTAAGAGGCGAATGGCGCCAGCTATTTTAGCCGCCCGTCGTCTTCTCCGGGTTTTTCGTCTTCGAACCTACTTCCACCTGAGCATTGCAGCTACATGCCTTTGCGAGTTTGCCCATGATGTTATCAGCGTCGTCGGCTTCTCTCCCGGTACTTCCTCTTCGACAGTTTTTGCCCATGTAGATCATCTTCACTCTCAAACTTATCTTCCGCGACGAGACTTACTAGGAGACCCAGAGCATGAAGGGCGAATAGGTTCAAGAATTTGAGTAATCAGCGGACTCAGCTTCTATCCGCGTCGTCCGAAGTGGGCTGGGAAGGGGAACAGACCTACGCGTTATCTCTCGCGAAGCAGGGGCTATTGTAATATAGTTCCCTCCGATAGTCGTAGGTTTTGGCCGTTGTGATACGGTCTTCTTGCTCCCCCGGTAAGTAAGTTTTGTATATGGATTGTTTAAGTAGTTGAATGGGAGGCGGCATGTAGTCCTATGGAAAAAAAAAAAAAATATGGAAAAAAAAAAAACACCTAGCAATCTGGCATGAGTGAGACCTTTGAACTTGAGCTTGAGTGTCGTGTAATTAGCCTCAGAATTTGATTGCACATAGTAATATGAAGAGTGAGTTTCAGGGCCGAGGGTAGCCGCCGCTACGACGATGCTAGAAGAAGAGCGCATAACGAGATCATGCGTTTTCGAGGAAGCATTTGGTTTATCATTGATGTTGAAGTAGAGATTTTGATTCGGGCTGCTCGAAGCGACTGAAGGTGATTGGTTTCTGTTCATTGAATTTATGACCTTGATACAGCGTCGTCCAAAGTAATACGGCAGCACGGAGTTGTAATTATCGAACCTCGCTTGAAGTGCCAAGCGTGTCTGAGCAGAACATAATCAGTATCGTGTACTCAAGTAGAAGCAAATGTGCGGCGCACAACAGGTTGATGTGGCTTCCGAGGTTCTCTCTATATGAAACTAATTCTGAGCATTGAGTTTTGAAGAACATGAAGATCATGAACAGAACAGCTATCAACTTGAATTTATCTTTTTTCGACCTTCCGCGCGCGGTAGAGAACATCTTCAATAGATGCTGCCCGACCACTGGATGCATTGTGTAGATGTATTTGAATATGTTTAGCGATTTCCTCAGGAATCTGCGTCATAATGTCTGGTGACAATCTAGGTGTAAGAACGACCACTCAGGCGAAGGAGCTACTAACAGTAACAGGGTGTTGCTTAGTCTCCATAGTAGTATGCGCATGACTGCTCGAGACTTATCCTTATGCCTATGCTTACACGACTACGACTTAGGAAGGAGGCGCGCATGATGCATGGATGCCTGGCGCTTTCATCTTAGTTGGTAAAGGCGCGAAAGCCAAGCAGCCGTCTGGCTACTATCTCAGAATGTAGTCATAAATGAAGTCCTAGTGATTGAAATTTTTACCTACACCATAGGCAGAGGCAGTAAAGGTATCAACACTAATAATGGACAATTGCGCACGCTACTTGTGACATCTTTACCAGTCGTAGTGCATCGCCTTTGCCGAAGATTTGTCTTCTGTCAAAGAAAAGAATAACGAGTCACTTGTGTTGCATGTTTGAGGACTGATCGCAGTATTAGCTAGAAAGTCATCATTGATATCATGTGCGCTAACGTTTTATCTCTCTTTTTATACTTGTAGATTTATGTACTACAACTAATAGCACCAGTGTATGCGTTTGTTGTACAGATTTCCTTGGCGGATGTTATCCCGTATGCATTTCTCTTCAATGAATCAATTCTTGCACCGGCACCTCTCGTGCCCTGCTGGAGTGTAGTTGAGAATCTGAAAAAAAAATTGGATTGATTATGGCAACAAGGTATCAATTTAGGTTTAGCCAAAGAGAATGGATGAGAAGTCTAAATGAACAAGAATTACTCATAAGAATGAGAACGTCGCCCATACATGCTCACTAGCCAATACAGCCGTTTGACTCGCACATGATGTACAATTAATTTATGACAAGTTGTAGGAAACGGAAACAGGAACGAAAGTGTTGTACCCAGACAATCCGAGGTGGAAGAAAAAGAAGCTATCAGGCAGTAATGTTTGCACAGGGTACATGCACAATTTCTGTGTTGGATTCGGGATGTTGGCGATTTCTCCTGATTTGGCGATGACGATGCTGTTACATCGGGACATATCATGCTTCGATTGCTAGGCGGTGGGTCCGCCGGCAATACAAATTGAGTACCGATCTCCACTGCTGTTACTTATGCCTCAGGATACACTTTCTCCGCTGCGCCCATTCTCGTTACGGCTGTGCCTGACATTAAGCCACTTGCTCCATACAGGATTCCTCATCTACTTTCTGTCTCAAGGATTTCTCCCTTTTTACTATGAGTTGCTGGGAGGCTGCTTCTGCTTCTTGATTTCTGGATTTGCGTCTACTCAATAGTCGCTGCATACGTACTATCAGATACTTCGGAGAGATCTTGATCTTTCTTCGGCGAGATGAAGTTCTTGATCTTGACTCGTCGTTTCTTCGCATCTTCGCTTTACACTTCTACGCATCGAGGCCTTGTCGCTGTCCACTGGCTGGCTGCCTTCAGTTCTATCTAACTCTGTTGCGTCTCTAGCAGGCCGATTCCTCGTCCTACTCCTACCAAGGTGGTAGAGCTAGGATCACTTGTGACTATGACAATCGCCGTCGCGACTCACGCATCAACATGGAAAAAGTACCTACTTTTGTCTCGAATGAAGTGTCGCTCTCATCGTCGCTTAATCTTATGATAAATGGTCGATCTTCTTGGCCTTCTTCAAGAGTGTATCTATGTGTAGCAGTTTTCTAGAACATGACTCCGCCAGCACCAGACGCTGGTTTGATTTGCTCTATCGTGGAACACGTGCTCGGTCTTGATTATGTAGCAGCACACTCTATTTCGATGTAGTTCTCGCATCGCAACCGCAAAGACTTGGTGTTTACGTAGTTTCTCGAGTTGGGAATTTTCGGACTCCCTCGTCGACGTCTGTCGTCGTGTCACTGCGTCGTTGCTCGGGCGAAAGCGCAATTCGCGTGTGTGTTTTCAGCAACTTTGACAGAACAGAGAGGCTCTCATAATCCAACTCTTGCTTCTTTGTCATCTCAAAATCTCATCGTAGCTTTTCCCGTTGATAGGCTTATTACTGGGGGAGAAAGTCACGTAGCACAAGAGCGTTTTTTAAGGAGATAGATTATAAGATTGACATTAGTTTGAAAAGAAGCAAATCTGAAAGCACAAAAAACCGTGCTGACTAAGACAGAAGATATTAGGCGCACAAGTCCAGTCTTTTCTACTACAGGATCGATTCGGCCGAGGACAGTCATTATCTAGCTACAAGAATAGTGCAGCTGAGGCAACATAATTGTCATCTCACTCCTAACACGACCAGGACCGGGGCCACTGCTAAGGGATGCTTGAGGAGAGTTTTCCTCAGTAGATAGCTCTGTGAACGTAATTTTGCCTAGCAAAAGGTAGCTCTAGCTACTTCTGAAGAGGTGAAGGGTAGAGGACCACTTACTTAGCTAAGTACTACTCAGTGGCATTCCCTGCCGATCTCACGTTGTATGTACTTAGGTGGAACAGGAATCCTCCGATTCGCATGATGTCTGTACGAAAATAGAGGGTGCTCAAGAGCTTCTTAGAGCAACACCTTTTACAGGCATCTCTCTAAGTTGAGTTCAGTCTTGTGTATTTTCAGTTTGAATTTTGTGATTATAGGAGTCGCGCGTTGTCTCGGACCCCAGACATCATCAAGGGTAAGGTTTCAAGTCTACAAAAACAAAACTAAAAAGGGGCGAGCTAGTAGCCCGTACTACAGCAATTGTTACTATGTAAATATCATAGTCATACAGATCATCAAGGAAGTGCCAGTAGGTTGTTTCTTGTGGAACTTCACGTGCCGAGGTCGGAGCAGGCTGCAAGAGAACCCGTCTACGGGGCTGCTGTCTGCTCGTAGAAGTGACCCGGGAAAGCTTTTCCGCTTGTGGCTTGACACGCAAACGCTCGCCCATACTCAGATTCAGATATTCGGGAGTTTCTCTCTTACGTAGGTAATCAACGCACACAACTATTTCAAGTCGGTTGTGGCGGGTGTCATCTTTGTCTTTTCTACTAAAGACTGTATGATTCAAGCTCCTCTTACGTAAATGAATTTTCTCACTGAATGTCTTTGTTCCCTTGAAGTGAGAAAAAGTATTGCGCGCGGCGGAACGTCTCTCTCCCCTTTACGACCACTTGAATTTTTCATCCGCCACAAGCACTCCCACTCGTCAAGTAGCGTAGTCCATTTGCTTATTAATTTTCTGATTTGCTTTTATTACAACTTGGTGTTTTTATTCCTGATTTGGTACAACTGGACGTACAGTTTGAAATATCTATGATCCAAGAAAAAATGTCCTGACGTTGACGAGTTGTGAATCCTGACGTTGAGAGAGCGCGAAGAACCACAAGAGTGCTCTTCTCGTTGCCGCTGGTGCCGAGATCACAGGCGTGGGATATTCAACAGCGGGAACAGCGCATATACGAGAACAACAGAAACAGCAGGAAGTTGCGTACTTAAACGCTCGTGTAGAAGGTGTACCTCGCTCACTCGTTCTCGAGAGAACGACGGCTACAGTCTGCACAAGCGTGGTCCGACATCCAACCTCGTGGTGGTCGAGCATCGTTAGCTGGTATCAGAGGTTGTACTCGAGTGTACAACCGCCAGCTTCTTTTCACGGGCGGACCGGTGAAGGCAAGTTTTAGGCTGCCACGTTTCGATCGTTTCGATTGGATTGTGTCTTCTCAGCGAAGATGACGTTGACGCGTGTCGGACTCCGGGACGTGACAAACGCGGTACCACTCTTTGAGTTTTTAGCTTTCAAATGAGATCAGTCTATCTTGATGCTGGAAGTGAGTGTCAAGCTGCTGGTTTGAATGACATGATTGATGAAAATGAGAATGTATGCCACGACGTCCGAGCCACATTCATGATGATCGGAATCAAATCTTCGACCTATTGATTCTCCCTTTCAGCCACCAGCGCAGCACATAGGCGTGGCAAAAAATGGTAGGAAAAGCGTCCAGAAAGCGCAACAGGCTGGAGGGATTGCAAAGGTACTGGTGATGCTAGAATCTCCTAACGGCACAGTAAGTATATATTTATAAGACCCCTTCACATGAATAGATTGTTCTTCCTAGTCTATTTGTGCAAGGCTGCCTTGAACATCCACGCATCAAAAAATACAGCCATTGTCGCAGACCTCACAACCGGGAAAGTTTGAAGATCATGGGGCGACCAGTAGCAGCATTAGCGTTGTCGACGCTAGTAGACCAACAACCGCGCCAGGGACAATACCGCAGCCTTCCGCAGACGATCCATTATGTCGTGTTGTCATCAACTCTTGGTTAGTACTTACTTACCCGCAAGATTTTTCCTTGAGCCTCATCTTGCATCGATTGTAACTCTTGAATCTGTAATATTTGAGTGCTTAGTTACGCGAAGTTTAATTCCATTGATTTCTAGTTACCCCCCCTGTTTTTCCATGCTCCTTTTCATATTGCCAGAACGCGACAGAGTACGCAAAGGTAATTTATGAGTACCTTCGGAAACGAGAAGAGGATCCTACGCTGAGGGTGCCAAATGCGAGTTTCCTAGATGACCAGGCAGAAATTAGTAGCAGGATGAGAGGGATTCTTTTGGATTGGCTTGTAGAAGTCCACTACAAGTTCAAGCTTTCGCCGGAGACATTGTATTTTCTTTGCTTGCTTTTGTTGTATAGATACCTGACCGAGGGATCGGCATGCGGATGCGCATGGCTGAACCAGTTCGCGTCCTAAAGACGCGAATAAATATGAAACAAAGAAGGGTCGAATCAGATGTTAAACCAAAGTCACAACTACAAGGCATCCGGTCCCTGCTTTTGCTATATTTTTAGTCCTTTTTAGCATGATCATCTTTTTTCGCACAACGCACTCATTCAACAGGTATCTCTGCATTAATCTTATAGACCGGTTTTTGCACATAGATCGCAAGATGCCGAGGAAAAAATTGCAGCTTGTAGGCGGCACCTGCATGTTAGTAGCGAGGTATTTCAACTACATATGAACTGGGATAGCATACAATCGGGCTGGGAAGTGCGAGCGAAAGATTACTAGCCGCTTGCCAATCTTTCTGAATGTGTAGAAGAAATACAAAATTCTTCCTTTTATGTACGTAGGTAACAACAAAGTAAAAGTAATGAGAACCCTTTGCTCGGGAACCCCACTGACTGTACCTCCACTACAGCAAATACGAGGAGTTTCGACCTCCAGAGGTCGGTGATATTTGCTACATTATGGACAACGCTTATAGCAGGGATGAAATCCTTGAAATGGAGGTCCGGATCCTCAATACTCTGGTACTCATTCTTCATCCAACTACTAAGTATACTTCTGCTTCACAGCCTGGCATATGAGGATTCATGTTCCGAGTAACTCTTCGATCGATCCATTGCGATTTTCGAAACTTTGATACTTTACCGATTCTATGATTACACTACTTGCGGTTAAGACATGCCAATCAAAGAGTCGTGGCACTACAAGCACTGCTTGCGAGGCACATGCGTTCAACACTCACTTATTTTAGAAATTCGAAGTTACGGTGCCTTCCGCCTTGCAGTTTTTGGAGTATTACGTCAAAGAAGCGGGGATATCAAGGGCTGACGCGCATTTCTTTCTGTGCCAGTATTTAGTGGAGACGACGTTGCTATCACCGAAGTTTCTCAAGTATTGAATTCAATTTTCTTAGGCCAAGATGTACTACACGTGATGCAGAAGCTGGTGCGTTTTGTCTCTCCTTTGCTGCAAGCACTATTATCTGTCAAGCGCTTGTTCTCGACATGATCATCAATATCACAAGGTATAAGCCGTCCGAGCTTGCAGCGTCGTCGCTGTATTTAGCGAATAGGATCAGGAAGGAATATATCCCATGGCCGCAAAAACTGTATTCAGACGTTATTGCTGAATCAATGTTGATTCATTTGATTTCTCGTCACATATTTTTGTTTATTGTTTTTTGCAACAATCAACAGTTAGTTTTATTTCTATGCAACAACCTACAACCTAATCCAATCGTTATTATTTCTATGCTTTTGCTTTTGATATTATTTGGTAACCAGATAAATATGTCAACTAGAGGTCGACGTCGAGGTGAGTAGTCGCAACAAAGGATCAGTCTCCTCCTGGGATCAAAGTTACGAACTTCTGAAGCCGACCCAAATCTCTAGGGATCAGGCGAAAGCGCAAGCGGAGTGAGATGACCTAGCTCGAGAGCATCGCGCTGCTGCAATTGTTGCACCACATTTCCTTCAATAACAATGGGGTTAGTAGTGTGTTCTACCTTGTTTGTTTATTGATTTTTGCAACAACATAAAACTAGGTATAACTTCTAGCTACAACATGTAGAGTCATCATCTCTCAACATGCACCCTACCAACAGGTATGAAATAACGAAATTGAAGGAGCAAGATTTTGTGAAACCGTTAGCCAAGGAAATATTCGAGATGATCCCGGGATTCAAAGGGAAGAGTCTGTTCAAGAAGTACTCAATGGAGAAGTATGGCTCGGTGGCGCCGACAATTCCGTCGCAGTAAGGTGGATCAACGGATCCAGGAGTCGGGTATCTATGGGTACCACAGGAGTTGGGTGGTATCTATGTTGGGGATCTCCATTTAGTATCTTTAGCTGCGGATGCCGGATGAAAGTATTATTGTGCCTATGCCTATAATCAATGTAGTATAATCGAGGGTACAAAAAAGAATTCGCTGCCTTGGTGTAGTTGTGACGGGAAATCAGGAGCCGCAGCTGTCACAATTCACGACAGACAGGATATGATCAAATGGAGGGGAAGGTAAGGATCGTGTGTTGGGACTGAACGTTTCATAGTTTGTTTCGAAGGAACGAATGGGGCTGCTTGCTATTGATTTTGATAGGGTAGCAAGTACTTACTTCTCTGATCATTCTGCCCACCATTACTACACATGCAACATCGTCTATGTATCAAATCATAACAACGGGCCGATACGTAGTCGCAAAGGACCCTCGGTGATATCTTCGTTGACGACATGACCATGAGACTGAGAGTGGCACCCTCTTGAGATCGTCGCACGCAGGGAAGAGCTGCGATTATATCTGAATAGGTGCCCTACCAAATTAAGCACCAAATGATGAGAAATTTGAAATATGGTCTGAAAGTGAAAGTTTTATTTCTACTATTTGCTAACTCAGATTATTGCACCTGCAGGCCTAGATCGCTAGCTCAATCCCCAACTTCTACAAATATCTTTAGTCGTTGTTTGAAGGAAGCTACGATAGGTTTCTTGTAAATTTCTAACATGAACAAGACGATAATGTGATACAGGAATTTATGTATCTTTCACCACCTGTAGATATGATGACCTTAGGGTGAAAGCCGCATAATTATGTAAAATTAGAGACAGAGGAAAGTTCCATTGCGTGACGGGGTTCTACGTCGCCGATCCTGAGGCCGCTGGCTCACACTGGTGGAAAGAAAAATATAGAACAAAGGAGCAACCCTCTTCTCAGTTTATCTACTTCATCAATCTTGTATCCATTTTTACTGTATGTATTTCAACATCATTACGTTATATGTGCTTGTAGTGGTGTGCTTACTCTTACATTCATTCTTGATTCTTCTTCTTATGGTTACAACCAGTATCTTTTAACATTCAACTTACAACTATCCGAAAGAACATCATTATGTTTACTATCAATATCAAACTTATCATTGCAGTTTACATTCACCTCAAGTTTAGCAGCCGTGCAGTGTCGATTAGTGTAATTTGTGGGAAGAAGTGGGCGTTATTGTGTTGCAGCTGAAACTAGTAGAGGTAAAAATGAAAAATCGAAAAAGAAATGAAGCGGACCCGAAAAACACAGAAGCTCATGTTTTGCTTTTTATTGAAAAGTGACTATGCTCCTCCCAGTTCCAGTTTCGACACTTTCGCAGCAATTTTGTGTGATGACAGTTTTTCTCTGGGGATATAGAAGTAGATGCTATTCGAGATTGATACATAGCTGACGCAGGTTGAGTCATCGCAGCAGGGCAAAAATCCATACGATGTAGCGGCGAGCGTGGTAGTGTCCTCGATTCTACTGCTCGTCATGATGAAGCGGGTAGCGCAGAGGAGGGATCGTTGATCTTGATCTTCTTTCATCTTCAATCTCTCACCTATGCCTTTCTTTCTCTCCCCCTTTAGCTTCAACCTGTTCTATCCGATGACCGAGATTTACAGTTCTTGAAGGCTGGGGGTTCGATTTGTTGTTCTCAGAGACCCATATTCGTTTTTTTGGTCCGCCATTTAGAAGATGACCACAGAAATTGGATTTATCAGCTCAACGACAGCGAGGAAAGGATACATCTTCTTGTAAAGTTGGGGAACCTCTTCGCTGCTTCAAGAGTATGTGGAGAACTCGTCAATGTCGGACACTCGGGGAAGGATGCATTTCATTATGCTGGAAATCTAAATCAAATTAAATTCTAGTGATGCAATAGGGTCGAACGCAAAAAGTACCCTAATGTTTCGAGTCTTGTGTTAACTACATAACTACTAACACGTCTCCTTTTATCATCACTGGGCCCAATGCATGGGTAGTCTAATCTTAATCACGAGGATCATGTCGTGTGACTGTGATGTACTGTTAATGAAGAGGTTGGTTCTCTGTGACATGAGAAACAGCGGCCGTAAGCCAACGAGTGCTGCACTTTTCCGATTGGTAGTTCTTAGGTCATTTCATAACACTTCTACTTTACCGTAGCCATTTTGGCTCAAGGCTGTGCCCGCACCTTGTGGCCCCCCCTTCGTCCATATGGGGTTCGGGTTAGTATGTCGGGTATTAGAACGAGAGCACGAGAAAGAGAGCACCGAGAGGACCGTGAGACAGATCCCTCCGCTGGGGACGCGACAAAATGATGAAGTTGCTACTTCCCGCCTAAGGCGGCTGCCTTTGCAATGCACGACGTCTCGGTCGACCTTTACTGGACATGCCCAACAATGGCGCGCCACAGTTGGCGACCTAATAGCCGCAGGAGCCACCCTCCTCCTCACATCTAGTAGCGCGGTCAGTTTTAGTGTCGCATGGACGTCGCACGAGAAACGGAGCGTCTTTGTGGGAAAGCAACGAACAGACATGAAAGCGCATCGCGTGCGTGCTTTCCGGTCCACCTTTAAGAAAGTAAAGAAAAGAAGACGGCAAAGACCACGTAGGAGAGAGGCCTGAGCTGGAAAATGTGTCGCGGCGAGCGTGAGTAATGTGCTTGCGCAGCACAAGTGTAAAGTACTCGCCATCTTCTTCGCGAGAGTTCTCGCAGGGCTGTGCGTTGAAGCCATGAGTTGTGGTAGCAAAGCCGGCCCGAAGTTGTAGCTGAAGGCCTTGCTTGTTTCAACGCGATGGGAGTTGGATTGGCTGCGACTTCCTCTAGTAGCTTTTAAGCTTGCAATCGCAAGCGTTTCGGCAGCGAAGTCCACACGTCCGCGCGGCGCAACTATGTCAGCAGCACAGAGTGGCGGAGGATATCGCATGTTCTTGGAGAACCAACGTACGCAGTAGGAGGCGGCCAAGTCGGTACGTCAGGAGCTTCGTTTTCCAGTGCTGCCGTAGAGTTGGCCGTGCAGATTTTCGCACCATCCACCAAGAAACGGGTGCTACAGTCAGCCAGCGGCGACGCGAGCATCCACAGCAGTAGAGCCACTGCGCTTGGGTCTAAACTTGGAGGAAGTGGCGACATCTGTCGACAACGATAAGGAGGCCATCGACGACGTGAGAAAGTCGTGAGATTGCCGCCACCGGGGAGCGACTGCGTGATGGTGTGGAACGATACAAAGAATAGTTACAGCCAAAACAGATATGGGCGCCGCCCTGCTGGTGGAACAAGCTGCAGCGGTGGACTTTATGGCGCCCCCAGCTTGGATTGTGCCGTGGTCATTGACGCGTAGAATGCTATCGGATTAGGGCACGGCCTCGGTGATGACAGTACAGCAATCCAAGCTGGGGAGTGATGCGCGGACCGGTGCAGCAGCAGACGGAACAAGAAGAAAGCGCCATATTTTACGACGGGCCGGGCCGATGGGGCGGCGCGTAGTCGGGTGGCGCCAGAGCTGGCTCGGGTGCTACTCGAAGCCCCATTCCGGGAGTCCGTGCCTTGTCTCGGACACCAGTGCCAATTCAAGCGGACAATGCGGCCATGCCGTTTGGGCCTTGGAACGCGCACGTGGGCCGTGAGTCGACGAGCGGCCTAACTTTATTGGCTGCCCGCCCTCCGGCTTCATTGTGATCAGCATCAGGTGAGCTGCGGCTTTGCGGCGGCGCTTCTATTTGGATGTGGACAAGGTGGACATGGGCGGATGCGAAGCAGCGCGGCTTAGATAGAAACTAGGTAGAAAATAGCGCGCAGCAACGCGCAGTCGCCCCGTTAAACCCAAACAACCACTGGGCCGTCAGGAAGGTCCCTAGTGTCCTTTTTTCCTTTCTCTTCCATTTATTTTTTCCCCTTCACGGGCGCGGTTGTTTCCTCAGTCATGTTTGTACACTTTTGGCAGTTGGGGCCACGTCTCCCCGCTGCAAGATCCATCAGTATTTGTAGCATTCTGCCGGTCCCCTTACCAATTTCGCACCAGCTGGTTGCTATTTTAGCAAGCGTTCTGTTAATGTTCATCTTGTTAGATCCATCACGGAGAAGGTGCGCATAGATATGAGGTTCTGAGAACCTGCGCTAGTGTTTCTATAAGGCAGCCCACGACCCTGTCTTCTCTTAGAATTCGTAATTGCGGGCCACGACCCCGATTCAAGTCACGTGAGTAAATGTTTGGTGGACTTGTAGACAAGTAGGCAACAAAAAAACAACCTTACCGCAACCCCAACGCCAACGTTCTGAGTGACAGATGGCAAGGGCGCCGTGAGCGCGACACGTGTGAGGCGATAGGGTCGCGCGAGAACATAATAATAATAATGATAATAATAGAACAACAAGCTTAAAGCACGGGGGCTCAGTTCAATTCTGCTCGATATTGAGTTTATATCTGTTTGATTTGCATATTGTTGATTTCAAGTTGAACACAACATTCTACTTACAGCAACTTCATCTACTCAGTACAACTACTAGCACGACTCACAAAAGGAAGAAGGGGTGAAGTCGATCGTTGTTGCAGCGCCAGTTTGAAAAGCCAACTTTTCTTGAACAGTCGTTTTACTGTGGTTATGACTGGCAAAGGTCAGTACAACGACTCGTACGATCTCGCGCTGTGCAAAGAATGAGAGTCAGTCGCTGAAAAATAGCGTCTTCTATGGCTGTCGGGAAAGACTCATTCGCAACTACTAAATGTCCACGAAAACGCCACTAAAGACTGCCTTGTAGATTCTAAAGTTTAGCTTTTTGATCGAAACTTGTTTTATCCAAGTATCATCAACATGAACATTAGCCGCTCTTGCCGACCATATCCACGAATAAAAGCCCTTCGTCCACCCTAATTCAGCACAATCTGGCTGCGCAAGTGACGGATCATGCGGGCACTGCAAATCAGCAGGGTTGCTCAGAACGGCTTATGGGATCGTGATAGTGCAATGTGTTCTCCCACGGAGCACATCTTTATTAGACAGGGACAGAGAACTAGAATGAAAGTGAAACGCAGCAGCAGGAAACATAGAACCCGAAAGAGGAGCCTGCAAAAAAGAGGAGAGAGAAGCGTCAAAAGAAGACTACTTACTAGTCGATTTATCACGGACTTGTCTCAGGAAAAGGTTGCGGTGGCGCAGTCTTGGTCGTCGCAACTAGAAAAATGTAGGGCTCATAATTCCAACACATAGTTTCTACATACCCACCTCGTGTGAAAAGCAAGATCAAAAGAATGACAACGGAGGTAGGCAACGCACCAGGACCAGAATCTAGGAGCGCGGATCGCCAGGCAGAGCCACAAAATGCGGCTGGATCTGCGTCGTCTGGAGGCACAGCACGCGCTTCGGGAGGGCATCACAGCAAAAAGCGAGAGTGGATTGCTCAGTTGCAACAGCAGCAGACTGAGTCGCAGCAATGCACAATGGAGAGCAACCGAAGTCTCCTGCAGTCACGCGCCATGGCGTGGGAGCACGTGTGCGACTTAAGACGCCTACTCGAGGAGCAGGACGGCAACCGCGTTCGCTGGCAGCTAGCAGTCTACGACGGTATTAGGCGCTTGAGACAGAAAACGTCAACACTGGCGACCAACACCGCACCAGGTGCTCGTGGAATTTAAGGACAACATGGAAGTGAAATTTTCCGCCACATAGATAATCATAATCATGATGATGATGCATAAATATACTCATTTGAAGTTTAACGAGTACGAGAGATAGAGAAAAATTTCATTGTTTACGACTGATTCGACGTCCTCTAACGGTTGTCCGGCGACAAGGTGGCAAAGGCAGTTGCGGGATTGGAGCAAGAGTTACTTGCTTTTAAGGAGAAGCAGCGACAAGAGTACGACGAGTTGTCCCTCGTGGAGAGTACGACGTTTGAAACTCTGACAGCGCTCGAGGAACGCTTTACGGCGTGGACTGATCAATCATCGCGCGAGCCACTGGTGAGGCCCAAAACTGCAGCAGTTAGCAGTGCACACGGCGCGGGTGCAGGCGGTCGAGGGGGTGCGGGTGGAACGACACCTGGCGGGAGAAACCGGCCTGCGAGTGCGCGAGCAGCTGGAGGAGCCACTTCAAAGACGCCCAACAAGGGAATGAAAGATATGGCTACACAGTAGTAAGTACCTAGGGCCAGGATTTTGCAGCGGCTACTCCGAATTACATTCAGGTCAAGTTGATGTCAGGGTATCATGTGTACCACTTCTAGGAGGAAGAATGCATCTAATCATGGCGCAGAGCACAACAATGCCGCCGGTGAAGGCGCGGGGCGCACGCAGTCTTCGAGCTCCTCGGCTGCATTGGACGATATAAAGACTGGCGCCATCTATGAGGGCCTGTCGCCACGCAAGCGAACGTTGGTCAGTGCAAATGGGGATAAGAGCGTTAGCCAGTTGAGGGATGCGCTAGACGCGTTGACTGCCGAGATCGAGCATGACGGCGGTGCGACAGGCGGTTGGCTGAAAGACGACCACGAAGCCTTCATGCGGGCCTACGCGAAGCACAAGTCAATGGAAACAGCCCCCTTTTACGACTACGTCACGGATCTCGTACACTGTAGCCATGAGGACGTGGTAGAGCACGTGGTATGGTACAAAGATTTCGTGCGGAAGTCCGACTTAAAACGAGACTTGCTGGGCAAGTGGAAAGACCAACGCAGGAGAGCAATGATAGTACTAGAGATACCTTCTCTTGTCAATTTCACTTCAGCTTTTGATTTCCCTATGTGTTGTAGATGCAATGACATACTCACAGCCTAGATTCGTTAAGCTGAGTTCTCAATCATTCATGGCACACGACCACGGCTCGTCGATCAGTTTTTGAGCCGTTCTACATGTATTTGTATAAAAACTTTTTTATTTCATCAATTCAGGAAGCACATGAGCGGTTGACCGATACGCGGGCAGAGGACTTGAGAGCAGAGGCCGAAGCACGGAAGAGACGAGAGGAGGAGCAGAGGCTCCAGAACGCCTTCAGGAAGCAGAAGATTTCGGAATGGAAGGAGAAGCGGGCAGAACAAGAGGCACTTAAAAAGCGAGAGGAAGAGGACAAAATACAAGCGGAAAAGCTTCGCCGAGCTAAGATAATGGAAGAACAAATGAAAACGCGACCTGCAATCGTGGCTTACGCACAGCAAAAGAAGGAGCTAAAAATGAAAGAAGCAGCTGCAGTTCGCGAGAAAAATATAAGCGGAAAAGAGGTATCTATTACATCCCTGCTTGTGTGTGCTGCTAAGCTTATTCCTGTGATCGAGGATTCCTCCTGGTATTTACTCTGTCTAACCATGACAAGAAAAATTTTGGTTTTCCTTTTTAGCTGACGAGTATTCAGGCTTGTTTGGTAACATCAAATCTATTTTTTCGCTTTCTCAGGCTTTAACTGCAGAGCAGCGTCAGCAACTGCAAGAGAGGAGTCTTGCTTACGAGAAGAAACGCGTGAGACTCCTAGAGGAGGCGAGAGCCAAGGAACGACAACTTTCAAAAGGAACTGACCCAGATGAGAAACCGAAGCAAGCGCCAGGAAATTTTCTGTACTATGGACACGTGCAGTCGCGGCTCCACGACCAGACTGAGGCGCAGATACAGAAGCTAAAGGCACGCGAGAGAGACACAAAAGAAGCGGATGCTCGTTCTGGCAAGGAGGGTGCAAAATATGGCCAGCAGATAGCCGGAAACTTCGCGAATCAAGTAGGAATCCAGGCGACGGTGCGAAATGTACCACAGTGGAGGCAGAACCTCTACGGGTGAGGTGTTTGCTGGGGCTAATTGGTGCTAGCTGAAGCCTTGGCTAATGGCGGTTTCGTTTCTTGTGTATCGACAACCAGAAGATTTTCGTTAGGTCTCCAGTGATGGACTTATAATTACTTACTTAATAATGAAATTATCGAACAAGGTGTTTCATCGCGAATCGGTTTGCTATAGCTATTGGTGAAGCCGTACTTGTAAGTAGTCGACGACCTGCGCAGCTCTGACGCTGACCTCAGACCTGGCTGTCGCTCTTGTGCAGTATGAGGGATTATGATTAGGTCTGATCATCGTGCGTGTTCGATTAATTGCACGAGGAATACAATCCCTTTTTTTGTCCACTGATCAAGAGAGAGGGCAGATAAATAGGTAACGCATCGAAAAACATCGTCAGAAAAGGCAACAGACAAGGAAAATGTTGCTACTTTTGGAAAGCCGTAATCGCTGGATTCACAGGAGAATAAGGCAACTAAAATCACCCGCTTCCTCCTCTTCCCGATCCCCACAAACCGGCACTGTCGATCTTTATTCCATTTCTTACTCCTCGTGCAAAACACGTCTACGGTCTACGATTGACTCCGATTTATTTCACTAACTGTAGAACTTTTTTGCAAATTGTGAATCAATATGGCTACTTTGGTGTGTAGGCAAAATCCGCGACGGCGGTAGCGCCGGGTACTTGAGATCGACGGGGCAGCAAAGAAAAGATTCTCCTTCTGCGGACGAGGAAGTACAAGGCATTTGCTTCGGCGTTTCGGAAAGCTGCAGAGCACGCACCACGCATTGCAACAGGATCTAAGTACTCCCGTTCCCAAAAAACGCCTCCAAAATGGGCAAGAAGGGAAAGAAAGACAAGAAGCCAAAGGCTCCAGGGATGCCTCTGCAGCCCGAGGAGCTTAACCTCGATTTAACATGGCAGATCGAGACGCTCGAAAGGGACTTGCTGGTGAAGCAGAGAATCGAGGAGGTAAAGACACAGTCATTTAGAAGGTATTCGTTTCATACTTTGTCACAACTGGTGGTGACGTCATCATCACCCTATATTCTCATTTCAGCACTAGATTTAAAACCATAAGCATCTTGTACTTAAACTTATGAACTTTTACTTTGTCCTTTCCTCAGAACTTGCGCGCTTCAACGATGAAGATGCGGGATCGAGTGGAACAAATGCAGGATGATTTGAAACAAGAGAAAAAGATTACTTATGCTGTCACTTCTGACATGGCGAGACGCTACAAGTCCCTCCAAGAGGACCTTATCCACAAGATAAACACCCTTGAAACAACGCTCACAGAGCAACGGGAGGAAGCGGGTACTTCTAAGCTTTTCCTTTAGAGATCGTTTCTATTTCAATTTTTGACGAATAATGGCCTCTTGCTCGGGTTAGGGTTTAGGGTTACTTAGGGTTTAGGGTTACTACTCTCATATTCTTGCTCATTGAACCCCATTGACAACATGACTCTCCAGAATCAACCTGTCGGATCAAACATCGATCTTTCAGATATGACAAAGCATGAGTTGCAGGAGCTGATACACGATAAAGACGATATCATAGCACACAAAGACCAAGTCATATCGGAGTTGAAGAATAGAACAGAGATTATGTGCACAGAATTCCACGATATGCTAAATTCGACGCTAAAGCTAATGAAAGACCACATGGCTGCGAAACTAATACAGGTACTTCTTGCTTGTGACATTCTACATTTCGAATCGCTACATTCAAATTCATGAGAACACAAAAGTAGGTTATTCCACCTTTCATTCATATCGATTTTGTCAGGAGTAGAAAGAACACCATCGGTCACATGATTAAGTGTGACCCTGCTGAACAACACTGACATCCCAGGACCCCGACGCGACAGCCGAGACCGGCGCTGCTTTGAAGAGCAGTCAAGAGGCCTACGCAGCTAAGCTGCAACAATTAGGTGGGCATCAGTCTGGGATGCCAAGTAAAGCAGCCTCGTAATGAAAAGCAGCATACACAAAAAAATCCGTTTCCAAGAACTTGTTTATCTACTTCGCATTTATCATGTCACAAAAATTGTACAGACAAAGTTGATTTCGTTGCCTATTGTTCTCTTCCGAAATTAAAGCGCTCTTCCTTGCTCTTTCCGGTGCCACCATCCATGAGCAATGTTGTAGGTTTGAAAGATGCCGATCATGATCAAAGTTATTTTTCCATACTGGTACGATAAGGCGCTCCTAGGGGGGTTGTAAAGTAAGCAGGTTGTGTTATCATTTTTCTTTTATAACTATCTCTAAGAGGACTATCTCCTAAATTGACTTTTTGACCGCAACCCTAAAAGACTATTCCAAGAAGAATTCATACCCGAAAAAAAGTTGCAAAGTTGTAGAAATCCACCAAAGATGGATTGTACTATTACTTACATTAAATCCTAAAAATGCCGCTCTCGATTTACGCCGCAGGACTGTAGAACAAAGCATGTGGACTATATAATTTCGTGACTACGTCACTCCGAAGCGCGTGCCCACAGGAGATGCAAGCGAGAGCAGAAATGAAATCTAATCGGAGAGTGCAGCATGAGGTTGAGGGTGCGAGAGAATAAGATGAAGTTCATCCTAGTTAATAGTATAACAAAAACAAGTGAGAAGGGGATTTCTGCTGACCGCTTAGAAAATCCTGTTTTCGATCGAACGAGCACGAGACGTAGCTTTACCGTGGGCCTCTTGTCGTAATGGGCAAGAAAAGTAAAAAGGCCGTTGGGCCGCCGTTGCCCGGGATACCCCGGCTGCCGGCGAACCACCCGAACTACGTGGATGTGCAGCTTGAAGAAGACAACATCGACTTAACGAAGCGCATAGAAACGCTTGAGCGGGAGGTTCTCGTCAAGAAAAGGATTGAGGAGGTAAGGAAACAAGAATGACAGTTTTGCCTATCGGATGCTAGTTCTTCTACCGTACTAGTTCTCCGTACTGTTGAAGTTTTACGTTCACTAAGATTTTGCTCTTAGGATTTGCGAAAGACTTCAAGCCACGAACCCTCTCCTTGAATCTTTTTCTGGTATCCCAACAGAATCTTCGAAGCTCGACGCTGCAGATGCGTTCACGTTTAGACCAGATGCAAGATGATCTGGGTCTAGAAAAGGAGACTACCTTCGCCGTAACCTCGAACATGGCACGACAATACAAATCGATGCAAGAAGACCTGATACACAAGATCAATAGTACTACAACTTGACGAACTTGAACTTGAAGACAGATGCAAGTACAAGTTGTTCTTTTTCATTCATTATGCTCCTTCTTCTAGACCGCAGAGGAAGTCGGGTAGAGTAGGAGAATCGTCAGTTGACGCGATGGCTTTTAATATTTCTCCCACTCTCTCCTGCCGATAGGTTTAGAAACGACGCTGACGGAGCAACGGGAGGAGATCGATATGAGTAAACACGAGCTGGATGAGCTAATCCGCGATAAAACGGATATCATCACACACAAAGAACGGGTAGTCACTGAATTGAAGAACCGCATGGACCAAATGTGCGGTGAGTTTCACGAGATGCTCTCAATGACGCTAAAGCTCATGAAGGTATTTACGGGGTTGAATTTGTTGGCTGCCGGGCCCGCTTTTCGAGGGGCTGCCGGGCGGGAAGGCCTCGAAGCGCCCACCTCTGACCCCTTCCCGCTTCTTGCCTAGGCCCTACAGTGCCACCATGCCGGAGGCCGTTGAAGCACTGAAGGGCGGACGTGGAAGGCTTCCGAATGTGGCAAAGGTGGCAAGGCGTGACCCCCTTGGCGTGTTGCCTGTACCCTCAAGGCTGGACCCCTTTGGTGTGTTTCGTGTACCCTACAGACGTGCCGAAGGTCGCAAGGCTGGACCCCCTTGGCGTGTTGCGTGTACCCTACAGACCTGGCGAAGGCGACAAGGCTGGACCCCCTTGGCGTGTTGCGTGTACCCTACAGACCTGGCGAAGGTGGCAAGGGTGGGCCCCCTTGGCGTGTTGCATGTACCCGCCAGACCTTGGGGCGCCTCCTTTCTTTCGGCTCTTTTTGCCGTTCGTCTTCCCCCAGTGTGATACGCAAGAGGCCACCACGCCACGGCTTAGAGCTTCTCGGCGGTCGTTCTGCTCCTGTTCCTCGTTCTCCTCTCGTTCCTCGTTCTGCTCTCGTCCCTCGTTCTTCTCTCCTCGCTCGTTCTGCTCTCGTCGCTCTTCCACCACTGTGCTGCACCACAGACCATATCACAGGGGGGGGCCTCCTTCCCTGGTGCATTTATATTGGAGAAAATTCAAGCAAGGACTGCAAAAATCCGGACAGTATTCAGCCTTTCTGGGCATGATGTGAATCCGCAGAACACTCGCCGCGTGCTGCTCTTTTTTAAGGAAAACCCCTCCCCAATTGCGGGCAAAGAACCGCGGGCACCGTCCAAATCCCCGCGCCCCTCCAGAATCCCCCAGCGCAGATGTGCAGGCTGGTGCGGTGGACCCTGGAGGGGCGCTGGGAATCACATGAAACGAAACCAAAAGACAGAAAAACCAAGGGGAGGCAAGCCACGAACGTCGCTAAGCGGGGGGCTTCCAGGACTAGGGGGCGACATTGGTGAGCTTTTTCGTGCAGTTCTTAGGTGACTCAGCGCCGTCATAGCTACGTGCTGCAAATGAAGAAGGTGCCACTGGGCTACTCTCCTCGCACAACTCAGGAACACATGGCGGCGAAATTGACGCAGGATCAATGGAACAAGCATGAGGAAACTATGCGCCACGCACAGTCAAAACTAGAGGAATACACCACGAAAGCGGCAGCCACAGCCGCTTCTAGTGCAAAATAGTCCTGCTCGTACGTGGGGAACTGGCAAACAACACACGACATAGGAAGTATGTCAGTGCGGCATCTTTTGACGAGCGCTCCCGCTAGTAGCAAAAGCAGTGCTGTTGTGAAAGTCGATCCTCGGTAGATGTAAAGAACATGAACATAAATATTGCAAGCAAATAACAAGAGCAACAAGTTTGGTTGCCGAAAAGTCGTTTTGGAAAGTACTTAGCCTTCAATAGTGCAACGCAAGTTAGTAGATGATATCACCTCGTAAAGGTATCGGGCCTAATAGCACACAATCATGGTTGAATTGTTATTGTTGTAGTATTTCGACCTTTTGCAAAAACGAGCTAAAATCTGAAGAAGTGTCCCATGATCGTGCTAAAGATTTCATTTGGCATCCGTGATCCCCACTCCATTCATGACAAGCCGTGTCTTATCAGCCACATTTGAGACACTGTGTTCTTACGCGAGAGATGAGCTTGAGTTTGCTCTTAATCCGATATTAAAGACGAATCATGGCGGGTCTGAGTGTGAGAGAACCGAGAAGGTCACAGGTCTGCCCGAGCGCTTTATTGTGCGATTGCAAACTGTAGTGCTGAGAGAGTAGCACGTCAGCGAGGGTTCAGTATGGATGATATGGATCTTGGTTTACGTCCTTACATTTGGATAGTCTGTATCTTCACTTCTAATTGATGAAATGCTATACCAACGGAGCAGGAGAGAGGGAAGGATATCGATATTTGTTCCAACACTCAATTAGACCTAGCTTAGGAGGTAGGAAATAGAAGCAGCTATTGAACGTACTACCTAGGGTAAGAACGCATCTCAGGATCAGTCAAGATGGATTCCAAGGTTTTCATTGACTTGCTTGCCAAGCGCTCAGAATCGAAGTTCGAGCAGCTGCCTGAGAAGATTACGAGCACGATGCCCAAAAAGGAGCCCACATATGATCCGGCGTTAGGCGTCATTTATCGCGTTCTCGAGCCCTACTACACGCGGCAGGCCGTGGATGACGTGATGCAGGCGATGCTAGCTGGTGAGGTCAGCTCCGGGACGCAGTGGCCTCGCAGGATGGCGGAGCAGATCTGCAAGCTTTATAGCTTATGACAAAATTCTATTTCTTAAAGCAGGATCTTCATGCAAGGCAATAATTTAGCATCTAAGACACGACGAGACAGGTCATAATATGATTTTGGTGCGTACTGTGGTGCTGAAATGAAGAGTACTGTTGGTTCAACTTCAAGGTCATTACATTTGATCCTTTCATTCCTCGTTCCGGTCGCGATGCCAACATCTTCGGGTGCGAGCGCTTTGCATGTATCGCTGCTGTGCATCGGAGTATACGGTTTTGAAGTCATCGTGCCTGCCTTCACAATGGTGGCTGTCAGCAACGCAGTGAAGCTCGCAGGCGCCATTCCTGTGTTTGCCGACTCAGCTCCAGATAACCTGAACCCGGGTCTCGCCGAATTGAAGAGCAAGAAGACTGTTCGTACGAAAGCCGTGATCATCTGTCACACCTACGGCATTGTGTGCCCGGACATTCGCGAGATCGCCGAGTGGTGCAAAGAAGAAAAGATACAGTTGATAGAAGACATCTGCGAAAGCATGGGAGCGCGAGTAGGGATGCACCCGAAACCAGAAGTACTCTTCTGTTTGTTTGCACAGCCCGCGTGTGAATACGAAGGCGAGCATCATAACTGATTCAGTGTTCTCTTGTTCCTGATTTTATTGACTATCTATCACAATTATTTTTATGCTTTTTTCAGGATCCGTCAACGGGTCGCTACCTTCTTGCCGGAGCTTTCGGCGATTTCAGTTGCTCGAGCCTGTACGCGAACAAGCAAATCACAGCTGGAGATGGTGGCTGGGTTCACAGCACGCACCCGGGTCAGGCGGGTCGTTTGAAGAGCTTGATCAACCACGGCTTTGATCCAGCTTTTCATTTCCTGCATTTTGAAACTGCGCCGAACGCTAAGATCAATGGGCTCGGCGCGGCGTTTATCAATTCTCAATTAGGAGAAGCGCTTCACGAGCAGATCGATCAGCGACACCGCGTTGCACAGTGGTACCGCTCCGCACTCTACGCTGCGGGGCTCACGGGCTTTGCGCCTAGTGCAACCAGCAGTATGGAAGTGGAGCAGGACGACCGCCAAGATGGAGAAGGCAGTGGCACCGGTGGAAGCGCGACGCCACCGGCGGGAACCTCGGCCACGGATGCAAAAACCACGGATGTTCGCCGCGGAGGGCCTACTGCCAGTCCGGTACCAGGTAGATGCGGGAGTCAGTTTCCGCTGAAGGGCATCGACGAGGCCTACGCCGGCACTTGCTTTTTCGACGCGCCGTGGGTATTTGGAATTGAGTGTTGGGATCGAATAACGCGCGATAATCTGCGACAGTATCTGGCCGAGTGTGGCGTCGAAACGCGAAACTATTTTTTTATGTTGACGCATTGATTCATCTTAGTATGGAGTTTCCTTGGACCTAGAAGTTGTGAGAAGAACGGTCCGGCTTCAAGTTCAACATCACGACCTCGGTATTATCTAGTATTTGAATTTTTTTTTCCTCTAGTATTGTGATTGTAGCGATAGTCCTGTTGCGAGTATCATCATGATTATAAAATTTTTTTCTTTCATATTCGTCCCACTGCACGTGCAGCCTGTGATGTATTACGAATATGCGCAAGGCGTAGCCGGCAGCTACGCCAGCTGGGAAAGCGAGTTACCGAACTCCCTACGATTTGCGACGTGTGGTCTGTATCTGCCAACGCATAGTTACCTAAAGCTGACAGATGTGGAGTTCATCGTCGGATGTTGTAAAAAATTCTATCAAAACCCTGCTGGTGGTGCTGCGGGTCAGGGGGAGTCTTCGGTAAAAGGAAGTGGAGAAGCCTGCACCCCGGAGAAGCCGCAAAGAGCGAAGGGTTGGGTCGATCGCGTGCGATCTGAGATGTTTCAGAAATCCTGAAAAAAGCATAGAATTTCATATCCGTAAAGTTAAGGTAGTCATCCGCATGAGTGTGACACTGACATTAGATACTTCGCCTCAGAATAGAAGCAAGTACAAAGAGTACAACGAAGATTGTACGTTTATTCGTTGCTCGATTGGATACTTTTAGTTTTTTACTTACAACATAATTCTAACTGTAATAGTAATTGCTGATACACATAGATAATGATCATGAGTTCTTATAATAATTCCAATGTCTCACATCCACTGCGGGAGAGAGGTCGCTCTGAATGGATGTCGTTGGTTTTATCGCATTAGATTTTCGCATGTGTATCCACGTGCCAATCGACATTTTTCTACACAGCTGGAGATTGAATTATCTGCTAGTTGATAGTGCTAGTCAGTGACTAATATTGAATATGTCCTCGATTTCGAAGATTACTGTTTTCGAATTTCGGTGAAGTGTTCGGAAAATAGAGCGTTCCTTAGAGCGATGCAGGCCTCCAATTGAAGGTTGTGAGTGAACTGAGAGGGAGAGTTCAATTCTAGGTGTTTTCTTGTGAGGAGCGAGCCTATCATGACTTGCTATTGACTGCTCTAAGTGTTTCTCCGGTTTTGTGAGGGTTATTTTATGGATTACGACGACATTCCAAGAATATTCTTTGTGTGTCCGTATCGAAGGGGATCTGGTTTGGCGCAGATTGAGACAGAGCCAATCATTTGAGCAGGAGAAGGAACTTTTTTCCCCGTAACTCCAAAAATTCTCGGGTCGTTATTCCCGTTTCGCATATCTCCTTGTTGAGTTCGTCTTTGGATACGAGCTACTTAGTGTTTAGTGTTAATCGTCGATGAGAAACAAGGAACGCAACATACGATATCATTAGTAAGTTTGCGCGACAAAAAATAAGTACTTAAAATGTTTGTTAAAAGATATAGATACTATTACCACTTACGCAATCTCATTCTTGAACGCCCCCTCGATAATATCGATTTGTATTATTTTCCTGTTTAGAAAGGCGTAATTTTTGAAAGAAAAAATGGATTCATTGTGATTGTCCTGTAAAGAGATAATTGACAGTATAATTAAGTTGAAGTTTGAGGTATAGTTGAGATCTACCACTATAACATTATTATAGTAGAGTAGTTTATAGACGCTGGGCGGCTGGGCACGCTGCGCTAAGCTGGGTGGCTGGGCGGCCTCGCTGGGCGGCAACGCGGGGCACGCTGGGCGGCAACGCTGGGCATGCTGGGCGGGCGCTTGGATAGCACTTAGCGGACTTGAGGGTGACACATTGGGCATGCCGAGCCTGCGCGGCCGCTGGGTTTACTTGCGCCTTGGGAACGCGCTGGCGGTGCAGCGCGTCCCTTAAGGACAAACAAAGGCGGCGCGCCGCCCTCAGGGTTCAGGGCAGTGCTGCGCCAGTTTGCGCGGTAGCGGGCTGCGCGGCGCCTGCTCTGTTCAGGCTTGCACTGCGTCGCGCTGCTCGATGCGTGCAATGCTGCGCCGCTCCTGTGCACAACGGTAAGCTCGCCAGCGTTGTTGGCCTTGGCTTTCGCTAGACTAGCGCTGGCTGGTGGGGTTCTCAAGCGGGCGCCTGAAGGGCGCCCCGCAATGGGAGGCGCCCAGCGTGACGCTGGGCGCAGAATTCGGCAGATCTGGCACATTTGGGTCGCCCAGCGACCCAGTGTGCCCAGCGTGCCCAGCCCAGCCATGTTGGGAACCCTTATATATAATATAGCAAGGATAGATGGAAGATTCCATCGAAACGCAGAAGCAGAATTGCTCGTTACGTTTGATAAAACGCTGGTTCGAAAAGACCTGCATTTGATGAGTGTGAGTATTGGATCTCACTCATTATAGTTCTAGTAGCCTCTTCGTTTACAGACCCTCTGAAAGCGGAATGTCATTCGGCCTAGCTGCGGCGACTCATAAGGCAGAGAAGGACCTCGGATACCAGCACAGGACCGGCACCGGAAAGAGTGACCGTTCGTCTCAAGAACACCAACGGAAAAAACAACAAGTACTCCTCTAAAACAGGAACAAGGAGCCTTTGCCGAAAATACTTCTACGTTGACAACAAGAAACAGAGAGACGAAAGACGATCATAACGGGCTGGAATAAGTACATCTTTATACGACCAAGAAAAGTCCTGCCGAAACATACGAACGAGCAGGTAGCTCATCGATTTGTACTACACCATCAACTTGTTCGAGCAGGACGGGAGATCTGCTACTGCAAATACTCGAAGAGCATCTTTTTTGGCTGTTATGAAACTGTCTACTACTTTTTTGGGCCAACGAGGGAGCATACAAGAACTACAAAAACGTTTAAAGGAAGTTGACAACCAGCCTGAGCCTGCTGAACACCCACTTACAACTCACTGCCCTACACAGAACTGCGAACAAAATGCTAGCACAGCAGCAAGCTGAGACACCCGCTGCGGTGGACAAAATGGATACCTCAAAATTTGTAGAGGGAGCGGAGTTTTCCCGTGTCAATACCATGGTGACGAACACGACTGCGAGCTCCTCCCGCACGACACTTCACGACGGACTCTTTCGTGACATCACACTTCTTGATGGATCGATGGGACGGTAATGCTATTGCGCATTTTCGAAACTTTTGATTTTCAATTCTATCCATCCACCTTCAGCAGATGCTGCACCGAACAACTTACTTTGTAGAGGGTGTAGTACGTTGTACTAGGTGAGACAGGCTAAGCGTTGATGACGGTATTCTCTGAAATATTTTTTTGTTGAGTAGAATCCAATGAAAACACATGCGCTTCTTGCTGCAGCTAAACTCACAAAATGAAAATCACACTTTTGCAACAGGCAGCTCTGCGAAGAGCATCATTTACCTGATGATGCTCTTTTCCGTCAGATTTGGTCAGCCGCCGCTTTGGTCAGAGAGGAATTTCATGAGAAAGTCGTTGCAGTTCACAAAGACTACATCATAGCGGGATCGACAATGCTCACCACAAATAGTTTCGGAACACAACCTTCATTCTACAAGAGGGCCTACGAAGATGACTACGTACTTTTTACTCTAATTTTTACTTTAAATAATCGTTGAGTCCGTCGTGAGAGGTATCTTGGCCTTGTTGTAGCACTTGACTAGACATTGTTGAATGAATTTATCAAGCCACTTCGTATTGCGATATTACTCAGAATCCGATGGGAACCAGGACTTAATCAAAAAACAAAACCAATAGTACTACAGGAGAAAAGGATGCTCTGCGATGCAGAACTGAGCTCGAAGCTCGCGGTACAAGCGCGCACAGAAATGAATGCAGACCCCAGTACAGTTTTAATTCTCGGTTCTCTGGCCTCGTTGTATGAGAGCCATCGCCCGGATTGTTTTTTGCGTGGGGTTGAGGAAGATGGCGAAGAGGTCATTGCAGAGAACTACCATAAGCTGGCAGCCGCATTGGTACTACTCATCCCTTTTTTTGTGGAAGTTGATGGGCTAGCTTGTTGATTGTGAAATAGGAAAACCACATACAAATGCTTGATGTTGATTGTGATTAAAAGCGTGGAGGTGGAAAGCCACCGTTATTTTCATCTGTACAATGACGAGGTTCGCGGTGGTGCGGATTACTTGTTGTTGGAGACGATAAATTGTTGGGAGGAAGCCGCACTTGCATTAGAGGGGATCTCTCGGATGGAGCGACAGGTGCCAATTATCATCGCGCTCGAAGGTGCCATGCGCAGTCTGAAGCTGAAGCCGCAAACCGGAAGGAAAGCGGCCCATGCGTTTCGCTCTCTGGCTGCTTACTGCAACCCGGACTTGGTTTCCCCGCAGCACTCCGCAAGCCTGCCCAGCAGCAAGCGATCGTCGCGGTCACCTTCTCCCAGCAAGGGGCAAGGAGACAGCACCGCGCTAGCAGCTCAAGGGGAGGAGGCATCAAGGAGTGCATCTCCTTCATTGAGTAGCCTTGTTGAGTCTGTAATTCCGTCTCACGAAGAGCAAATTGAGGTCTTCGAGAATGAGGGTCTCAACATCATGGATCCTAGGAAATCAGAGCTTGTACATCGACCTGTCGCACAAAAGCCGCGGCTTCCCGTGCTCTGTCTAGGTTTCAACTGTGCGCCACCGGAGGAGATTCTCGACTCTCTCAAAGCCGTGAAAGGAGATGAGGCTCTGCAGCAAGCAATCAAGTCGCTAGACCTGCGCGTCTGCGCATACGCGAATGTAAATGACAGAAAAGAGGCCCATGACAACGGCTTCGACGTGCGCAAAGATAAGCGAGAGGCGATTGAAAAGCGCCATGACCTCGTGAAAAAGATTGAGGATCCAACCGATGCAACCCAGGTACCTTCTTAACATATCATCTATCAGTGCACTTGGACGTGTGGACCTGTTTTATACTTAAGTCGAACTCCTCGTCCTCCATCAGCGGTGGTTCATCTCGATCTCGTTCTACCACGAAAACACCTTTTCTTTTCAACAAATCATAGTGATCAACGATTTTGATTCTTACCATATTCATCAGACGCCGAGCTACGCGTATGACGGGTACGTGGATTTCGTTGGCCAATTTATAGACGAAGGCGCCGATATTGTAGGAGGGTGCTGCGGCTGTGGTCCTGACGGGATCCAGGAAATCGGAAAGCGCCTTCAGCTTCGTCCTTGGTGCAAGCACTGACAACATGGATTATCATAAGTCCCCACCCTGATAATTACAACTAGACTTTTGGGTCTTCGCTCGAGGTTTCTGTTATCTTTCTAGACGTTAAAAAAGGCCTGAGGTATAAAAAATAGAAAAAACTACTCAGCGACGAAAGAACACAGAAAAAAGCGCGCGCCTTAAACATCCTCAAAAATGAAAAAAGTGCTGCGCGTTGGTGTTGGGTGACTATGGGTATGGATAGGGATGCGGATACGGATACGGCTACGGGTATGGATGTGGCCATGGGTACGGATATGGATGTGGGATATGGATGTGGAGCATGGGTGTGGGATATGGGTGGGGGACATGGTTGTGGGATATGGATGTGGGGTATGGGTGTGGGATATGGTTAGGCGTGTGGGGTATGGATCTGGATGGGGGATATGGATGTGGGATAAGGGATGAGGATATGGATGTGGGATAAGGGATAAGGATATGGATGCGGGAGATGGATTTGGGCGATGGGTGTGGGAAATGGATGTGGGATATGGGTGTGGGATATGGGTGTGGGATATGGATGTGGGATATGGATGTGGGATATGGATGTGGGATATGGATGTGGGATATGGATG